GAGGAGGATTCGCTCGGCGCACGAGCCGAATGTACTTATGCGATGCTTCGTGGAGGACGTTCGAGATCTACCAACGCTTTCACTAGCTCGATTCGTAGCATATGAGAAGCGGACGAAGGGAAACAGGAAAAGGGGGAACCTAGCTCGTTTCTTGCCCATACCAAGGACGTATAAATTGCGAATCTCTAATTCTTGCTGGGGCAACACTACCATCTCCACTTTCAGATCAGTTCTGGATAGAAATAATTCTAAACGTTTTTTCATCTTCGCGCTTCTCCATAGTTCTCGATACGTTTACTCGAGCATTCGAACACGAGACTATTCATCAAGCTTATCTCGACTCAATTATTTTTGAAACGTGGACTCGAAAAATTAACTGCATCTGCAGATATAGAGGGGGGGGAGAGCTACAGAAGCGTAAGCACTCCTCCTCCTGAGACAGAACTCCCCATAAACCTAATCGCTTGAATGCAACAACCACTGTTTAAATTAATCTCAAATACACAGTTTTGTTTCGTGGAAATAATGGTGAGGAAGAAAACGAAAACACGAATTTGTAATTTATGGATCTCTTTTCTCCGATTTTGTGTTTTCGAGATACGTTCAAGGCGCATGTCAGCTCGTGCACGGATGTACCTGACGGAAGTCAAATGTTCTCGCATATACTTAGCACCTTTTTGTATCCGCTTGAGTAAGAAGAAACATTCCGCGGATGTGCCTCGTTCAAGGAACAACCGCACATCTCCCGGAATGTTGAGAGTTTTAAATCACAATGCGAATCTGCATCGCATTGTTCCCTATTCAAGAGTCATGGAAATCGAAAGAATAATGCACGAAATATATAGAATACCGATAAGAGTCTTTTTCAGTATCGAACTGATCCGTGTACGCGGTGTGATAAATTGATTACCGAAGTGTTACATTTACTGCACTTAGCTGAGAAAACTATCAAACGAGATTACATCTTGGAAAAATGGTCTGCCCGAACCTCTGACCTTCTAAGCTTTCTCCGGGCGGTTTAACGGTCGCCGAAGGATGTCACGCTCGTTGAAATTTCCCAGACGAATTGCTATTTATAAACGTAGGCGTTAACCAACAAAGATGGAAGCGATGGACATTATGCAAAACGCCGTGCACTTTCGATCTTACGTCTAACAAAACACAGACTCTGTCAGGGACCTCTGACGAGTTCCTCAATTGAAATGAATTATGTTTCTCCGTCATCGACAGAAAGATAGGATGTACAAGCTAGAATCGATTGTACTACCGTACTTTCTATTTGTATTGTACTCGGTATTGCTTTAAACGTATTACATCCCAAGAATCAATCGCTTCGTACAGTTCGCCTAATTTTCTAACATAATAGAGTTATAGACCATGCTGAATTCAAGTAACGTGCATTAAAATTACAAAACCGAGAAAAGAGGAAGCCATCAAAAGTAACCTATCGGTTTCTCTACGGGAGACGTGTTACGACAGAGAAATAGAATCAAAATGCTTAATTAGAAGCATGCGTTTCCCAACGACGATTCCTCGCTCACGTTAGAACGGCGATAGCCTAAAGCAATCCCTAACGTGTACCAACGACGAGCGGTGTTTTAACAGCTCGACAATTATGACAAACGGAACACCCGATTGTGCAACCGAAATTAACACGAAAGGTCAATGACTCTGGCCGAGCTGCGACCAACGTCTTAATTAAAAGGAATATGATCAAATTTCAGATTGTTTCGACATCTGAAATTTTCTATCGTTCTTCTTTAAACGAACGAAATCTGATGCGGCTCGTTTCAAATCAGAATTCATTTGCGTATTGTTCGGTCGATTGCGATTGCCCAATTAAATGCGCCCGCTTATCAAACGCGAAATCGATTCGTAGTTACCGTAGCTGTGTACCTTTCGCCTACGAAATTCCTGACAAATATCGCGACAGAGCGCAGTTTGCCAGCGATGGAATCTTCGAGGAAGAATTTCAGCTCTCTCGAACGATCTCTCGAGCCAACCTTTTCCAAACAACGAGACGCCAAATTCCTCTAACAATATGCAGTGGGGGCACGAGGCTGGAGTGGGACTTTCTGGTCAGGTTGAAAACCCTGACGAAGCTGATGTTCTCCTACATCTGGGCTACTACCTTCGCGGTAACCAGATACGAAGAATTTCTGCGAAGTTTGGAGGATCAAATCCACGTGGGGACCCTGTACCAATACTTTTACTACGAATTTATTTCATTAACTTGTTAAAGATACAAACGTCGACCGAAATACCGACGCGATTGTAATTTTCTCTTCTTCGTTCTAGCGAGTATGGTCATTGGAGAAAATAAATAAATTTGACGAAATTGAAGACGGCTGGTAGATACGTCGGTGACTTGGCTCCCCACTTAGCATCGAGATACGTGACTCGTAGGTGCAAATATCGTGGCCATCTACGAACAAGCCGAAGACAACTTTCGCCCTCCAAGGCTGAGAAGATTCCTTGTCGCGGGCACATCGCGTTTAATAGAGACAGACGGTCATTGAAAAATAGAATGGCCCTCGTTAATTAACCGTTACGAGGCGCATACACACGATTACGAAATACGGCTGTTCCAACGGACGCATCCCCGGCTACAACCGAATGGAAAAAGAATAAATGTGGACGTGGTCGAGCAAGTCTGCCTTGCGAAGGCTAACTACGAGTCTTTCTTTTTACGCAGAATACCAAACACCCTGACCGTTACGCTCCAAAGGGTAAAGGACTCTCATCGTACTATTGCATCTGAGGACATTTTCTCGTAGGTCTTTTCTTTCTGTCTATAGTGTTCCAGGGACTAGACCCGGATTCTGTATCGACGAGGATAATCATCGATTCGGATGATTCTTGGTACTTACGAAGCAATTTAAAGCAACACCTCTAACTGAGGCCTTACGTAACCTGGTTTTAACATCTACGATTCGTAAACGTACCGGAACCTTTTTCTCTCTTTCTCCCGTAGCGTTACACGCAGGGTAAACAACGTACCGCCAGGATACAAGGCAGACGAGATTGCGAAATTTCGATTGTCGAGGTACGACCTCGATCTTCGTAGAATAGTCGTACCACGTGACTACGCCCTCCCCCCTGTGTTTCCTTTCTGCGTTTTACCTTCGATGCACAGTGTAATCGATCGTATTCGATCTACCGCGTATAACCATAAAGAATGCTCCTGAATGATGTTCACGTTGCGGAACAAATCCGCCTTTTTCGCCCATAAAATTTTCATGACCGTAACGTTAATAGTAATTACTTTACGCGATACGATAGCCCGAATAATAGCGAAATAACCTTTATCAAAAATATCGATCGCTAAGTTTATTCCGCCCAAAAGCATTTTCTCTAATTTTATTACTTCCGTATCAGTCGTGGCTCTACTATCCTCTGCTTTGATATCAGTTTAAGTTACAAATAGCGTTTTTTTCTATTTAGGTTGCAACAAACTCTGGCCATTTATCTTTGGAACGTGGAGTCCAACGTTTGATTAGTGAATCCTGCAAGTAGATCTCCGTACAGCCTAATCAGGCTGACGCAGAGTCCAAGCTATTGGAATGCAACACAGCACTCCCTGGATGCGCCTTTTAGAGTGCAACTAGTCTCGATCTCCCTGGCAAAGGGCACGGGACGACCGGTCACGGCAAACTTAAGATGCCACGTTTCGTACATATGTTACTAAAACGTGATCCGGACGTCGCGTCGTGAGCTTCAATCGTACCGACTGATCGAACGAACCCCGATGTTAGATCTCTATCGATCTTGAACTCTAAAACAAGTCCTCAGTCATGTTTTTTCCAAGCTGTGTCGTCTTCCCCGGCATTTTTATCAAATTCAAATGACTTGCTATATTTAGATACTTTCTAAAACGATTTAAATGTCAACGATATTTTGAGCCAAAGCTTGACGATTCTTTATCGCTTGTTTTTGTTCTTACGAAGGAATAATTGAATTTAAGTAAAAATTAGTAGACAGTGTACAGTAAGGAGCATAATTGAACGAATAAAAATAATCGATTTTTTAGTTTAAAATTACCAGACAGCCTCATTAATAAAACGCGATATTTTTACTGTCTCCGGCTAGGAGACTGACCATTTGTCATCCGTTAGAGATTATCGCGAAACAGATTTGTCATGGGAACAAGTACACCTTAAGGTTTAATGTCGCCTCTAACTCGGGTTTAAAGATCAGCCAGGATCTCAAAGATCAGAACTCTGGTACAGGTCAATCTTAGCGCAACTCCTCTCTTATCACGTCGAAAATAAGACAAACAATTTCACTGTACTATAGGGTTTTCCAACAGGTAATAAAAATTTATCTATTGAAATTTTATAAAATAGAATGCCTATCGCGTTGAATTATATTCAGTATTTAGCATTTAACAGAATTCTTCGTAAACAAACTGATTAAGAATCGAAGTATTGCTTGTTTCTATAATTATAATTTGAATATAAATTTTTAGATAAAATTTGATATTTTGAAGATAAATTTTTGCAATTTTTTCAGATTCTCCTAGACGCGAAAACACTTCCGCCAAAGGTTTGGACTACCACCTTAAAACAGACCGAGAGGCGATTATAGTAAAAGACCGCAAAAACTCGAGACCATAATAATTGTAGGCGCAAATTGCCCAGAAGGCCTCCCCGCCCCCACTTTCCTCGACAGTTTCTCTGGTGGTAAAATGTAACCACACGCGCGTTCGCGCAGCCACACATACAGAGAGAGAGGAACGATCAGAGTCATGAAATAGCAGAGAACTCATCTTCCAGCAAGTACCATCTGCCGTTGACTTAGCCGACGATCGAGCTCGAGAGTGATGTAACGAAGCGTTACGTCCTCTACCCCCATCACACGTGTAAGTACCTTCTCCTGGAAGGAGCACGGGAGCCCCCTACCTTCGCGGGCCCCAGAGCCATCCTCCCAGAAACCGTTTCCCGCTGGGCATCCTCTTCTCAGTCGAGACGTTCTCCTCGACACCGCAGTCGCCACGAAGAATCCCTTCGCGAAGGTAACACGGGAGTTACAGTGTAATCTTTCCTACGACAAAGAGCAAACACAGTGTAAAACCTATTACGAGACCATGGAAGCCGTAGGACGACGTTTCATCCTCCTCTGGGGTACGTTTCAGTTTTCGAACCGTCGGACAAAACACTCGATACAGTGATCGATTGGTCAACAGCATTATTAATAATTTCGGAGAATTCGTTCGATCGATTTCAACGATTTACACGCGCGCAATTTTGGAAGAGAAACCGACATAGTTGATTTAATTAAACGTGAGAGGTACATCGATTAAACGAGGAGCGCAAGAGTACTTTCCTTTAGAATTTTCTTCTGCTCGGCGTCGACTAGCGTTCGCTGTCACGCCTTCTCAAGCAGGACACGTGGGTAGAAACTCTTTAACGGAGATATCGCGCACGCTCTTTTATGCATACGAAAAAGTCTGCGCCCGATAAAAATATAATAGTGTCTTCATAAACCATGACGAACGACTAGCCGCTGTAAATTCTCGAATGGCTTCGTGCGAATTATTGATACCGAGGCTAACTTTCGAAAGAAACTTTTCGTCGACGAAAATACAATCGGTTTTCGACTAAAAATTCTCTTTTATTACAGTAGCTGTATTGGGAACCTGCGTTCTCGGGCTTCAACGGCCACCGCCCAGGTACTCCCAACAATATATGCCGGAAACTTCCTTCACTTGTCGCAATAAGATCGTAGGAAGCTACTACGCCGACCCTGAGACCGACTGCCAAGTGTTCCACGTTTGCGTGTCCGTGTCGGGCACTATTCAGGATTACAAGTAAGCAACGGCGAAACAAAAAAAAAAGGAACCTGGTAACTCCGAGCTACTTTTGACGATCCATGTTACGATCGAAATAGACCGTTGCACGTTTCTTTATTTCGCGATAAACAATTAGGCAAATAGTAGGTATTCTGATTTCTGGTTTCCGAAAGGTTCTTGTGTCCTAACGACACCGCGTTCGACCAGGAGAGTCAAACGTGCGCTGACTGGTACGATGTGGACTGCGAGGCAGCCACCCTCTACTACGCCAGCGACAACTTCGACTTGTACAGAATCGGTTCCGGGCTGGAATCGCCGCACTACGACAGCATACGTAGCGACGCCGAGCCCCAGGATCACCTGCAGCGCAGCGAAACCAGCGATCCGGTCCGTTCGTCTGCCAATACTCTGAACAGAGTGTCCTCCACCAACTATAACGCGAACAACAATAGAGATCTGCGCGGCAGTAGCAGCGGTAACTTCTACAATAACAGAAACGGCAAGGAGGAAGATTACGAGAACGAAAAGGCGTACAAAGAAGAGATCGTTCCGGACACCAGGAAGAAAACGGGAGTAAGGAAGATCAGCAGAAAACAACAGTTCACCGACAATGGCAATAACAATTACGCCTCGTCCAGTACGTCCGCGCCTCCGTCGGTTAACAATCAGAACACTTACACTGGATTCTACAGTGGCGGGAACTACAACCAGCGAGCTAATGGATTCGTTTCCTCTACCAGTGCCAGGCCTCAAGAGAATTACAGTAGAAATCAAAACACGCAAAGATACAACGCGCCATCGTCTACGTACAGACCTAGCACGAATTATCAAGACAACTACAATTTCCAGTCTCCTAGTACAACGGCAAGAACAACCGTATACAACGCTTACAACGTAAATTCTAACTATAATCAACAGAGCACAGGCAGTTTTAGCCAGAGCACGACAGTGAAACCAACCACCTACAACAAGAATTATCAGAATTACAACAACGGCGGGCAGTTCGTGCAACCCACGACCTTGCAACCCAGCACTAATTACCAATCAAACGATTACACGAACTATCAAAGAAATTACAACAACATTCAACGTGGAAATAATAATGTTCCGTATCAATCTACGACTCCACCACCCACTATTTACGATAATACCTATAATAATAACAACAATAACAACAACAACAACAACAATAATAATAATAATAATGGCCAATTTAGAAGCGGTACATCCACAAGGCAAGACATTGCTCAGGCAACCACGAAGTATTTCCCCAGTTATGCAAGCAGCAGCTATGCACCTACCACTTACAGTCCAGCCACAAAGAAGTACATTGCTAATGACAATAGTCAAGTTCAAACCTCTGTAAGAAATAACGATAATGGACAATATTACGACAAGACTAGCCAACAAATTAAAAGTTCGTCCCAATATTATGATAGTACCAAGGCGCCAAAAAAGGCTACGCAGTACAATAATTATGAAGGCACCAATGGAAAATATTACACCGAAACCAGCACGAGTAATTACGACGTTGCAAGATCGTCCGTTGGAATCGGATTCAGTCCAGCGAGTATCAACCACTTGGCTGAATCTCCGCGATCTACCACTCCAGTGCCGAGGTATTCCAATAGCGGATAGTATGTTAAACGTTTAACCCTCGCCCAGCCGATCCTCCAGCAACACATTGCACATCTGCAGGGAAAATAGCTTAAACGGGTCATTTGTTTAATTTCACTTTAGAAAATTTCCTTGCAGAGTGTCGTACGAGTCCTCAGCTTTTACGATCGATGACCACCCCAGTACCGACCCAAAAGCGGGGAATTGCAAAAACAATGGTTATTTACGAACGCATTGTAGAGACGGGTTAAAAATGACCCAACGTCGGCTGATCGAGTGTTAATCTTTTCCAAGATCTTTTATCAAACTTACACACTTTTACCACACCGTTGATAAAAAAGTTGAAGATCCAACGAATCGAGAATCCTTTTCGTTTGTACAGGAGGATCTCCACAGCTACCACGTACAATCCCAACAATTTCAACTCGAATACCCAGAGGCCGCCGCAATCGCCAACTACTCCACGGGGAAGCACTTATGTCAGTGGATCTGCGAGGCCTTTCTCGTCTACGACGAGACTACCCGCTACCAGTACACCGCGACCGAAATCCGGAAAAAAATCTGATTACGATTACGCTTATTACGATAACACTGCGGGCCTCGAATACGACAGCCTCGACCTTGAACACGTAACCGGAAACAAAGAATCCACGAAGATCGCGAGGAATTGATTCCATTCCGTTTTTCAATTGAATCCCTCGGAAATCAATGATACGCATTCACACATTAGAAAAACCAATCTCGCCACACAAAGTTCCAAGAAACTCTGGAATAACTTCACGCGTAATAGTGGCCAGTGTATTGTCAAAATCGGCTTTCGACGACAATATAAAGAAAGAGATATTGAAAGCCGATTTTGTCGTAACGAGTAGATTACATTAGGTACATAACGATCCATTGAGATCTGACGATTATGCCTATTTCAATAGACCTCTTTTTTTCATATCTTTCTTTTTTATACAGTATTGTAGACTAAAGTATTATGTACGTGAAGCATCCATTCGCGTTAACAGTTTACAAATAAGCTAAAACGATATTCCGCCGTATATTGGTAGCATAATGTTGTCGAAATTTTATACGTTTTGTACATACTACAACGAAAGATGTTCAAATTTGTAATAATGTCTCCATTCGTATCCAAAAACATGCGGACTAAGTGTATATACTATAAGTATTTTAATTGAAACAAAAAGCACTAAACAACGTCGAGCCTTTTAATTTTTTCCCCCGTTGCGTTTCAACGTTCCTATCAGAGATTCCTATTTAACGTGTACTAAATCTATCCGAATCTTAATCCGTGTATTTTTTAATACACAGATACCCATATATTTACAATGCTGTGAAGAATTATTAACTCAACCATATTTCTACATTTTTCATAACATTGAAACAAAAGTTAAAGGAACCATGTGTGTTTTTTCATTTACAACTAATGTAATGCAGTAATTTAAATTTGTTGTGCTAGGTCTCATACATTAGTACATAAATGAGTTAACAGTCAAGTTGTTTAAATATCGCCACCTAGCGTTTGAACCGCCTGATAACAAAAATATATTTTAGGAATTAACACTATGCTTTAGGTATTTCCCCACAAAACAGTCGTAGGAGAACTGATATGAACTACTACAGTTAAATTCAACAACTTATGCATTTACCTATAACAATAATAAAACATTCCACAAAATACAATCTCAGTCTTCCAAAGCGCGAACGCCGACTAACTAACTTGGCGTCGCTTTTTCGTATCAAAACTTTCACGCGGCAAAAAGACTTGCGCGGTCGTCATGCGCACTAAATTATATGGCGCATTCTTAACATGCATAAAAGCGTGCATGCATGTAGCAACTGCTAAAATATCATGGAGGAGAAGGGGAATACCCCTCAATTCTCCTCAAATGGAACGAATCAATGGACCTGAATGGACCTTTATGTATATTACTAAACTATCTATATAGCCTCATGCTGAGAAGAATTCGGAATTGAGGTGTTCCAATTCTTCAAAATGCATTACATTTAATTTGTGACGTATTTTCATCATTTGTGATTATTGAAATGCATTGATACACATCGTAACGATATTTAAAATATATTGATAAACAAATAGAATCTTCTAAACAACGAAATAACTTATAGATTAATTGCGTGTAAGTATTATTAACAAAAAATTATATTGTTGTTTCTTGTGATCGTACGTCTACTATAGCGGCATTAAAATAGAAGTATTAAATGTAATATCACAACATTCAGGTTATTGCATAATCTATTTATAGGTTATTACTTTAAGGTTAATTATTTCAGTCTTTTAAATGAAAAGAAGAATATAATAGTGAACGTATATTATAGAAATTACAAGGACAAACGCAATGGGCAATGTACTAACTTCTGCAGTGTCAGCAGCTGATGTAATTATAACAGTACCTCAGCAAGAGATTTCAAAATCTATATACCACCATGGTACAAATAAATTTGAAGGAGAACCTCCGCCTGAGTGTCCTATGCACAAACCAGCTAAAAAAGAATCTCCTAAATATACTAGCGAATGTCCAGTAGATCACACGCGTGAAGATGAAATTAATCCCCTCAACATGGTTTGTATAATCAACATTTAAGTTTTTTGCATCAGAATTAATTATTGTTTACAATGAAAATTATTATTAAATGAGAATTCCATTATAACAGATGCCTGCTGCCAATCAACAACCAGCACCAGATCAGCCTTTCCCATTGCCCACCGCCAGACAAGTCTCGTCAATACCAAAAGCAACAGAAAACAAGGAATTTTGGGTATATCCCTCTCAACAAATGTTTTGGAATGCAATGTTAAGGAAAGGCTGGCGTTGGAAAAACGATGATATTTCACCAAAGGACATGGACGATATAATAAAAATTCATAATGCCAACAATGAGCAAGCATGGCGAGAAGTTCTTAAGTGGGAAGCACTTCATGCTAGAGAATGTGATTCTCCAAAGCTCCGCAGCTTTGGAGGTAAAGCTTCTCATTATTCACCACGCGCACGCATTCGATATTGGATGGGGTAAATTATTTTTTTGTATAAGATGTAGAGATAATTATTCATTAAATATTACATAAATAAATATACTTTTAGGTATGAATTGCCATTTGATCGTCACGATTGGATTGTAGACAGATGCGGGAAAAACGTAAGATACGTTATAGATTATTATGATGGTGGTCAGGTAGATGAAAAGTACACATTTGCCTTACTTGATGTAAGACCTGCTATGGACTCTTTAGAAAATATTTGGGATCGTATGAGAGTAGCGTGGTTGCGCTGGAAATATTGTAATGAATCAGAGAAATCTGAGTGCAACAAAACGCAATGAAAAGAGAAATTAGAAATTAGATAGAATTAAAAAATATTAGCTTCCTCATTAGATGCTCATCTTATAAATTTGAGGACATTGGATGGGACAATTTCTGTCAAAGAATGTACAGTTTTTAAAAGACAGAGGAAAAATTGTAATTGTAGTAAAACCAAAGAGATTTATTCATATTTAAACAAAATATATGCATTCAATTGCTTACGATATTTTTGAGTACTTATACAACAAAAAATATATTCAGCCTTGGAAGAAAAATTGACTGCCAACAGCAATATTATCTTATAAACAATTTCAAAAATCCTTCGAAAATACGTTAATAAATATAACGTACTGCATATAACAAATTACAATATCAACTTTTCTAAGAACAGTATTAAAGTGATAATAGATTCACCTCTTTTTACGTTGCTTCTAATACAACTGCACTTCAATTTGATCTCAAAAAATGATGCAATTTATCAAACCGACACGTATATTATTTGTAACATATTGCAATTATAATGTTCGTGATGAAGTAGTTAAAAATATTGTATTTTTAAAAACCGTTGCTTTAAACATTGATAAAACAATTAATCAGAGTTAAATAAAAAATTTCTCACGAATGTGTCCAAAACATACGTATATGAATACATGTTTAATAAGATCACTGTAAAAGTCGTCCGAGCTTGGAGAAATGAATAGTAAAAATTGAATTAACATCTATAACGAAATTTGGGAATTTAAAGACTTTATATTGTGTGAAATTATATTCATCTAAAAGTGCAAACAAAATTGTAACAATTCATTTTTAATATAACAATGAAACTCACTAGAATCACATGAGGACTTAGTTTGATTAAAAGATTGATATATAAAATTTGTAAGTTCCTTCTTTAAAATTTGGGCACTGTAAATAATATTTATAAAATGAATTATAAAACACTCTGTATTAAACGATACCCATTAAACCATTATTCGACATATATTGTATAAATATGTATATATTGCATCATTATATAATACATAAGTAATATACATTGATTATTACACAAATATTTGATACATATATAACACTGAATTTTAAATCGGTATATATATATGTAACAATGACATTACATCATTAGGAAATTATATCAATTAGAGTATTTAATATTTTTATCTCTAATATTAACTTTACCCTGCCCTTATTTTAAATTTAATTTCCTAGAGAACATTCATTTATACACTATACCCCTACATAAAATTCGATTCGTAGATTTTGCAGCTACAACTCAAAGAAACTTGAAATTATGGTAATTTCGCTCAAATTTACAATAGCACGTAAAATATTTCCATAATAAAACATAGATAATATTTGAAATCATAGAAACTATTTTAGATATAATTATTTTGATCGATAAAAACTGATATCAGAAAAATTTTTAATGGAAATCTCGCTTCCTGTGTTAAAATCATATCCTACTGTTTGGAGAGAAACGGTTTATTTTGATATTATCAATAGTAGTTACAATCGTCGCAACGGATGAATTTGTATTATCGTAAATTATCCGATCCTTAATACTATGGACAATTCCCATGTTTGCTTTTGCAATGTTCTTTAAAAATTACTACAAAATGAATAATGGCTACATCTGTATAAATATCCTTTATAGTTCTTAATATCAGTTTAAATGAACACACAAATGGACTGTAATAAAAAATGTAATTGCCATGATTGGTTGAAGTAGTATAATTTGTGTTTAATATTTACAATTCCATATAAATTAGGAAAAAATTAAAATTTCTCTGTACAATTGGCACATTAATTGTCTATATTCTATAATAAATGTCAAAGCTTTTATTCAATAGTCAACTATTCTTTTTCACTAAATACAAATATATTTTAACGTGCTAACTTGTATGAAAATAAACGAGGGTGCAATTGATATTTTATACCTTCATACTGCTTGTTCAATCGATAACTAACATACAAAGCGATAAATTAATATACAAATTATGAAATCAAGAATGCATACACATAAGTATGTATTCTTGACTAAGATAGTAGTCTTGAACTACAATTAATTAAATGTCTCTACAGGGTGTCCCGTAGCATGTAGGACCCACTTCAGGATTAGATTCTACACGTGAAAGCAATAAAAAGAGGTCATATAAACATACGCCCTATTCGACTTCATTTTCGAGTTATGGCGAGTTTCTTCCTTAATACACCGTATTTGTTCACCTTTACACAAATGTTCAAAATGAGCTCCTTGCATCTGAACATAGGCCTCGAGACGTTTTATCATTACCTGCTTTATCCTTTCCGTTTGTTCAGGAATTGTTCGAATTTTATGAAAGCCTTGTACAATTCGTCATAGTGCGAAAACAAGGTCGAATAGGACGTATGTTTATATGAACTTTTTTTGTTTTCATCTGCAGATTCTAGTCCTTAAGTGGGTTCCACATGTTACGGGACACCCAGTATATTAGAACTTCTTACAAAGCAGCAACCAGGCATAGTGCCAATTGTATTACGACAAAAACGCTATTATGAATTTCTACTTTTCCAAAATCTTGCAATTAATTAAAGTAATCATTCGAAATTCTGCAATTTTTAGTGAATTATTTCGATGTGACATTATGATTTATTCTTCCAAAATTTATCAGAGTATTGTGATGTCAAGGTAAGACATACTTATCTCAATGAGACACTCCGTGTTTACTTAATGTTTCTAAATAGAACTATGTGGCAAATAGCCAAAACAATTATTGGAACCACAAAGACAGAGCGTGTCACTGAAATCATGGACGGAATTTGCAACTCCACCAGCATAGTTAAAAGTTATTTCCTCGTTGATTTCTATGTCTCTAGATGCAAACAAACATAATCGAGGCACTACTCCCTCAACCCTGACAGGTACGAGATTAACGTTCGGTTCACAGCTGTGATTAGAGTACCGTCCAATATTACCAAAATATTCTGGATCTATACACGTGACGATAATTCGATCTCCAATATGTTCGGAAACCACAAGAACGTAATTCATACCAGTTTTATTTGCTTCGACTCTGCGACGTGCTTCTTCGATACCTATTGCCTCACCGGCATATTCGCAAATAAATTGACCTTTTTTGATTAATTTAGTTGTGAACAGACCGAGTCCTTTTTCACCAACTCCTGACACAGTTAAACAATCCAAAGGTCCATTCTGAATCACTCTATTACCACAATTTTCTCTACATGTACAATGAGAGTTGCATTCAATTATTGGCCCTGTTAATTTTTCATCTAATATCCGACCATTAATATAATTAGGGGAACCGCGTGTACATGAACAATCAGAGCACTTAACTACACAAGAACAACCTAGCGAGTACTCTGATTCAAAATCTTCTATGTCTACACCTGGACCTGGTATATTATTTACTACATACATAACATTTGGTACTGTATGCTCGTATTTATCTGCACAAGCAGTTACCTCCATGCTTACCATAATTTTACATCAACAAAAAACCCAAAGAAATTTGATAGTGTCTTTAGGAATGGGCAGCACAAAATAAAGGAGAAATTTGGTTTTCGATAAAAATTTGTTATACCAGGAGTCCTAGAAATAAAATTCCAAACAGTCTACTTTTCGCCACTGACCTTTAATAGTCCTTCGGCCGACGATCTGATAGATTGTAACGTAATACCAGAAGGTAATGGTAAAATTTTATATCCCACGTAAACTACTGCACTCAATAGAGAGGTCTTAAGAATAAATTTCAATATTTTGCTTGATAATGATGGGGGAGGCACACTGTAAAGGAAAAGGAGGTACAATTTTATATCTACAGTATTCGTCTAGGTAACTATATTTAAAAAAGTACCTTATAATGGGCACTATGTCAAATGGCTGCAATTTTCCCCAATTTTTCATAATTCCTGGAGTGTGACCTATTCCAACAATTCCTACAACTCTAGGTGATATTACCCCATTTGGAGTACATCGAGGCATACATGCTACTTGAAGTGTGTATGTAAGATACAGATCTCTTTCCGTTATAAATACTTGCTCTATTGATGGATACTGTTGTTTTAATTGAGCAATCACATCATTTAATAGACTTCGTTGCTTCCAAATCTCAACATATTCTTTATTAATATCCCCTTTTAAATTTATCAATTGCCATCCAAGCTTTATAGTTTGCCACCAAGATAATAATTTTAATACACGTTGAAATGTTATTTCAATGGGCCTGTCACCCAAATGCACAATACAATTTGGTACTTTCCTTGCCTAAAAGAATATTATGGAGTTTATAATTATTTCATAATGATTAAATGATCCCTGAATTCTAACCTATCTATTCTAATTTACCTCTTCAAATGCTCTACGAAATTCACCACCAGGTGCCACTCCAAGTTCCTTAGTAATTTGGGCTACCATTCTCAATAACAAGATATGTAACAATCCACTATAAAGTCCATATTCCTTTAGTGTTTCAACAATACATTCTATAAAATAAATATTTATGAATGTTCTAACAAACAACAAAAGTAACTGTCAATATTTAAATAAGAAATACCAAACACTCACGATAAGTTAGATTCTTAGTATAGCGATACAAGACTTCCTCATTAAGTTGTAATATACCAATTCTGTCTTTGCATAATTCAACCACAACTATATGAGGCTGTACAGCTTGAATTATCTTTTAATTATAAAAGGATACATTTTTAACTGTTCTCATATTTCAAAATTAGCGAACAAACTGATTTAGAAATACAAAGGTCATTCTAAATCTTTTGCATTATACAATTTGTAATAATTAGGAATCAGTAATAAATAGTTTATTGAATTTGAAATATTAAAATGAATTAATAATATACTAAATGTAAAAAATCTTAAACCTTCAAAAATAACCCTTGTATTTCGTCCTATATTTACAAAATTATAAAATGCTGTTTATTTACCATTGAGACATCATTTTGGCTTTCAATACTAAAATGTGCTGTTCCTACTAAATACAATTTTGCTCCCTCCGGTGTAGTAAGTAATGTCACTGTTTCTGGTAACCTTTCGTCTATACTAGCGTCATATTCATTTTGATTTGACACATTAGTATCAGAATTCTTATTGTCACTTTTATCGAGAGCACTGGCCCCTAATTGAGATCCAACATTTTCTAGAGCAAGAAGAATCTTTGTTCAGGCATACAATTTAATAATTCATAAATTTATAAATGTCTAACAAATATATCATTGCAAAAACACATTGTTCACAATAATCATTGTAACAGTGTTGTAACTGATAAGGATACCTCGATATTTTGATAATTTTCTTCTATTTTTGTATTGCACTGGCATTTTGAAAGCACCAATGTAAAACACTATTATTGTATTAAATTCATTCTAGAATTCAAACAATGGCCTTCTATTGATTTCATTATTACATTAGAGAGAGAAACAGTGGAACGTTGCTGTTTTGAAACCTTACAACATCAATTACTTCAAAGCACCTTTCAAAATGGCAGCACAATTATTGAAAGCTTTTTAATATTTCTAACGATTGAATACAAAAATAAGGTATCCAGAAAAACAAAATGACAGGTATGCATTTTAACTATGATTTTAAGTTCAATTAACAATAATTTCATAACTTAAGATTTATTTATTTATTTTTGTATTACCATCTTTAGTTTCTTTTTCCTCTATATCTGCAAAAGATGCCACTGTAGAAAATTGATTTCCTGATTTGAGCAAAGGATCTATATCCATTCCTATCTCATTGGCAATTAATTTTTCAGTCATATCTTGCATATCTGATTTGGATTTTACATTGAAATCATCTCTTTCATTGACTACATAATAATGTTTATCTTCTACAGACATTGGGCTTTGAGACACGATGAAGTTCGAATTGCCAAAGTTTTCATCATTTGATGACATTTTACATCTGACAATTAAAGTACGCATTATATTAGACTATTTAACATTGTTTTACTGGTTATTAGTAATTAAATTTTCTAAAAAGAAATTTCTACTTTTCCATATGGTAACTGATTAAAACAAATTATTTTTGTTGACTTTCTCTAGCATGATTATAAAATATAATTAACGCATAAAAGTGAAAATATTATGCAATGAAAAAGACAAGCTTTTACTAGATTTGTAACAAGAACTATAAAATCCTTGAGAATATCTGTCTTTCAATGATCGCATACGTTAATTGTAATCAATCACGCAACGTTTCAATAACCTCAATAAAGTAACAAACATATGGTTTAATTATTAAATGATTTATATAATCAAAATAAATCAAGATCTCTAAAAATCTTACGAACGCGACCATGAAAAATGACAATTGACACGTATTATTTTTGTTTAACTTACAAGTAAATATTGTGGAAGAAAGCTACTAATGACAGAACACAACACCACCTCCCAAAATCTTACTAGGAGTTGTCAGCAAAAAATTTCTTTCGCTCGACTGTGAAAAAAAATCCTTATCAAATTCAATCATCTGATAAAAGTAGTTAAAAGCTGTTGAGGGAAAATCAAGTTTTGCATAGTTTGACTTATTTTTCATTTATAACGATCGAAAATCACAGACGATGACACACACATAGAAAACGATCGACAATTACTGTCAACTTTAAATTATTTTTTAATATAAGTCCAATAATTTTTCTCGATACATATTACGCTTATTAATTCTGCAATTTTTTTCCTGCCTTAATATCTCGAATGATATTTATATTTGATATCTTTCTCAGTTCTGAGAGAATCAATTTCTAGATTGGTAGAGAATATTAAAGTGAAATGAAGTTTACAACTTCAAAATAAGCCCAAGCCCAGTGATGCCAGAAAAGCACCGTCGGGTGCACACTCACACATGCTAGATACGCGTACGTGAGCTCGTGGAGTTCCGGAAAGACGACAAAGGCAAACTGACGCATGCCCTCTTTCTCGATTCTCCGAAGCTGCCCGAAGTAATTTCGGACCGCTTCGTGGGAGTCGAGAGAGAAAGGCTCACATTTGCCTTCTCGCTCTTAACAACTGAAATCCGACCTCCAGTCAACGGCATACGATTTGGATTCTCGAGCCGAGATTCTCGACTGCCCAGGCATTTTTACTTTCCGACCTATGTAGGCGCACATAAGCAAAGTACCCATAATGAAAAAAAAATGTTGTAAAATTTATTTTACGGAAATACACGTTTTAAGACCTCCTGATCATATTTTAATTATTGGAAAAAAAGAAATTTTTTTTTATTCCCATGTATGAGCACACATATGTATATTATTAATACGATTGAGTATAAATAGCTAAATGAATTTAAATGAAACTTTACATTTAAGTTTTATGTTCTCATTTCAAAGTCCGGTTAGACTTTGACTATAATCAGTCCATGGATAATAATGATTATACCTCTTGTTTCATAGTTGTTCCGATATATGTATAGGCATAATGTATAAAAAATCTTTTAAATGTTTCATATAAATCTTAGGACGAATTAAATTTTATATATGTTAGACAGACGCGTAGAATGGAATTAGGAATTAAGAAATACGCAGGGTATTCGTATACATGCTTTATTCCCGTTCTTGGGCTCCTCCCGGTTGGAGGCACACCTCCCTCCGCATTCCCACTCAACCACAGGTGCCTGGTCACCAGCGCCCGCGACCGCATGGTCACGTTGGCCGCAGGACTCATCTGCAGCCAACTAGCAAACCTGCGGCCTTAGGTAAAACCCACGGCAAATATCCCATGCTCCAATCCACTCACACACACATTCATACCGGTGTTTGTTCCGCGGGGTGCTTTCGCTCCGACCTCCGGGATGCCAAGCGAGGATGCGGCCACCATCCTTCATAGGTTAATGAACTCATCCCCGCATCCCATCCCAGCGGCTGTCCCTATCCGCCACCTGGTGACGCGTCACGTAGGGGTTCACCTCCCCTGCCGCCTGGACAACCAAACGGGTGCGCGCGTTTTAAGACCCCCTGATCATGTTTTAACTATTGAAAAAAAAGAAATTTTTGTTATTATTCCTATGAACAAGCATATGTATACTGTATGTATATTATTAATACGATTGAGTATAAATACCTGATTGAATTTATACTCGATACGTGAAAAATAGATTCTGCTCATGTTGGGTATTTATGAATATTACTATTTCCGAATACGACTGTATATCTCAAATGAGAAATCTCAAATTTTCTAGCAAACCAAAATATGCAGAGTTATGAAATTATACAACAAACACAATTTTACAAGTTTTAAACATATATTATTTATTTTTTTTGCGATCCGCGCATTCATACAATTCTTACAGCTTCTTATATCTCACATAACTTTATATAAGTTGTTATCGTTTTGAGCTGCATTCAGTAAAAATAATTTTATTTAAGCAGTAATAAATGACACTCGATTTGTGCAAATCTGGAGGTATCAAAATATCTTCTATACATCATAAGGAAAACAATACTTTTTTTTCACTTCCTTCCTCTTTCAATAGTAAGTCTTAATTTTCCCTTTTTTGTTGTTCATGTTATACGTGTCCACTCTTAACAACATAGTAAATCTTTCTTTTCTGTCTTACAAGTGAAAATATTTAAGGCCGTTTTATTCCGCAACATAGGAAACCATGGTATGTTTGATCTTTCATTTGTCAACAACAAGATTACAATTGCTCGCACCTTGTGATAATTATGAAACTTACAAACAGCAATCCTACCTAAAAGTACAAACGAGTATCGTAGAATATAGAATTGTGTACTAAAATTCGATTGCTTTATTTCAATTTTAGTAATAGGATATTTCTTTTCAATTTTAATACTGAAACACCTTGTTCCAAAAGCCAGTTATGCGGGTGCACATTTCTATATTCGGTTGTACTTATCAACAGTGCATTATCCTTGACAAGAAAAGAAAACTTAGAAATTCCTTAGAAAGCCATTCTTATGCTAAGTACACATAGGTATCAATAGTTTTTATACATATAAGCTCATTATAGTTATGGAAATATTCTATCCTTTCTGCTTGCACAAATAATGCATGCGCAACCAATGGTCGATGTACTGTGTGATACTCAATCCCTGTTTTTCGACTTAAAACTATGAAGTTTGACTAGTATGCAATATTTTTATACAATAAATAAACATATATCCTATCTTCGTTAAAACTATTTGCGAATGTCGCAATGCAATAAATTTGACCAGTGTTTAGTACCCTTTATTATGATCTAAAATAAAGTGAATCATAGTTTGGAAGAAATTTTCAGTCACAGAGACTCGGTTAAATAAATAGAAAAAGAAGTAATACTTTTTGATACAATATTTTTATAGATACAATGCATACATTTTCTTCCAAACTTTCATTAATTTTTTTTTTGTTCCATATTTTTGAAAAAATTTACTAGTATATCTTCATTTTTAAAGCAAAAATACGATATAAATTAAAATAGCTTTGCAAAGAAGCTCTAAAGGAAGAGCACAAGTTTGTTTATTTATTTAATTCATTTTGGTCATTTGGCGTCGGAAGCTTCTTATCGATTCTTTATATAATTAAGGTACAGTAAAAAAATGTTTTTTTCTTGTATGAAATAAAAGGCACCAAGTTTGCCAAACATCTATAGTTTGTTCATAGGAGTTCATATCTTTCGATTCAATTAACTGTTGAACAGGTATAGCATTTTACAGTGAATTCAAACATTTTTTGCATTTATTCGTTCGTTTTGTATTGTGAGATATGATCAGACTCTGGATTTGTCTGTAAAATCAAGCAATTCATGTGATCTTACATATTAAACTTCAAATTCCTTTTAATAATATGATGTGAATATGTAAAGCTTTGTAAATGGTCTATACAGCAGTACTTTGCAATAGAAAATACAATTGGAACATTGATCCTGTACCTGAAAGAACTTGCATACAGTCATTAACAATTTTGGACAATAGTCTTTCAATATATTCACTGTAGAATATTCCGTGATAATTATCGCAAGAATAATTAACTATATATATGCACAAACTTTATTTTGGAAAACTTAAAACGTTGTATGTGATGTAAGATCACTTAAGTGCAAGTTTCCATATGAATCTTCTATGAAGGAGTGTTGCTTTAATAAGCATTTTGACATTAATTGATAACCATAATGAACAAGTTATTGGAAAAATATATAAAGCAGTACATATCAACTTCATTGAAACTTTGTACTTATTTAATGAGATATGATAGTGTGTATATAATCATTTACATTACTCAGCATATGAATCGAATACATAAGATAGTACAAGTACATAAAATATAAATATATAGTATATGAAAATATGGAGACATGGAACGAATGTTTGTGAAAATAAAAAATAACACATACAAAGTTTTAATGATCCTGTAATATGCAACAGATTATATTCCCTTTCAAAGTACACTAAAATGCTAATGGAAAAGAATATATTAAATTAGAGTAAGTCTTTTGGTGTCATATTATAAATAAAAATTAAATTCGTCTATTTGCCGTCAATTCAGCCATCATCTTGTGCAATCTTCAATGTTTAAGAAGTGGCTACAAAATATATTCACATAATTCAATTTAATTATAATAATAAATTAGTAAATATTTCATGAATGAACAGCAGCACTTTAAACGCTGTACATAAAAGAAAAATATTACGTATGTTTTCAACATTTGAAATAGCTTATATGTATGTATGTATATACATATATATATATATATATATATATAACAAAAGAAATGTGACGTGAAATTCACGATGCACACTTAATCCTAGTACTTTATTACACAGAAGAGTTACTTGAGTGTCTACAAATATAAACGATATATCGACACACACTTTCTTTTTATAGTAAATATATTAAAATTATTTAAATGCGAAGCATGTTTGAAGACACTCACAGCTTCTACTGTTACTCTTTTTGTTCTGTTTTTTTTTTTTAAACTTCAACAACTGTGCACTTGTTCTATCTGCCACACCATTTGTATATGTATGTACATTTAATGCAAGAGCCATACTGTATATTCTATCAGTAAATCAAAACGATTACTTTATATATCGCTGCATCCATACTTTTCCACTGTTGTTTTGTACTATTCGTTTAAAAATACTGAAAGAATATATATAGAGTGTAACAGACGGCTTAGAACAGAATTTCTTACGTAGCTCGATGTATAATTAATAAATCACATTAAAAAATATGAATGTTGGAAATATCTAAAACTCGTACTGTTATATAATTATAATAACCTAATTTGCATCTGCTCCAGTAGGAATATTTTTTTTAATTTTTTGACAATACCGTCGGCAGGGCGGATTTAGTAAAATGTTATTGAGTACTTTGTGCAAAATAGAATCCGTCGATATGAATGCAGGACTACCATTTTTTCCCGCAAATAATGTTTCTCCCCGAACGTTTTCTTTTGCACAAACTGACTTTTCCTATTTTAAGCTCACTCGACTTTATTTTCGCGTAACATGCTTTAAAAATATAGCGTATTAATTGTTAAAAAGTAAAATATTAAGTAACGCGAATTTCGAATCGTGGATGGCCTGTTGACAAATCAATTTGTTTTATTAAAATAAGGCATTTGAATTCTTCTAAACATCAGAATTCGTAGAACCTCGAAGAAATAAAATATTCGCTCAAGTAAACTTTTGATATCGATGCTATAAGGACATGACAAATTCATGGTCCCAAATATTTTTCAATGATGTTTCGACTAGATGATACATTAACGTACTAAACATCGTGCCAGCGATACCTTACACTTGAATCATATGCTTTCTTGTATAAAGCAAGACTGCAATTACGTATTCCTACATATTATATCACACAAACTTACTTATTAGATTGTATACATTCTGGGCGTTATGCAAAAATCTTCTTTGTTAAGTCATAATACGACAAGATCTTGTCTTATACAAAATTATAATTTATGGGACTAGTGTGTTAGTAGGCCTGGCATGCTCTTGTGCTAAAATTCCATTCTCAGGTGCTACTGGCTTACTTGCAAACTAAAGGGCGTAGGCACGCAGTTAGCTTAGTTTCATACGCTTTGATTGACTTGTGTTTGATGTATCTAAAAAAAAAAAAAACATTCTTTAAGACACTATAGTTTTTATAGATTACGGGTCAGAAATATAAATGAAAAGTCATTCACCTCCATTAGAAGTAGCACCAAATGCACTGACTAAAGAGCAATTTTGACTTTTCTGAAAGGAAATACAACGGACTGAATTACAGAATTATAAAAAATATATCATCTATCGCATGGATGGGGAACCTACGGCCTTTTCGCAAATTTGATCAATTACCTATTTTTTTCGTTTATATATTATATATTACTAAACGGTATGTACTTTAATTAAGATTATGAAATTCTTATTTTGAATGTACAATGTTAAACTATTAACAGTTCTTATTGATATATCCACTGTTCTATGATTGGTGTAGTGTGCTGCGGATACAAAACGTTAAAACAAAAGAGAATAAACAAAAAATCATTCTTAGCAAATCATTTTGTTTAGCAAAATTAACTGTACGCAAAATGTATGTCATTATAAGGGTCTGTGAAGTGACATGCGATTTTCAATACCAAAGGTTCTCCATCCCTGGTATATAACAGTAACAAATAGTACGCACATCTCCCATTACAGCTATTGGAGTTGTTCCTGTAGCAACAGCTACTTGATGCTCGATCAAGTAAAACATATATTCATCGTACAATAATCGAATTAGGTGAAAAGACCCAAAACTAGCTGCACTTCTTAAGGTAAGATCACGAATGACCATGGAACTGTTGAATGAATAAAACGAAAACAACAATGAATTGGTAATAATACTTCGTATATTAAAATTTATTACCTATAGAAGGACCACTTGAGTAAAAATTGACGAGCAGCTTTTGCAAACGTAGGTTTCTCTTCGAATGGTTTAAGAACTTGCGTCACGACACTTTTTAACCAAGTCGCCCAATTTTCTAATGACTTTTGTTGCTGCAATGTTACTTTAAAGTCTGCTTCCAAGCGTTGCACCATTGCATAATCGCATTGACATACCCACGAAGCCTGGAAAAAATGTGTCTATGTATTCTATGCAGCTGTAAAGAGAATCGTATTGATACATCATTTGTCCGTTTAACTACTGTAAATACCTGTTCTTGTACATTGTGAAAATCAACGCGATTCAAATCAGCTAACATTTGATTTATTTGACTAGAATTTTGAAGCACTGCACGTGCTGCTTGAGCAAGGTGATTCAGTGATGTGTAACGCCTTAGTGTCTGAGCAAATGCAGATACAGCGGTTAACTAAAATAAAGGTTTGTTTATAATAGGAACAGCTTACAAAGATATAATTTTTAACATTATACAGGATGCGTCTTTTAATGTATTCACATAATTATCTCCTGTACTCTTTGTTATTCGACAAAATGTTTACAGCAGGATTTACATTATTCCGAGGAAGTATGTAACTTAATTCAGTGAATAGTTTTTACATCAATGAATTCATTTCTTAATGAACTACACGTCTAACTAAATGAAAATACATAATTGTATTGGGGGAAAAAACAAAGATCATTTAGTAATTCAGAAGGCATTTCCACCTAATCAATATTTGTGTCCATCATAAAAAGTCCTATTCGAAAGAGAGTAAGTTTTATTGGAAACATTTTTTTCGAATAACAAATAGTCTGGAAGATAATTATGCATATAAAATAAAATGTAACACCACCAAATACCAGTATTCGTAGTACCTTTATCTGAGTCATTTCTTCTGGACAATCAGCCATTGCTGATGTCAGCCATGATTCTAGTCCTTTTGCAAAATTTCGAATAGACTGCGTCAATGAACCTAAGAACCATATATTAATACAATAATATGAAATCATAAGTGCACAAAGAAAGGATTGATGCAACTCACTTGGTATAGGTCGCAATACATTAGGCATTAATACTTCCACCAAGTTTTGATAAAATGTGTAATCAACCTTTCTAATGAAATCTTGAACTTCTGAACATTTACACATTTGATATAATTTGGTTCTAGATACACAATACATACAGTTAGAATTGTTTTCCTTTAATTAACTTGCAAAACATGTAATGAAATTTCTCTTAAAAATCTTACTTTGATAAATATTTTTCTTCCTCGCACTCATCGCCATTATTATTGTCCTGACTACGCCAAAACTCTCTCCAAAGACTTTCTACAGTAGCGAATTCAAAATTGAGAACAGCATCCAGAAATGCTTCACAATGTTCTCTGTATATGCTACGGAATGTGTCAATATCTTCTAACGTGCAATCTTCTGGGGGGGATGAACCATGCCCCACTATTATCTCGGGAAATTCAGGAATAGCGCCACTCGCTTCACCAAGGTATTGATGATACTGTGGCGGCGAAGTATTTGAAGAAATATTTGTGTTTGAATGTGTATTATTTTCGTACGTAGTATCTTGCTTTTGATTCACAAATTTAAATCGTTTTGTTTGTGAATTTGCACTCTGTTGCTGACGAGGGGTTCCATCTTCATTTAACATTACTAAAGGAGAACTAGGTTTGACACGAATCCCATAGTAATGATATTTTGAATTTCCTCTATAAAAAGTCACAAATAGCCCCATTTATTGATATGTTTCTATATAAACTACGTTCAAAAACAACATCAAGATTAATTACCTCGTGCCTAACCGCCTAGTCCTTAAACCCAAAAAGACGGAACGTATTAATTTTCCAAAACTTGCCGCATTTACAGGGTCCAATTTGTTTTCAGAACAATGACGCAAATAATGATTATAAAGGGTAGATCTTGGAAGAGAAACTCCGTCCGCTGTTTCATAATTTTCAAGTAACCAGTGAACCTATTTATTTAACAAATATTATGAATTATGAACACGGAAGGGAATTTTATTTTTTCTAACTAAAAATGAATTTTATACAAACAAAAGAAATATGTACCCAATGCAATACTGAAAACAAATCAACGTTAAATATAGAATACTAATTAAATTACTCGTAACATTCATACTAGTTACAATCATGTTAGAAAAAATGTTTTTACTTGTGTTATTACTGAAATGAATAAAATTTTGAACTTATGTACAAAAAGCATCCCTAAGCAAGCAGTTAATGCCAACAAACGTGCTACAACAAATTAGTATATGGTAAAGCCTGCAAATACAGATTATATATCAGCTTACTGTTGCTTGAGAAACTCTAGTGGCATGCGTCATGTTTGCTGCGGCAGCTGCAGCGTCTTCCACGGTGACAGCAGTACCTCCTGAATTACCGCTGATCAAGTATGCCCCTCCACCCCCGCTAACCACAGTTTCCTATCAAACAACCCAAGATACCAATAGCTTGTTAACCCCAATTTAAAAAAGAACTTTAGGTTTTTATAATTTTTCATTTACAAAAAAAGAACAAAACTTATATTTCTAAAAAGTATAACTGCCATCACAACTATCATCCATTTTTAAGTTAAAAATATGAAATTATCAAATAAAACCACTCTTTTCATCCCTTTACAACCATGCAGGGCTCCCATGCCTGCAGAAACATAAATTAGCAGTCTAAAAGTTTACATAAAAAAAAAAAAAGAAAAAACCAGAAAAAAAGAAAAGCAGTTTGAAATAAAAACTATAAACATGCAGTACTGTCTTACCGCATTTTCTGTCTGTGGACTAGCACGTGCAGTTGCAGATATCAACGTATGTGCAGTCGGATCTCCATCTACGACGCTTTGTTGAATTAGATACGTGCCGTTACCCTGAGATAATAATTGTCCGGTTGTTGAATTTGAACCTTGACCAGTGACCTAAATTCGTACAACATTGTTGATAATTATACTTTAAGACGCGTGTCGTGTTTCAATTGACGCTGTGGTTCTAACAATTTTATAAATTACCTGTGCATAGGTCACCGGGGTAGATGCCGGTGTGTAATATTGACTTGAAGCAGGAGTGTACATTGCTCCTGCTTCTCCAACAGCATATACAGGATATGTCCTACAAATATACAATTTATACAATTCAATGAAACATTATATAATTTCATTTTTAGTATAAATAGAACGATAAATAATACGATCGATTTATTACAAACCAATTGTCTTTGGGTTAATTGCAATATTTACATACTCACATCTGACCATTTGCCGGTATATATGTGGAACCATCCCCTTCAACATATTGAACATAAGTAGGATGAGTAACTGACTCGGACCCCACTGCCTCTGGTTCACCTGACACTGAAACAGATACAATGCATCTTAATTCATTTACAGCAACTGATTTTCAAATAAATAAAACTTCACAAAATTCATAAACATTTAAGTGTGACAGAATTATACCTTGTTAAGAAATCAGGTGAAAAAATAGAGTGTTAATGCTTGCACTCTTCTAATGAAATCTTGTATTAATGTAAGAAATATATCAACACATGCAAAATCAAGTGTAGATCAACACAATATATTGTAGTTTTATAGATATGCTGCATATAATTAACGAGAATAATGCATGCAGATTATATTCTGCCCTCACCTACTGCCGTTGTGAGGGACGCGTAAGATGGTGAATCACCGGTGCCTAGTGTAGTCAGAGTAGAAGAAGAGAGGTGCATGTTTTTCAGCAGCATGGAAAGGGCCAAATCTCTACTCAAACACTATAATTTTTCAAACTGATTCTGATACTCACCCCTCATATAAACAACTTGTAAAAAGTCTTTTGACAACTTATCAACATTATTTTTTTTTATGATACATAATTGCTAATCGCGGTAAAACTAATTTTTTGAACAGATTTTTTTTCATACGTTTGTAATCAACAACTTTGTAAACTGATAAGCAGATGAAATAAAAGTATGTAACAATTTATTTTATTTGAAACACACCTGTTACAGTGATAAAATGCGGAGAACCACTGACAATAGTACCAGTTGATGTAGATGCTGTGTCTGAATCCACGAGGGTGTGTTGACCCGAATGAGTAGTGTTCACTACAACTTGCGCTGTAACGTGTGCCGGAGTACCTGTTGAGCCGTTGGAAGAATCTGCAGCGGTTTCAAGTGGATCCTGAACCAATAACTAAATTATTATTTATAGTATGCGTGTCCTCATGATCAACAGCAAAGTTCTATATAATAATATTAATATTTAGAGAGGATATCTTTATGTATATATTTCAATATCATACGATAAATAAATAAAATCGTATTTTCCATAAATCCTGATTTAGTTGCATACAAAATATCAATAATACATTTATGTTTCAAATCTCAATAAAAAACACTTTTTAAATTAGCATTAAATTTAAAAAAAAAAAATCTTACCATGAATAAACAAATGATCAGTATAATTTAATGTAACAAACCTGGATAGGTTGCAGATTATTTGAGCTGGAAGGATCAGGACTAGTAACAACAGTGATGAGCTGCTGGCCTCTTGTCGACTGACTCTGTGCTGCATTACCACTGCCACTGGAACTGGAAGTAGTCACGACAACGACGCTTGGCTTAGGTTCCACCCCTACTGTCGTAGAGCTACCCCCACTGTTATTAGTTCTGGTGGATGCTGCGAGGGCATACTGAGCTCCCGTCGTAGCCATGGCAATCACTCCTTCACCTCTCTCTACTCCCACAGTATCGCCACCACTGCTACCTCCCCGTTTCTGAAGGGAAGGATCTGTAACATAGATATATAACACACACGAATGCAACAAATATCAATAATGTCTTCCAACAGATTCAATGCATGAACTACAACTATAATATCCCCTTATAAATTTGATCATCTTTCAAAACACAATTAGCTTGAAAGGTGAGTGATCAGAGGAAGAAACAAAACTACTATCAAATATATTATGCAAACTAAAAAAAATACTTTTAAAGAACTTATAATTAAAAGTAGAAAAGACAAAAGGTTTTTTTCTCATCAAATACAAACCTTATTTACGTCTGTTGCGTAAATATGGTATTCTATACAATTTGTATAGATATGTCGATCGTTTATTATTCTCTAACGATAAGTTTTCATGCATATTGTTGCTAGAAAATTGAAAAAAAATATTACGATATAGAATACATCGTAGAATTATCATTTGTATCATCGTAATTTTAGCAATACATGCTATATATATATATATATGTATATGTATATGTGTGTGTGTGTGCGTGTGTGTATGTTTAGAAATAGAAAAAATGAATATGATCGAACGACGACGCCCGGATTGGGCATTAGATATACCGACAGATTAACAGGCACCCTAACCTACATAAGATAGATCGGCTACGTAATTTCTCGCAGGTGTGCAGCATTCAATAATCTGTAGATCAAAGGGAAGCCCCGAAAAGCTCCCAATACGAATGAACACGTCATTGTTGCAACGAGCGTACACCAAAATGTGTTGGTAAATTCTGTACCTGTAGGGTGGCAGGTACCAAATACAATGTTTCAAAGGGAAGAAAACGAGAGGGAGAGGGGTGATGGTTAAAATGCACCGTACGCGTGACTGGACATATAGAGGCCCTTTTTCAAGAGGGTTAGAAGTATCAGTAGAAAAGGTCAGATCATAGATGCAATTAGAGAGTATTAAAACTCCCTTCTTACTGGTAGCAATAAATTCTTTAATTATCCAAAATGCTTGCGAAGAGAATAAAGCTTTACTATTAAGAAGGATATGAAAATTTTCAGTACATATTCTACTAGAAGAAAGGTATAAGGTTTGTTAGTTAATTTGAAACAATTTCTTTTTCTACAAACACAGTTTATAAACCAAATATTTAAAGTTCTCTTTTTAATTTAGTATATAATGGAAGAAATAAACAGTAGTTCGTGCATATATTGCTTAACACAAAGTATTATGTCATTCTGTAAACCGATGATTATATTGGAAAACATACCATGTGTACACCTGGCTTGTGTTATGCATGACTGATGCTTGGGACTACTCTGCACACTGTATCTGTTCCTTTACAATATATGTTCTTTGTTCTTTTATTATTTTCTTTTAAATCTTTATAAAATCAGAAATTTGCATAACTCTTTCATAATGTTATCATACAATTATTGGAACATATAGAAAATAGGAAATAATTAAAATGCATATTGCTTCAAATTGATTGCACTGGTAATTTCATAAATACTATATAAAAGAACAAAATAATTTAATATGTTGCAAGCAGTAATGGAATAATTAAAGGTAGTTGCTTTTCAGCCGTGCTTCTTCTTTCATGCCTCAAGAAGTTCATTGATATAATTGATAAGCCCATTTTAATTAAAAGCTACACAGAGGCTTCCAAATATTATATACCCCCTGGATAAGGGTGCACAATAAAATTGGTAAAGCGTGATGTAATAGGGGAATATAGAACGCAAGAAATCTGTAATGGTTTCCTGCTGTTAGAGGTAATATTGAAAAAGAAAGATGTTCGAAAGAACCAGTGAACCAAAAAATATTACAGAATTTTTAAGAAAAAAATTTTAAAAATGTAATATTAATATGGTCTATTAACTAAATATAAATATAGTTCCTTACTGGAATAATCCTTGTTTTGCTCTTACATAGATATACAAAGGGTTAAGTAAAACTTGTATATTACAGACAAAACAAAGTGATTAATTAAATACAATGACTTAAAACAGTAAGTTCACATTGGAAAACTCGATACCAACAAACAAATGACAATGACAAGATACTGAAAAATTAAGAAATTTGGTCATACAATCATGAAAAATCAATATATTCTTGAATATACTGTCTCATATTAAAATTACGACTATTGACTATCATTAAATGAATACATATTGTCAACTATAAAATTATTATCGCGAAGTCAATAACGCGCTCGAATTTCAAAGTTCCAGAACATATGCGTTATTCCCGCGTGCACGTACAAGAAAATCATGAAAACGAAGCATTGTATCAGGAGGATCGTAATTAGAATGGTAACAAAACGCGATTTGTACGTCTCTTTTTACTCACCTGTCTTCATGAATGGCGTGTACTCTCAACACGACGCCCGGGCGCACTTGCGCGGCCGAACGTGTTCCCCCACGTATTTCAGTCGGTCTTTTCCCGTTTAAGGAATAGCCGTGCCTGTCACCCAGGAAACCACGCGAACAGCCAAGCCACCGTAGAAGCGGAAAAACGGAGTAGCACACTTCGACGAACCTGTATATTTTGTTGTCGACGGCTAGTCGGAGTGTTGGTTGTCTGCTACTGCGGTCTCCTTGACTACGGCATCACTGCCCGCGTCACAACCATTACCGTACGAAATACAGCGGCTACGAGGGTGCAGTACCCCTATTATACCGAGTGTTCGATAAGTTTAAGGTACAACCAAAAAGAGATTGATAACTAACAGCAAAATGATATATATCATGAGTAGAGGCACAAATCTGATGGAATACGTTCGAATTTCATACAAGTATTTCGAAAAACAAAAATAATATTTATAAATGGAATCAAACCTTGAAACATTGCGTTCGAACTTTAGTATGTTCAATAATTTCAAGGTAAAACCAAAAAACCAATGACTCACCGTAAAAAAAAAAATCGAAAACGTAAAATAAAATCTTTTTGTGCGAAGATTCTTTCTCGACACAGAAATCAATTCGAAAAATTTCTCGATAATGTATATGTCAAACTGACTCCTATTTTCTAAACGACACTCTGTATATGCACTTCAGAAGTATGTAGATACGTATCCTACCTCGGTATTTTAAATTCCAATTGATGATGTTAAATTAAACTTTAATCTCACGTTCCATGTAATTAGTAAACGTATCGATGCTCATTCGTTATTTTTTAGTACATTTTGAACGAATCTTATATTTTTTTCTTAACGAAGTATTTGTAATTTTGTAAATGATAATAAGATAGCTGGAAATTCTGATATACTACTCAATTTTGAACGACGAATCCTGTAAATCTTACCAAAAATTAAGTGTAATGTAGTTACGACAATTCTATTCACAAAAATTATGCATATATCGCACTGGAAACATCGAACTTTTGATACAGCACTATAGAGCTCCACGGTGCCCCTCTTTTTACTCTGATAGTCAATCAGGTATTTCGTTAAATCGTTGAAATCTATAATTTCTGTTTGGGCAAGAATTTAATTTCAATTATTTTTGTAAGGAATTCTTATTCTTCGAACAGTAAATATTATTTCTACATCAAAATAACGTTTTACTTATTGGAACATGTTTACGTGCGTGCGCAATCGCATATTAATGCGCACACCACACATCGTATCAGAGAGCCCGCATTATGACATTTGTTTTACTCCGATAAATATAAGTTTTCGATCGGTTGTTGATTTTTACCTAATTAAATGCACGCAGTATGCTAAAGCGTTTTCACTAATCAATTCTAATGTTTAGTTGGTCCGTTCAAATCAATGAATCGAACAAATAACACCGCGTCTTTACGAAGCGCGTTGTTCGAAATTATCAAGATACAATGAACTCATGAATTATTGAATTTAGGCAAGCTTGGTTGTTGTTCGATACTATGTCAAAGAAGCGAATAAAGTTAACGAGAATATTAGAAATTACTAAACGTGTAATATTATATAGTTTGGGAATTTATAACAATTTTAGAAACTTTCGTTTATATTTTCAGGATGAAAATAAACTTACTAGATAACGGATTTTGAGATCGGTAATATATAATTGGCAACGAGGGTTCTTCCGTCATCAATATGGAATATCTCTTGGGAAAAATGGAACTATACTCGTCGTCTTCCGGCCAGTCCATCCCTCTCGCGAAAGTTTTGAATTTTTGATCGCGGGAAAAAGCGTCGAATGTATCCCAGAGATACGGTTTCCACGGGCGCAAAATATTTGGCTTCTTATTTCGTAGAGTCGTGAATTTTTTCCGCTACGCTTCACAAACAAGTGAGAATCGAAATGTAGCTATTCAATTATAGAAAGAACAACAATGCGTTACGATACAACGTCTCATAGCATAAATGTAAGAAAAAAAGGCGGGTAAATCATAATATTTATGTACCGTAATTCTATATATCTATTATATGTTAGATTAAACGTATTGTTATCAGTAAACATATATATATATATTTCTAAAAATATAAGGTGATTACGATTGAAATTTTCCTAGCGAAAAGTTTCTTCGAAACGTGATCGATGCTCGTATATCGCATTCGTGTTTCGCGTAATGCTGCGCAGCTGTGACGCAGTTCGTGAAGTGTAAGTTCTGTTGCTTGACAGTTTAAAGATGATGACTTCTTTAGAAACTGAAGTGGAGAAATTAGAAGAAAAAGGTACGGAAGATACCGCGATTTTAGAAGTGAGTACAGTTGCAGTTGGAAGTATTGTCAAACAGGAAAGCCGCGATGCAGACTTTTTCTCAAATTGCAGTAACTCCATTGAAGGTTCTGTGGTAAGAGTATAACCTGAAATGTTTTTGACAGATGATATTAAATAAGTTTTAAGAAGCACTATTAAAATAACATAAATAATTGACGTGTACAACAGTGGTGGGTTCCATTCGAATGTAGCAATAATATTACAAAAACAATGAAAAGCTACATATCAATTTTCAGATAGCATCCCCTTCCATTGATAGTTTCTCTACTCTACCTGAACAAGAGATATCAGACTTTCAAATAGATCCTCGAGACCTACAAGTAAAAGTAGACAATCCTCAAAAACATCTTGAAACACTTGAAACTTATATTACTTTTCGTATAACAACAAGGGTAGGTTTAATTTCATTTTGATTTTATGTTTGGCAGTTTTTAGTAAAAGTTCTCTTAACAACGTTGTATCTATGTTATCATAGTCCACAAGACCAGAATTTGAGGAGGGAGAATACATTGTTCGAAGACGTTACAATGATTTTATTTGGTTGCGACAAAAATTGGTGGATTTATATTCAACGCATATTATACCAGTGAGCTGTTGCATATATTAAAAGCCTATTAATTAATTATTTACTTGTTTGCCCTTAGGATAATGTTGTAGCTTTTGAAAAAGATTATATATTAATCTTATTATTACAGCCAATGCCTGGAAAACATACATTGCTCGCCCAATTAGATCGTTATTCTAAGGAATTTATTATAGCACGTATGAAACTGTTACATGTATTTCTTAACAGAGTTGTTAATCATCCGATTCTTAGCTGTGACAAAAATCTGCACATTTTTTTGACTACTAAACCTGCTGTAAGCATATCCTATGACACTTTACATAATATACTGTCAAATATTATATTTTCATTCTTCATAGGAATTCCTTGTACATCGTAAAAATCGTGCAAATGTTCTTGTCAAAATGACTGATTCTTTACAAAATATAGCAAGCACGTATACTATGAAACAACGTCAGTTTGAATTTGAGCAAATTCGAGATTATTGTACAGCCCTTAGTGAGAAATTAGGAACTATAGATAAAATAAATCATTGTATACACAAGGAGAGACAAGGTAGAGCAAAATTATTTAAAATATTTCTGTTACAAATTCTATTAAATACTATTTTTGGTATCAGACTATTTGCTTGAGCTGCATCAGCTGCATCCAATATTTACCTTATGGGCAACTTCTGAACCGGAACTCGCCCCTATTCTACTAGCAATTGCCAAAGCAATAGATTGTAATGCAATGGCTCACCAGAAGCTTCTAGAAAGCGTTCCGAATGAAGAGCGAGAGTATATTTCATATATAGATGCAGTTAAAAGTGCATTATCTCGACGCGATTCGATGCAAATCAAATATGAAATGACTGTCGAAGACTTAGCAAAGAAAAGACTAGAGAAAGATCAGGTCTGTACATTGAATTTAATGTTAGTTTAAATCGTGATAACGAATTACGATAATTAATAATTTAAATTGTTTGAAAAGCTAATGGGTCTTACAAGTGGCGCAACATCAACACAAAATTGGGGTGGATCGCTATGGAAGGCTGAATCTCGCGATGAAAAGCTGGAAAGACTTGGACAAACAATACCACGATTGGCTAAACAAGCGGAAGTGTTGCAGGATCGCGTGGAATGTGCTAATGAAAATTTGCGCAGTGATTTACAAAGATGGAACGTGGAGAAACAAATGGATTTAAAGAATATGTTAATCTCAACGGCAGACCGACAAATCCGACATTACCAACAATGTATGAACGCATGGGACGAAGTTCTTGCAGATTTGAAATTAGATGGAGTAGGATCTGATCTTAGCGTAGGACCACCTATAAAAATACCTGTTTGAATTGCTACAACTTTCGTTGGACACATCTACACACAGTAAACATCTCGTACAATTACAAAGGTAAAAACGTAAACACAAAAGACGTTTGCCATTAATGACGAAAATTTTATTGCATTTAAGAAACTGACCTTATCAGCTTCAATGTCTCTGCTTCAGCAATTAAATAACTTTATCTCTTAAGTCTTAAATGTTCTTTGTTGAAAGTTACAATCAGTACTTACATAAATTACAAGTGCATTCGTTAGACGCACATGTTACACATTTATATAATGTATTCACATAGTTTTCAGATATAAAAAGTTCATGGTGAAATGGCTTTATAATACAAGATCATGAAATGACATGAAAAATTAAATTAAAATGTTTAATCCTATAAATATAGCTAGGGCAAATTTCGGCATAGAATCAATTAAGATCTTAAGATATATTTTCCTTTAGATCACCAGTTAAGTTTGGGACCAAGTACTAAATGATTTTTACGATTTGTTCTTTCTCTTAATTTGAATCACGTACAATACATTCATTGACAATCAGTGTTTAGTCATCTATATCCGGTAGTTACCAAAGTTATCTATATATCATAGATAGTCAACGTAGCATAGTGCTAGAATATAATTTACAGATCGGAGCAAACGCTTGCAATGTTCGTTGTATCGTTAATCAGTACACTTAATCTACATCATTAAGTTTTGGACAATCCACGCAGCAGCACTTAACAATCAACTTATACAACGGTAGTCTCGTGAAAAAAGCACATAATCTATACAACGTAGTATATCTGCTGTTGTTCGCGCTTGGAACTAACGATTCTTGAGATAGTTATGTATACTATATATAGTATTTACGTTTCCAATACATTCATTACATTGTACACGTTATCTTATTGATAATGAAATTCTTAGATTTGTATCAAATAAATTATTGTTTGCAACATATTATTGATCCAACAGTTACCTTATTCGATCGAAGGATAATTTGGCATTGGTGTAATATAGAATTCCACCAAATTGTCCAAATCATATAGTCTGGTTATAGATTCACCTGCAAAACAATTTTGCATATTTTTGTCATTCCAGTAAATAGTATTTCATTTAAAACTCTCACCTGCCAGCGTCATTTCGTTATGTAAAAATCGTACTGCGTGCGCATATGGTTGCTGTATTTTTTCTCTTAACTTTGGTGCTAAGCGTCGTGTTGGATTCCACAACGGACTCCGAAAATTCGGAACGTTCATAAAGTTTGGTTTCCAGGATTCTGGTTTTACCTCTTCCATAGGTAATACGTCTGTTATTCTATATTGACTTGTATCAATATTCCACGTAAATTTGCATCCCACTTCGTATTGTTTCCTTTCTTGAGAACTGCATACATTTTACATATGTTGAGTGCTCAAAGTGTAACAAAGATCCCTAAGTGTAAAATGATACTAACCACTGAGTTTGACTACTAATTTCACTAGCCTGGATTTTCATAATTAATAAACAAATAATATCACCACTTAATGCGCATACATCTATTATTTCAATGTCGTAATCGCTGCAGTGCCAATATCTCTTTTTAAATCTCATACAAATCCAATCAGCAATGTGGTGAGAAAATGTTTCGATGTCAAAACTTAATTGATTTATTGATACACAAGGTAGTATCTGAAAATGCAATCATCCTTCTATTAAAATTTATTGAACTTCCTTTTGGTCACGAGGCAATAATTTAAAATGGCAGAGTTTCAAATGCAATACCAATTTCTCAGCTTTGCTGTTGCTGATCATTTGCATTTGAACATATCCAGATCCATGGACATGCATAGGAAGAACATATTGATAACTCACGTATCCTCCTGTCTCTTCATCTGTGAAATATTTGTACAGTATTCTTTCTTCTTTTGACAAGTAACATTACATTCGTTTAATACATAATTTGACTGTAACTATCGAATAAACATACCTTCAACATCTGTGATAACAGATATCATTTCATCGTCAAGTTCAATATAGCTTCTTTTAAAGTGTGCAGTACACTTTATAGTAGGATATTGTAAATTTATTTTTGGAACTAATGGAGAAGAATTTAAAGAATGTTTGCCTATACGATCTCTATTTATACATCCATTAGGTAATTGATTTTGGTTCAACGGACGTAACACATTCTTTTCAGCTAACAAGTTAGAACGGTAATATAGAGTGAGCACAAGAATAAAATTTTCCTCTTAATAATAGTAATCTGTTTACCTGAATCTGCAGTTAAATCATTCGACACTCCTATGTCTTGATTAATACTAAAATCATCAGTTTCGCTTTGATCAGAATCTGGCCAATGCTTCCTACCGTTTGACAATACAGGTGAAATCGTCGGGGACGATGGTATTTGATGTATCGAACAGCCACGGTGTTTGAATTGATCTCGTATATGCTTGAAAGGAACTATGTTTTCGGCGTCCTCTGTTTCATCACAAAATTCGTACTTCTTATCGGCGAGTCTGCGTTTTCTGAATGAACTGAGCTTCTCGCAGGTCTCCTGCGCTTCATCCGTGAACTCATACGCTTTCTCCGCTTCAAGAATAAGTTTGTGCGTGGCTCTCGTTCTCGATTGCGTGGAGTTGACGATAGGTGGAGGAGAGTGAAGATTAGACCGTTTGCGAGGACTTGGATGACGAAATGACCGCGTAACGGGCGGTGACATTAAACGCGAAGAACACGAGGAAGAAGGTTTTATGGAGACCGAGTGAAGAGGAGAATTTACGGAAGTCATATTGCTATCTTCCGAAGCACCTGGTTGCGGGGAGTTTGAACGTTGACTGCGTGCGTTTTTATGACTAGATTCCGAATTTCGAGTCTTTAAGATATCTGACGGTGGTGTGAGAATTGGTGACGACCACGTGGTTGTTTTGAGATCAGAGGGAAGCCTTTGAGGCGTAGACCGTGGAGAACACGACGGGTGCTTCACTAAAGTAATTAAATCACTACCAATGTTGAGTTCCTGAGACATATCCTCGCAGAAATCCTGCAAGATCTTATCTCTGACCGATATCGCTTGTTGTTCGGTCCTAGAAACTGGACTCGCATTTCGACATTTATATTCAACGATGTCCGAATATTCGCACGACTTAACACTTACAGCATCGGCAGACTTATTTATATCACAGACACAGTCACTTTGATTACTGCTTGAGGTATTCAATGGATCACGAGCTAACTTATCATCTACTTTAATTAATTCTTCTAAAAAGTCATGTTCTATACTCGACTCGCATCTCGGGGATTGATCGACCACGCACTCGGGTGTACCTACTTTCTCGTCTGAACTTTCGTAACGTTCCACTTTCGTATAATATAATTCCTCGACGTCACTCATATCTAATGGCACTGTATCAGGAATGACAGTGTCCTGCTTATCACAAGTCTTCTGGTTTTTGAACTTTGGAATGTCCAAATCCACCCTGAGTACATGTAAAAAGTTTCCTGTATTAACTACTACGTGATTCCAATAATTCAAACAGACGGTAGCTCGGAACCTAGGATACGGAGAAATTACTTCATAGGTGGTATGAACAGTGAGACCATGTTGAAGACAATTACACCGCACGCAACCATCCCAGTTTACAGCCAACTCTATAGAAACGAAAAAAATGTATTCATTTCAAAATTATATTTAGAATGCAATGCTATAGAAGATATATGTCTCGTTTTATCCTTTCATAAACGATAAATTGAATAATAAAATTGTTATCTCATTACCTTCACCTTCTTCTTCATAGGATGCAGCAACTTTCAAACAATCCTTACAATTTTCGAGAGACGGTACTGTGGTTATTGTTAAGTATGCTCTATCTGTTGGTTGAAGATGCAGCCAATTTGTACTAAAAATTCATTGTTATTAATTACATAATAATTATCGAAATATTTAACGAATGAAATAGCTTAATAAAAACTTACCATAGGCCATGTATTACTAGCTTATTCCGCTCCATTGGCCATTGAGATATAACAATACTAAGTTCTCTATAGATGGTGTAATTACCAAAAAGTGTGACTTCAGCAACTTTACGTGCAACATGGTTTGGAGTGAAAGCCCACCAGTGTAACAAGTATTTATACAAAGAAGTATTGCCGCTCATATCCATTGTGTATGTATATGTAAGTAAAAACTGACCACATTGTGTTAATCCCATTACAATGTGCCTTCAATTACAATAATTATTATTACAAAATGCTTAAGGATACAATTATTTCTTTCACATTACTTCGTGCAATAATATGTAAACATTCCAACATACCCTGCTTCTAATGCAGACTTTGGGAGTACATGTAGAAGTGGTAAATGTCTCCATGAAGGTACAGTAGCGAACAGTCTTTCCTCTGATGCATAATTGTGCGCTGATAAACAACCTCTGATCTATAAAAATGAATCCTTTTACAATGTCGTAAGTGTATTCTACTAATTAGTCTTATAAATAAATATAATCTTTTTTAAACATCATGCAATGAAGCAACAAAACTGGAAACAGTGTTCAGAAATTAAATCCCAGAAAAACTATTATCAATAAGATTGCCTAATACTTTTAGTTTGCAAGTCTTCGATGATTCATCATTTTCTGTCAAGTTTTTAAATATCATGCAATCATCTGTTTTTTTTTTTTCAAGTCATAACAAAAAGAGGAATGAAAATCTACATGGGCAAGAACAAAAGCACATTTTTTTCTTGCAACCATTGAATGCTTAGCATAGCGATTGTCTAATAACAAGCATACTAGCGTATCGAAAAACAATCGAACATTCTTTTTCTCTAAGATATCATAATGCTACTTATTTTTTTTTGTTCAAATCGAGGATGTATTTTGACAGGTCTAGTATCGAGTCTGTCTGTCAGTTTCATTAATGCCTCCGCTAGTTGAAGGTTAAGCAGCCCTACCTCTCTTAAAAAAAGCTTCTGTAAGAAATGTCTTTTGCTGCGACGGTGGGACAGACACGGTTTCTGGCCTACTATAACGTACTCCGATCGTTCAGAGGTAATATCAGAGAACCATTCATTGCAACAATCTGAGGTAGTGTCGGAAGACGATGCGTCCGCCATTTTTAAATAACCCTACTGAGAGATACGCGTGAGGAGCGTCAGGAAGATCGGAAAACGCGATTCACCAAGGTTTACCACATGGGCGCACCAGTCGAATTGTTTTTAACACTATTTTCTCGAGAAACGTGAAAACTCAATCTCGATTATTTGGTCCTCTGATTGTTTGGAAGAATAATCGGAGAAAGTACGCGATTCGGATGAACGCGCCGATAGACCTTACGAGACGCGAGAATTGCACATACGGTATTTAGCTTTGTGTCGAATTCATGTTAGTCAATAAAAAATACAAGATTCGTATAACCCTGGAGGGTTAAAGAGCTTCGATACTATTTATTTGTAACAATCGGAGATACGCAAATGTTTTCTTTGAAATTGAAATACGGTTTAACGATTACGGAATAACATTTTAATCATTTATTCGAAATAATGTTAGGAATTAAATGAATTTATGCGCGACGAAAACATGGAAATCACGCTGGATGATAAATTAAATATACTGCAACAAATAAGTCAACGAAAACTTGTTGAAATATTGGACGCAATTCCTGGAACAAAAGACTTGGTGATAGAACAAAAACTTATGAAAATTTTGGATAGCTTTGTAGGAGTTTCTGTACTAAAGTAATAGCCTGTAATAAGTATTTAAAGTATATTATTGTGAAATATTCATAGAATAATATTGTCTTTCATTTAGACGTTATGGAATTGACAAAATTTATAAAATGGAGCAAAGTTTAAAGTTTTCAAACTCTCAACGTATATTCCTAGTCTCAAGTGATTTGATCTCTTGTAAGAGGGTATTAGATCAAATACAGTCAGAGATTTCTGCAAATATCAGACCGCATGTACAAGTGTGCCATCATATTTTGGTAACTCCATTTGTACCAACAGTTTTGAACTCTATTATTGAAGAGGAGGGTGATTATTTACAGTAATAAATATAATAATAATTATGATCATTAAAGTCAAATTTGGGTAAGAATGTCATTATTTGTTTAGGCTTATCTGGATTAGTCACTGTACAAACATTATCATGGGAATTCATAAGATTAGATGGCAATGTCTTATCTTTAGAAAGTCCTATGTTTACCGATCTTTATTATCACAAAGATACTACTTTACTGCCAGCATTAGCACGCAACTTATGGTCACTACAACTTATACTTGGCTCACCCAAACTTTTGCTTTCATTTGGTAAACATAGTCAAAAAACATTCAAAATTATGGAATCTATAAGGAAGTGTTTAGGCACATCGAATACAGAAAATGAAATAGGAGCTCTAATTTTGATGGATAGGGATTATGATCTAGCTACACCACTCCTAACTCCTGTAACTTATGCTGGATTGTTGCACGAGGTTGTAGAGATAAATGTTGGTACAGGTACATTGGGCAAATCTCAAACTAAATTAGATCCAAATAAAGATCAGATTTATGGAGAAGTAAGAGACACACCGTGCAGTGATGTTTTTCCCATTTTACATGGGAAAGCTAAGTCTCTAAAATGTACAGTTTCACGTTTCTATACATTCCTCTTACTTCGTCTGATTTCGATAGAAAACAGTAATATCTTTGATACTGTATATTAGCTGAACAGGATGCTATACAAACAATGAAGTTGTCCGAAATGGAGCGATACGTAGCAACGAGATTGCAAAAAACGAGGGATATGACGCGTCAACTGGCTTTTCATATTTCTGCTTGTCAACTTATTGCTGATATGCTAGGTTCCGACTTTCAAACATTACAAAAAATAGAGAAGTCTATACTTGAATGTAAAGATAGAAAAGAATGCTTAACTCATATTGAAAGACACATAGGTATGTATACCTTATTACTACTATATACCTTAAGATTACAGTATCGTTTGTAAAACAATAAATTTTTCAGATGATCATCCATTGAGAGCTTTACGTTTGTTATGTTTATTGTCCATCGCGAGTGACGGCATCACTCAAAACGAGCTATACTCTATCCAGAAACTTCATCTTCACGCGCACGGTTATAAACATATACCATTAATTTATAAACTGCAAAGCATAGGTCTACTAAAGAGCAGAACGGAAAATATTTTGCACAAATTACCAAATTGGAATAGCGAATGGAACAATAATGCACAAAAATTAAAACTTTTGCCAAGTTATGCCAAACAAATAGACCAGAAAAGACGAACATGTCCCAGTTATGTGTTCAACAATGCTTACATTCCTGTGATTGTTAGTATCATTTTTAATACGATTTGTTCATTAATTCTTACCTGTATGAAGGTAATTAATTATTCATGTAGAGTAAAATCGAAATTCAACTTACTACTATACAGAGCAAGTAATTTCTTCGTTTAACTCATTTATTCTTATATTTAAATAATTAACTATATCTCTACAGGCTCAAGTATTAAATGTTGTTATGAGTCAAGAAAGGGACTCTAAGAATCTCGAAGAACTGGCAAATTTATCAAACTGCGTTGTAAGTGGTCGACGTGGTTCGTTACAGCCGAAAATGGTGGTGATATGTATTATAGGCGGTATCACTTATGCCGAAATAGCTGCTTGTAGATTAATAGAAAAATCAACTGGAATTCAACTTGTTCTTGCATCTGATTGCATAATAACAGGCAATAAAATACTCGAAAGTGTGCAAGAAATATAATACTTCGTGACTAATATGAGAATATAAAATCTGTAATAATGAATATTGTTTATTCTTGTACTGTATATTTTATGTTTTATATGTAAATAATGAAAATGACAAGTACGGAAGTCCGGATATTTCAATAGTACAGTAAAATAATATACCGTTACTTTGCATAATGTTATTTCCAACATTATTTACATGAATGTGTACATGATAGAACAATGATCCAATGTTAAACGCCCAAGTAAATAGTATTCGATGTTCTTTGATTTAATAATTTCGATTTTCCTCTCGGTTACGATCTCGATCACGATCGCGTCTCTGACGGCCCCAATCTTGTCCCTGTCTGTTGTAATTTTGTCTATCGCGGAAGTTTCCTTGATTTCCTCTTGGGAAGTAGTTTCCTGTAACATATTATATTTAAATTTATTCAATTCTATATAAGCAATTGAAATGAGTTGAAGTATATCTCCTTGTTACCTTGTTTCATTTCAAAGATACGCTCGTTGGAGTCGACGAAGTTGTTCACTTTATCGTTAAGCTGTAATGCCAGGGATTGAAGGCGGCTTGGTTCGCTGCGATGCATCACAACAGTCTCTGTTGGATCATCCAAAGACGCCATCAGCTCCTCGTTGAAAATCATTTTGCTGATAATAGAATGAACAATAGATCGTTTCAACTGAAACATTTCTGCTAATTTGGGCATAGAAATTGAATCATAGACGTGTGAATAGGTGAACAAATATGTTCTTAGCGCTTCCTCCTTAATCAGTCTCGTTAGCATTTCACGGACTTTGTCTGCCTGGTAAAAAAGATCCCAAACTTTAGCATTCATCTTTTCGTTGATAATGAAATTATTGCATGCCAGCCAATTTCCGTTGCGCATCGCTTTCGCTGCGGCCACGACATGTTCTCTCATAGATTCTGGAGGACCGACTAACGACTGACGTTCACTCGATCTTAATTGTTGGTAGAAAGTCTTGGAAATCATTCTTCTCCTTGCGTCAAATTCGTGCGCGGCCATGTACGGAATTTCAATGAGCATAGCAGAAACCAAATAAACGCATTCGAGAAGTTCCAAATTGATATGCATGTGGAAAGGCATTTGCCTCTGTTTCTCAATCTTCTCTTGCTCTTTGCTACGCTCGTGTTGTCTTTGAGGCAGAAGACCTTGTGCCAGAAGTTCCTTAACCTTCCCTGTTACCATTAAATCAACCAAACAGTTATGTGCATCTTTGATGTTTGCGTGCCGGAATGCGCATAAGCCCAAATGGGCAATTGTTCTGTTATACAAAATCTGCAAACAAAAAATTAATGAGGTTAGGAAGTAATTTTAATCCTTGTGTGATTAAAAATACGCACTTGTGTGGCTGGGTCGGAATGTTGAATAGTCTCCTGTAAATGAGACATCAAAATAAGGTCACGTGCTTGGAACCAATTATCGTGAAGAGCGTGATGATAAATATGGGAAAGAATCGCACGAGTTCTAAGCCTATCCGTTCCATCGTGAGCGTAAACGTATTTGCAAAGCTTTTCCATAACTTGTACAGACGTTACAACTTCTGGACCAAGTTCTCCCTGAAAAGATATATATATATATATATATATATGTATATACATACACATAATATCTTTGCATTTATATGTTTATATCTTTAGTAATAATTAACTTACTTCTTTCTGTTTAAGAACATTTGAATCGAATTTATAATACAAGTGCTCTATTTTACGTAGATATACACGACAAAGTTCTGAAACAGTTCCTTGCCTTTCTAAATATTCCTGAACTTTGTCTATTATTGCAGACACTTGTTTCTCGTCTTTCAACCTAGACAAAATATCAAATAATAATTTCATGATACTACGACTAATTTCAAGTATTAATTTATGCACCTTTCGACGTATTCATTACTGTGTGGATCGCGTTCCTTCAACAGCTTCGTAAATTCCTCGTCTAACCGTTCTACTAGTGTCAGCACACATCCGTGTATTTTATATGGAGGAGTTTCGTATTCCTCTCCTTCCTCGGAAATAACTTCAGCGATTATCATATCTTTAGTTTCTAACAACATGTCAAGCATCTCTGTTATACGTTCCAGAATCCTGTGTAGAATAATTTATTTATATATATTCTAAAGTGAACTTCATATTACAAGATTTGACAGATATACGAACTTTGACCAATATTCGGGTTTCATCGCGTCCGATACTTTAGGGTTGTAATCAAAAATAGAAGATACAATGGAAAACTTAATTTTCACTGCTACAGCTGATCCAAGATTATGAGAATCAGCTATGCATTGTAATTCGTACAGCAGTTCAATCTGTTCTCGTCTGTCTGTACGTTTTTTACCACGAGCAGCAATAATCTCGGAGAGTTTTTTCAAAACTGCAGTCACGTTAATTTCAGCATCTTTTGCAAACATTTTAGGCTTCTCAGACGGAATAGCCACACCGCCTTTAACGGTCTCCCACTCGCCTTCACCATCATCTTCATCTTTCTTCTTCTTCCTTTCCTTTTCCTTGCGTTCCTTTCGCTGTTCTTTCCGTTTTGCCTTATCCTCGTCTTCTTCCTTATATGCCGCCTTACTACAGTATAAAAATTTGTGTCATTACAATACCAAAATATTTTTTTTCTTCATTTTTCATAAATCTATTCAAACTTACTTCTTGATATATCGTTCACGTATGTTTTGATATTGACCCTCTTCCTCGCTGCTTGTACTCTCGCTATCCGACGAACTACCCCAATCAGATTCGCTTTCACTACCATCTTCACCATCGGCCACACTTTTCTAAAAAGTTATGCAAAATTTTGTTATAAAAAAAGAAACGTGTACCTGAAATGATCTATAAAGATTAATTGCATCTACAACAAACCTTGAATTTAGATAAATCTGGTTCGCTTGCCTCAGAACCAGCTTTCTTAAATGCAACTGCACTGTCATCTTCTTCCTCTGATTCTATAACTTCATCTGCTAAAATTTAAGACATTAATTAATTTTCTTTTATAGAAACATACATGTAATATAAGTTATGTATGTTTTTTTACGTTTTTCCTCATCTTCATCATCATCTTGATCTGGATTTTCTCTGAATTTGATTATATCCTCTTCAAAGTCTTTATTATATTTACGAAGTTTCTGTCGCAATGATGTCAATGACTTTGAATTATTTTTTGACATATTTTTACGTCCTTCACGATCCTCCCACACTTCAGTGATGAAGTCCTCCATTTCCACCAAACACCGGACATAAAAACGTGGTGTTTGACCACCTTCTTCCTTTGTAATTACTGGTAATGCCTTTTGATAGGCACGCATTAAATCCTCAAAACCTATGATCATAACGATTCTAAATAAGGAAAATCTTAATTGCAAGTTATATTATATGCACTTACTGGAAAACATGCTACTCATATCTTTGATCTTTTTATAGTTTCTTATTAGTTTGATCAGATTAGCAATTTCTTCATATCTTTTTTCTTTTGTTGAACGTACAACCCTCTTTGTTTCTTCTTCTTCATCACTGAACTATAAGAAGAAAGAACGTAGAAAATGATTTGATTAAAATACAGGTTGATCTAGTGGGCTTATTATTTTACTTTTTTCAATTACAATAAATAATATTATAAAATGTAATTTGTATTTACCGTAAAAGCTGTGGCTGGTGCCCTCTGAATCTGTTCCTCTTCTGAGGCACTATCAGATTCAGAGTCTGAACCAGTTGCAAAGAAACGACTCATATTGCAAAAGATACTGTAACAGTAAAGTGGAATATGGTTAACAGGTATTTTTTATTCATAGCAACATGTTAAACTTTTCAAATGCAATTTGTTATTAATGTACATTTAAGTGTTTATTTAAGTATAACTTATTCGTTGCTTCTAAATACTAACAAAATATAACGATATTACAAAGCAATTGTGCGTATAATATAAAAACAATCATTTCCATATAGCGGTTTGCATTATCTTTGAACACATGGTACAATAATTTAATCAATAATGCTTAATACAACACTTACGGTAGTATTAAATGAAAAGTTATCTTAAAAATACAAATTTTATTTATTCTACAAAACTTACAGTGAACAAAATTATTTGCTCCTTTTTCTTTCAAAGGGCAAAACCACTATAGGTTAGACTGACAACGACATTAAAGGCGGATACGCTTGCTACCGAATCAGCGCATGACATAAAATGAGTTCCAAAACTGAACTGTACAATATTTTTTTAAATTTGTTCTTTCTGATGTTCTCAACTTAAATGTTAGTAAAATGTAAACCTGTTGATATTCAAACTTTTTATGTCATCGATTGGATATATCAATTTTATACAATAATAAAATGTTCAATAACTTTATTTAAAATGTGGTATTGAAAACGATTGTGGATTAGCCCATACTTCTGTAACGTTTGTCACAAAATTGCCTCGAACCTTTCGGAACGCATGTACGCTAAATTCCCGGGATCGTTATTAGGAATCGGTCCCTTCTGTTGGCACTATTAAAGGGAGTACCTACCTACAACTCTTATACAAAGAATAGAAACACGTTCTCGAAGTACGTACGATCCGTTTCAACGAGATTGTGATTTCGACACAAAACAGAAAACAGTTTACCTGCGATACGTAACGCTTCGTTGAATGTCACATTTTCTCACGGGAGTTTCCCCAGTTTATTGAAAAAGCTGCAACGATAACAATTGACGCGATGGACGATAAATCAGATTTAATAGCCTGTGACATGGATTGCACAAAATTGGTGGAGGAGTAAGTAATATATGAGTATAAACATGCAATGTCATATTGTTTGACCCGTAGTCTTGATGTACTCACACGATACGCGCTTTGAAGTAGTTAACTCAGATATAATCAGAATAATACGATTTACTCGATGAATTGTATAATAAATCATTTTTCCAAATATTTAGCCATTTCATAATCTACTTTTTTTTTTATATTCATTCAAAGTAAAAAAGAATAATTTTCTATTTACGGTTAACGTATTTTGAGTTCGAAATGTATCTTTGAAGTTTTTATATAAATATTTTCTTTTTATGTTAGTTACATTTTACAGAAGATTATTGGATTATGTAATAAGTATAATAAAGGGTTTAATAAACATTCTGTACTTTAGTTATGAAGGTGACTTGCTGAATTATTCTTTCCATGATTAAATGTCTGATCATTCTAGTTTGGCGAAAAATAAAAATGAATCAGCCAAGGAATTTTACTTGAAAAAGAAATATGATATGGCATTGATAAAATACAATGAAATTATTGGTAAGGTATTTTTTGGTCATGAATCTGTTACAATACAATTTAATGAATCGATAACATAAATATTTTTTTAGACATTTGCCCAAAGTCTCCAGTATACTATGGAAATAGAACTGCGTGTTATATGATGCTTGGAAAATTTCAAGATGCCTTAAATGATGCGAAAAAATGCATTGAATTAGATATGAAGTTCATCAAAGTATGTTATGTATAAATTAAATAATCAGTCTTTTACTTTTGTATTTATTCACATTTTCAGGCTTACAGAAGAGCTATACAGTGTTCTTTAATTTTGGGAGATATTGTTCAAGCTCAAACCATCTTAACAAAGTTATTAGAGATTGATCCTGATAATAAAGTAATAGTTGCAGAAAAAAAAAAATTACAATATTTACAAAACTTTCTTAAAGATGCAGATGCTGCATATAAGGCCAAGGATTTTCGCAAGGTTTGGAATAAATTCTTAAATAAATCAAGATACGCATATAAAATTTATATGGATGTAATTAAAAATGACTAATTATTACAACTTTTGTAGGTTGTGTACTGTATGGACAGATGTTGCGATATAAGCACTTCTTGTCCAAGATTTAAACTATCTAAGGCAGAATGTCTAGCATTCTTAGGGAGATACCAAGAAGCACAAGAAATTGCAAAGTATATGACTTACTTATATTAAGTGTTCAAAATAGTACTATGCTTTCTACCTTATATTGCACACTTCTGTTTCAGCAATATTTTACATATTGATAAACAAAATCCGGATGCGCTGTATGTCCGCGGTATGTGTTTGTATTTCCAAGATGATATTGGCAGAGCATTTGCACATTTTCAACAAGTACTCAGATTGGCACCAGATCACGTTAAGGCATTGGAAATATATAAGGTAAGAAACATTCAAAGAATGTCTGATTAATTATTTATTACATTGCATTATAATTTTATAGCGAGCCAAAAATTTAAAGAAAAAGAAAAATGAAGGTAATGCTGCTTACAATATGGAACAGTATCAAGAAGCATATAAATTGTATACTGAAGCCCTGACCATAGATCCACAAAACATAGTAACGAATGCGAAACTTCATTTTAATAAAGCGACAGTAGCTACAAAGGTATTATATTTTTATTTTCTCCAAAGTGGAATCTTTGAAAAGGATTATATATTTTGTGTACTTTATAGTTGGGTCTCCTAAGTGAATCAGTTGCAGAATGTACAGAAGCATTGAAATTAGACAACAATTATTTGAAAGCTCTTCTTAGGAGGGCAGCATCTTATATGGAACTTAAAAAATACGAAGATGCTATTCATGATCTCGAAAAAGCATATAAAATGGATAAAAGTCGCGGTACGATATAAAATTTGTTTTTACAATAAAAATAATCTTTCTGGTACACTGTAGTAACTCCTCGTACTTCCATTTACAGACAACAAACGGTTACTTATGGAAGCAAAATTGGCGTTAAAAATATCTATGAGGAAGGATTATTATAAGATTTTAGGCATCGACAAAAATGCATCAACTGATGATATTAAGAAAGCTTATAGGAAAAGAGCTATGGTACATCATCCAGGTAAGATTGAAGTTGATGGCATACTTTTACAAGCCATGTTAATATTGCTTTGATTCTCCTGCTGTTTGTAGATCGGCATCCGAATGCAACCGAAGGAGAAAAGAAGGAACAAGAAAAGAAGTTCAAAGACGTTGGAGAAGCCTACGAAATTTTATCGGATCCGAAGAAACGATCGCGTTACGACAATGGACATGATGTAATTGATAGTGATGGCGGTTTTCAAGGTTAGAGTAATGATTTTATTTATATCTAAGGTGCAGCAAAATATGCCATCGTTAATTGCAGTACGTCGTGTGGTATTTTTAAATGAGGAAAAATATTTATATTTTTATATAGATATCGATCCAAATGCAGTGTATCAAACGTTTTTCAACCAACACAACGGTTACCAGTTCCATACAGGTGGCGGCTATCCCGGTGCTTTTCCGTCTGGTTTTACCTTCCATTTTAGTTAACAGCATTCCAAGAAGCACGTCTTTATGCTCGTTATATTATATTAGATTTTGTGTACCTTTCATTCGTAGTCCACCTCGTATTATCAGGCAACGTAAATAATATAAAACTTACTAGATATAGTTTTATATATTTATTTAAATATTTGTAAATATGTCTTATATGTATCCTTATAGAGTTCACCGCAGTACGATACGTAAATGACGAGTTTTATGAATCATATCGGTATTTAAACTGGTCACATTTTTTGAAAAAGTACAGTTGTATTGATAGTTACTTACTAAATGTTATATGTAAGTTCTTTCGTCGTTCAGTGATGTTACAAAGTTAGCTTATATATTCAGCCGAGTAATACAGTCCGCTATAAACTTTCCAGACTCGCTTTAATTCGTTGTTCGTGCGCATTATATAACGTTCAAATTGACTTTGGAATGAGATAAATAAATTTTACGCAATTCGTGTCTCTTTGTAGAAACATAATGTATGAAGCATTGTTAAATGAAACTATAATAAATTCTTAAACGAAGTTGCGGATTTTTATGGTAATCGTAGTTAGATAACCGAGTAAATTTAAGAGTAATGCGATAGCAATTATAGAGTAAACGGAAAGTAAGTAAACAGACTATTATTTAAGTATCCCTGTTAAACATTCACTTATTATATTATGAATAACTATGGAATTTGTAAGAAATAATTTAAGTACCTTATTTATTTCTCTAAACAGATGGCAACATAGATCACACATCCAATTCATCAAAATAAACAAATTTGGTATTTTTATCGTTTATTTAAATACAAATATCACCTTCTGAAAAATTTAATTGTTCAACATAAATTCCTGAATGTTAATAATTTATTAAAAAAAAAAAAAAAAAACAATATAAATAAATAAAGTTTCAGACGCAAATAGTAGTTTTCAAGGAGAATTTTTAACGGTATATTGTTCACAGAAATATTTCACTACTAACGTCTGCTGACTTTTACCAGGTGTCTTTTAACAATATGTATATATGTATAAGGCACGCTATACTGGTCACAGCTTGAAAAATACAGGCATGTAAATTTGCGGAGATTATGCGCATTTTACTAGATTGAATTAAACGATTGAATATAAGGCACGCAACAGCCGAAATATATTTTATAAAAGCACATTAAAAAATGTAACAGCACCTATATATTTATCGAAATCTCACTTTCAGCAAGAATATGTGCATGCCACTTTGCCGAAATTAAAAATTACAATATTAACAAACGTTTCGACTATCGTTTTTTCATTTGTTCATATATACTGTAAACATACAATCGTTAATTACATAGGACAGCACATTTACATTTTGTACATGTCAAGTATTTCGTTTGTATATTTTTTACATTAGCTAATATTATTGAGCATAAAAGTACGGTTTTAAAATATACTGCATAAGGTCTTTTAAGTAAGTACTTGGATTCTAAGTTTTAAGTAACTCTTTTACAGAGCACAGGTAATAATTTATGAAAATGTCTCTTTCAACTATTATATAATTTAGGCGTTACAGATACTTTAATGTTAGTTTTTAGTTCTGGTAAAATGTTGAACGTAAACATAATTTTTAGTATCATTCAATCACTTGTTCCATATGGCATATTAAAAACTATATCACGAGTTTACTGGTACTCTAAAAAATACTAAAATTGTTATAATATCCGTATATTAAAACTTGTCCTTGATGGCATACTCTAGAGTAAGTATATCCGTTTAAACTAAACTGTTTCAAACAAATATGGTGTCTGCAATCTTACACATACGGCATAAGTACATATCGATATCATAGTTGTTTGATAGTATATACATATATACAAACAATCCACTATAAATCCTGAATCAACTTTGTGCTATTGTATATTATCTTATACTTAATTACTAGATTCATTATAAGACGCTCTACCCGCCAATTCAAGTAGGTAACGATCAGGATGATCTATCCAATCACTAGCACTTAATTTAACAATTCTTTGTTTTTCTGCTTCTTTTACCTGCCACTTCTTAATTTCCAATTGACGCTCCCTAAAGATGTTCTTCCATTAATATTTTTGTCAACATTTATTTAAAGGGTTACACTACCTTGGCAGGTAAATACAAAAAAATTTTCACAATTTTTTATAACAATAATATACACCTAATTGAAATGATTGTTGCGTTTATAAATTAAACATATAATAACACAAAATAAATTTGATTTCTTTTCCACTGCTAAGGTGATGTAAACCCTTAAGTCAACCGGTATTTATAATGAGACATGCATTACCTCAATTTTGTATCTCCACAGCCCCACACTTCTAAACTAGCAATTGGATAAGGTGCACCTGCAATACTGACTGAATGGAATGATTCGTCTATACTGATGTACGGCGAACGTGTATTACTTCCAAATCGTAATCCGTGAGGATAACCCCGAATATTAGTATTTAAATAAAGTAATTTGGCTCCTTTTTCTATAACCCTGTATGATGGAAATAGTTCAATGCCTACTGAATCTTCATCACCCCAATACAAGTGACTTTCATGCCACTCTACTGCTGAACATATGCAATATGTAGGGCACACTGTATCCTTGTCTGGACTAACAGCTCTTATAAACAACAGGGTGGGACCTCTGTATCCTAAAACGTGATGGAGAAAACGGTTGGCTCCTGTTCCATGCTCTGAGCTATTGTATAACAATGCCCAATGTCTAGGACACACACTGCCCAACCTTTTAGCTATCAAGGCATGAGGAACATCTTGTGGTGAATTATCTACCTAAACATATATTTGTTTGGTCCATTGTTTAATAATGCAATGAAACAATATGGGGTTTGTAATGGGGTGTGTATGAGGTTTTTAATTAAAATGTACCTGAAGGTAACATTCGGGTAATGTACTTGATAGCAACCATACATAGCTCACAGGTAGTAGAATTTGAGGAAAATCTATGGATTCTGGTTGCTCCAATATAGGCGTTGGTATCTCCAGATGCGGTTGGGGTTGCTCTTTAGACAATAGAACTTTACCATTTCGATAAGCAGTTGTTAGTACATGTACTATGTAATGATGAGGACCATGTATTATACGTGGACAATGCTGCGAAATCCAATTGCTCACAAAACTCACAGATAAAGCATATTTGCCATGAAACTGTAATATATATTTTATAATATGGAAACAAATAAAAATCATACTTCAATAAATATTAAATTTACTAACACAAGAAATAATGACTGCATTGATTATTTGTCCAGCATAAATACATGAAGCAGTCCCACTACTATCCATGGCAATTTTGTAAGAGATATGTAATAGACCTTTCAATCCTTCAGGATCAATGTTTCCATCATCCTTCATGTTTGAATACATTTTTACATAATTTTCTAATACAGTTTGATCATTCATCACAGAGAGGAATTTCTCAGCTTGTTGCTTAAAAGAATTTGCACTCATATGAGAAGTACTGACATTGGCAGTGTGATGCAAATAGTTGAATAATTTTTCACCTAACTCTGGATAATTAGGGAAAAGGTACCGTTGAAATACAGATTTTGTAATACCACTTATACGTTCCTCGTCATGTGTCAGATGTGACAGAGTCTGCAAAATGTATACAGTATCACCAACACATACAGAAAAAAATCTAATCTGTAATATGCATTAATGCTATTCGAACTATTATAAACAATCAGTTATAGTTTATTTTGTCAATATCAAAATACCAATGAATGACAGTTAAATATTCATTTAAATTTCCGAGCAAAGTCAACAGTGTTTTATATAAATTTATTTTCACAACGCAATAACATTATCTGTGAAAAATGACAAAATGTTACATCAGGAACATGATTATAGGTTACATGAAGTGCAGTATTTGTCAATATACAATAAAGTTTCATGAATAAGCGTTGAAGAATGACCTGTAAGTCATTCATGAAGCGCACACGACAGTTCAAATTTCTAAAACACGAAGGAATTTCCTGAAACGGCAAGCTTTCACAACGACAAATCGCAGTGTTATTCTCTTTTGCGACTCATAGAAAAACATCTCTTTTAAAATACGCAACGAACAATACGCGATGCAATAATGCAGTTATAAGGCAACATCCTCATACCTTCGCTAGACTCTCGATCGGAAAGAACTGCATGTGCGAATTACTTTCTAACTCAGTTCCCGAGGAACTTTTCGAAAGGCTAGTTGCATTGGCTGCGTTGCCGGCGTGTGCAGCAGAATCAGTCTTCTTGGTGGATGCATGCCCACGTGTCACTTGATTACCCATTTCTATTCGACTAAAATATTATAGTATAAGCGACTTCACTGCTTTCTCGTCTGGAGATAACATCGCCCACGACAACAAACATGCATGCAACCATATGCAACTTTCGACAAGATCGTCATGAATTATACAAAATTAAGTAGTGCGTGCGCTACAATAGCAATGAACGATTCTACTCGATTCTTTTTCCGAAAAATCGATTATTCTAACGATTATTATAAGAATCGATTCCCAACAATTCGATTATTTTATAACGAGGAATCAATGTTTACGTTCTACCTCCCACTTCACGTCACTCCGGTAGGTGAGACGCTACACATTACACAAAACTTGTTCGTGTTTTAGCACCGTAACATTCTTTTGTAATTTTATTTTATTTTCTATCTCCTAACTACAACAATGATTGTGACACGAATTAGTGAAAATGCATACTGAAAAAGTGAAGCTTCTAATTATTGAAAATATTAATCATTGTAATAATTAATTATTATGATCATTGCCCAATAGATTCATATAACGCCACTTTTGGTAGTTTAAATTCCCCGCCGTGAAAGTGTTAATGTGTCTGATCTCAACATTCATATATTCCGCGAGTATGACCGCCATGTTGCGTTTAGGAAGCGCGCGCATCCATCATCCTCGTTAGCGCGTGAGACATCGGGGGGTGGGGAGAGTTCTTTTCCAAAAGCGTGCATCGCCTGTCATCGGGAAAAAATTTTGTCGGTGAGATCTCGTTTGCCACACGTACCCGACTCGAAAAAAATATTCACGCGAACGCGTGTGTTCCGTCGCGTTTACTGAACGATCTGAATCGATTTCTTCCCATTTCACTCGTGGCGTATGCAACACTGACAATTCGTGCGTATAAAGTGCTTGAAAACAAGAAAAGAAAGAAAGAAAGGGTGAGACGAAAGCAATCATTAAAAAAGATTCACGGTTAGAAACACGTTGTAAGTCATAATAATGCGACAGAAGTGGTAGCTTCGGGGGTAGGTATTCACAGGAGCAGGGTGCGCGCTTCCAAATAAGGTGCTCCCAAATGATCCAGCCAATCCGTGTCGATAGCGCCACTACGTGATCGTTCGTTGAATTACGATGCAAACGTTATTACTTGCCGGCGGGAACGTTGAAATTCCGAAGTGTTAGTTTTCAAAAGTATTCACGTAGTCACAGATGCAGCTTTGCATTCTTATCAGTAGTACGCCAGTGTAATGCTTGACTGTGAACCGTATGTATATCCGTGCATACGCCTGAATATTTCTATGTGTATGAGTGTATGTATCGTGCATACAGGGTGCGGCATAATTCGTAATACAGTAAAACCGAAGGTGATTCCTTGTTTAAAAATAAATAAAAAAAATGCGGAGTAACATTTCTTCTTACGAGGTTTCTGTTTTAAGAAAATTGAGTTAGAAAGTTAATTGAGGACTACGCGTATTGACAACAAACATCTCAGTGGTTCTCCAGTGATTATATTAATAATATATTTTTTTCGGTAACAAATCAGTAAAAGTATTCCCCCCGAAATTTGATTGTAACAATATTCGCAATTTCTCGATTGAGAAAGTAAGTTTTTGTCACACAAAAATGTATAAAATTATTTTGACAAACGTAACATTAATATGTAGCAATGTATTGTATGGAGAGTCACTGAGGTTTTTTTGGCGATTAAACGTCTATTCAAGACACATTCTTAAAAGATTTTTATTCCACGCATTTAGTTTATTTTACAACTAAGAGTTATAAATTTAAATTTGGCGATACATTATAAAATCAATTTAAGTCTAATAGTATAATGTAAATTTTAATTTAATAAAAATATTTATGATTTATACAAATCATCCAATTTGGAAAAATGTTACATTATTCGACCGTAAATATGTTCCGATATAAACACGGTCTGGTAGATTAGATACAGTTAGTGTGAGTGATTAGCAGTCAGCGTCAATCTGTCGACGATAGCAGAACGACTACATAATCGGGACGTGGAAATTATTCCGTTACTCAGCTTTCTAGAAACGTGTGTGATTCATTCGTCAAATAAGCCGGTTTGCAATTTGAAAATCATTCACCGATGAAGTTCGATCATTTATCCGAGTCGGGATAAAATAAAGGAATCACGTTCAGGGGGATGATAATCATTTCGGTTCTGTCGTTAAAGCTTATTATTTCGCCTGTTTCCGTGCAAAGAATCTGCTCCACTTAAGTTGAGCAGTGTCTGCGATTTCTAACGCGTTAATGCCACGAAAGATATTAAATCGAATACAATTGACCTAAATGGTTCTCCAGCAAGGTGATTGAAATTTCAATATCCGCCCGTAGCCAGAATCGTTTCAGAAATGGCAAAAATGTTACGATTTAGTCGTGGAAAGCCGTCCAAAAATATATCAGGAATAACGTTATATCCGAATAATAATTCACTCCTTAGACGGAATCAGAGCTGAACAAATTTTATTTGAAATTAAAATAGAAAATAACGTTTCAGTTTTCTGTTTCAAGGAATCTTCAGAATAGTTCGTTCCGAGCGATACTTTGTTCGAACAAAATTATCGGTGAGAGATTTTTGTTTTACAGTTAATATTTTGAACAACGTTATTTCGAAAATGACCAATAATGCAAATTTGGGAACGCTATGATGATCAGTGCGTGAATCATCGTCATATAAAAGCGGCGGCCGGTTTATTTTCGGGGTGGATCGGATCTATTTTTCGATTCGCCAAGTATGGTCTATACAAGATTTTCCGGCGATATTCGTGATAATTGGCAGCACTGTGATGTACATGTGTGTACGTGCTCAGACCGGACGAGCGTTTAACTCCGTAAACCGTAAAAGTCTCAGGATTCGAAAATATTCTTATTCCCAGTCGCGCTCATTTCAACATCAAGGGTGGGGAAACTATTTATAAAACGGGGATGGTCCACGCGACGCCCACGCCGGCGGTGGACACGTAACAATAATTTATTAAAAAAATCATAATACTGACACACCAAGATACCCCGTCCACTTCTTTAGGTTAATATCTGTTGCTTTCATTCTTGTTTTTTTTGTTTGTTCATCTGCCGAAAGTAGGTGCAGATATGTCTTTCCGTGTTGTGCGCAGCAGCAAGTTTCGCCACGTGTACGGAACGCCTTTAAAACGCGAACAATGTTACGACAATATAAGGGTGTCTAAGTCTTCATGGGACTCAACCTTTTGTGCCGTGAACCCAAAGTTCCTCGCCATCATTGTGGAATCCGCGGGTGGTGGTGCTTTCATAGTCTTGCCTCATAACAAAGTAAGTCTCACCCTCTTTTTCTTCAGCTATTTCTGATAAATGCATTTGATTTTATTTATACCTTTATGTTTGAATCATGGCAGCAACAACATAGAACGTTATAGTTATCGTAAATAGTATTGATAGTCATTTCATATTGTTATAGGTAGGACGAATACCAGCAGATTATCCTTTAGTTGGTGGACACAAAGGTCCTGTATTAGATATTGCATGGTGCCCTCATAATGAAAATGTCATAGCATCTGGATCTGAAGACTGTGTAGTTAAAGTATGGCAAATACCCGATGGCGGTATTTCCAAGACATTAACCGAATCAGTGGTAGACCTTCAGTTGCATCAGCGCAGAGTTGGTCTCGTTTTATGGCATCCATCTGCTCTGAACGTGCTATTAACAGCTGGATCAGACAATCTTGTCTTGATTTGGAACGTTGGTACTGGGGAAGCCATGGTACGAATAGACTGTCATCCAGACATGATTTATTCTGCCTGCTGGAACTGGGATGGATCCAGATTAGTCACTACATGTAAGGATAAAAAAATTCGTATTTTGGATCCAAGATCAGGAGAAATAATAGAAGAAGCTATTGCGCACGAAGGTAGTAAAGCAACACGTGCAATCTTTCTTAGGTATGTAAACTTCTATCTGATCAGTACATACAAATGCATAAATGCTTCTATTTTTTAATTTTTCGTGCAGTTACTCACGAATTTTGATATTAGATATAAATAATTTTTGCATTTTAGTTTAACAAACTTATTATGCAATATATGATACATGTATAGCCATAATCTTTGGTTGTTAATATCAATTAGCAATTTTTTTTCAGTAAAGCAATTACTTTTTTATATAATTAATAACTTGCTATAATTTGAAGAAACATTTTACAGATATAGTTTATTTTTTGCTTTTAATATTGACTTTAGTTTTTATGCAAACAATATTAACTAATTGGTGTGAGTAATTATAATCATCAAATGAATACATATGTATTTAAGAAAAAAACTTTGTTTCTTATTTCACAGGTGTGCTATTAGTTGTCTTCTAAAATTGTATACATTTGTTTTAGCACATAGAAGCTGTTTTTGTCTATATTTGTATAAATTGATATGTAGAAATCAGCTTAAGACGAGTATTTCTGTTGAAATGTTTCTAGGAGTAATAAGTACTTTTTAATATGCAAAACACTGTCAACATATTTTTCACATCAAATAATCATCAAACAATATACATCCGCCTTTTTACACAATAAGTATATATAGAAAGATGAAATAGAACTACAAATATATGATATATATTTCGATTACTACTTGCAGCAATAACTAATAATACCATAAATTTTTTAGCAGTCTACAATATCTTTTAATTGTACGTGTAATTAATATTTCTTAACAAGAGTATTTGTAAAAGTTTCATGAAAGATACACTTCTATTCGCACGTTAAGAATATTTTTATTTTTTATTATCACATGGTCTTTCCAATTTGTGTAGCGCGAGATTTGGTATTTTTTAATGGAAAACTGCAAGATTGAAAATACAACATCAGGAGGATGTCAGCTTAGTAAATGACAATATCAAGATGTCCACTGTGTAATATCTACATAAGAATTGCAGTAAGTATTGTATCTCAAGTTATTACTTTAAAGTATAACATTTTGTACATGTTGATAAATAAATATGTGTATAAGTTCAAAAGACAGCGAAGTAACTACACTAATTCAGAGCATATTATAACGATAAAGTGTGATTTTCTGCATTCAAAATAAAACATTTAATACAATTTTGAATGCTGTTAATATCTGTTTCGAAAAGCAGACAAATGATTCAGGTATACATCTTATAATATTCAGTGTCCAGCTGGTATACTGATTTTTATTTAAATACAACTTCGAATAATTTGACGTACAAACAACACAATTTTTCTTAATCGTCACTATATCTGTTTCATATTATTTCACACATGTGTGTTTAATATAAACATAGAAATTTATGCAAAAGCATAATTTCCTAATGTTGTAACAAGGTGGATGTTATTTAGTTTTGATGATTAACTTAAATAAGAGAATTCGTAAAACAATATGATAGAAAGGATTATATAGTATAAGTGTAGAGTATTTAGAAATAAGTTACATCTTGTAAGACCTTATATGTGTACATATCGATACATGTTTTAAAGATATTCATATTCGACCAAAGTTCTCTATCCACAAGGTTCTGTTTACTATGTTTGCAGGGGAGGCTTGATCTTTACCACAGGTTTCAGCAAAATGTCTGAGAGACAATATTCGCTGCGCGCCCCTGACATGTTAGGTGAACCTATAGTTATGGTAGAATTGGATACGAGTAATGGAGTTATGTTTCCCCTATACGATCCTGATACGAATCTAGTTTACTTATGTGGGAAGGGTGATTCTGTGATTCGATATTTTGAAATTACACCCGAACCTCCTTTTGTTCACTATATCAATACGTTTCAAACTCCTGATCCTCAACGAGGTATAGGAATGATGCCAAAACGAGGCTGTGATGTTAATAGCTGTGAAATAGCTAGATTTTACCGACTCAACAATTCAGGCTTTTGCCAGGTTATTTCTATGACGGTACCAAGAAAGGTATGTTCAAGCAAGCCGAGCTTAGTTGACAAATTTTAAACTAGATGAAACATTTTTTATAAATATAATGTTGTTTAATTTTTAGTCTGAACTTTTCCATGAAGATTTATATCCAGATACTCCTGGTGACACTGCTGCAATTTCGGCGGAGGAATGGGAAAGTGGAACAGACGGGGATCCTGTGCTGATATGTTTGCGAGACGGTTATCAACCTTCGGTAGCCAAAAATGAACTTAAAGTTCATAAAAAGTCAAATATTCTCAGTAAAGGAGCAAAGGTTGCTTCTAATTCTGCGCAAAATGCTACACAGGCGTCGGCAGGCATTACAGTGCGTTTAATGTAGATAATTCCTGTTTTATTATTTTAGAGGAAATTTGTTAAAATGTATGATTATGTTCTTACAGGAGGAGATGCTGAAGGAATTTACCGAAGAAATAAGAAAATTAAAAGCAGTGATTGTAAAACACGAGGGAAGGATACGGGTGCTCGAGTCTGCTGTAGCTCTTCAAATGAAAGAAGAAGAACGAAAAGAGAAATCGTCTTCGCCAGCTGAAAGAGAGGTGCTTGCATCTGACGAGGTTTAATCTTTGAATTATATTTTTAGCTCGCAAAAAAAAAAATAATACGACAAGATAACTAATTGTGTAATAAAAAAATGATCATATATTTTGATATAACAATTTGTGTAAATAGTAGGTTTTAGCTACGTTGTGTGTCTTGATTCTTTGAAATGATCTTTGCTATTTATTGTACATCCATTCATCATACATCTTTTGCATTTGTACTATGTTTACATCTTTTATTTTATTAGATCATAGCCGACACGTGACATCGCCTGTTTGCTAGCATTAAGATATAATGTCTAGTAATCTCTCGAAACTTTTATGTATATTCAACTTTATAAGCATAAACGAGTGCCTAATTTGTACAGATATTTCATTGTAAAATAACGAATGATTATTTTATTTTGGTATAACATTTATGTGAATACCTGTAACTTTTCTCGGACAGATGCGTAATTTATGTGGAAATTATGCGACATAAAATTAATTAAAACAAAAAATAATCGCTATTTTACAAACACTGTGCAAATAACAAATAATAAGATATTAAGTATTTTTGACTAATCTGTTTTTTCGAATATCGTAAAAGGAAACCATTTGTTTTGTACAAAAAATGTGAATACAAAATAATATAACTGATCCAACAGAATTTTATTGGTTCTTTAATCCTCGGACAATGGTCTGCAATATTTATAAAACATGAATATTTATTCATTATAGAAAAATTCGTTATAATATCTTTGTGGTTCGCTAACTCTTACTTCTGACAGAATGAATTTGTTCTTTTTTCACAGAGATCTAAGCAGAACATCTATATTGCTGCTGCAATGATCGAAACTGTCAACATCTTGCTTGTTTTTAAGGCTAAAAATAATATTTTATTTCTCGAAAGTCGTTGACGGAGATTATGGGAATTTCTGTAGCGTAACTTACGTTTATAATGTAAGCACACTGCTCAATTCTGCTATTTAAAAATTGGGACTTAAACAAAAATTAGAATTAATGCCGAAAAAACTTGTTTATCATTAGATCCTTCAATACTTTTAATGCTGCGCAAACAAAATTAGTTTGAATTTATATTAAAGCAATATATACTTTTGCCTTTTGCGTTCGAGATTAATCAAAAAAATCTTGAAAAGATAGCAACACAAATTAGCTTAATTTTTTATTTATAACTTGATTGAAGAATCATATTTCAAATATTTCTTTTACAGTTAAGTGCTCTATACATTTTTCTACGATTAAACAAATTTTCTTTCGCGCTTCTCCAGGGGTTATAAGATGCCCCCATTTTGGAAAATACTGGAAGTAGATAAACGAAGCACTTATCGATATGTTTGCCGGTATGTAGCAAGCTTTGGTGGTTGCGTTATTCTACAAGCGTGTAAAGTGGTGCCCTCTACCGTCTTAGATTTGAATTATTAGCTCTTGTAGCCTAATCGTTCACTACGAGCAGTACGAGCTACCAGCTATTCACTTGCGGCGCAAGTCTTGCGCGAATCAGTGAAGTGCGTGCCGGCATCCTTGTTGAATATGTGCACCATTGACTTTTAACTTCACAGATCACACTCGTCACCATCGTGCGTTGGGTGTTTTTTTTTTTCGAGAGTCCGATCATAGGTAATTGTCAACAATTTCTCTCACGGTGAGTAATATTTTCGCATTGTTATATTCAACATTTTCGATTATTCTCCTGACTAGTACTAACGTTTCACAGCAATGATAATCATCCTTGAAGCAAACACGTTCATCCTCACGGTCAGTCACTTAGCACCTCACTTGCTAACGCGCGCGCGAGCAAAGGTGTCTCTCATTTCCCTACGAACATTTTTATAACCTAACTTTGGAGTACTATCCCTTAATATGCGAGGGTGACGCGATCAAGAAAGGTTAGTTCATCGAAGAATAACGATTATTTACAATCATCTTGTTCGTTAGTGTTTGAAAAAAAATTATTAAACGTTCTCGTCATTTTTCTTTCCCCTCACGAACACGATATATATATGTAGCTCATAATGAGAACGCGTCCAATACAAGTGACATTTGAAGGCATTTGGCACGGGATTCGCGGGTGCTATTTTAAAACATAGCCTTGCGACATCATTTTCGATTTTGTATTATCGCAATATGCACGTATTCCAAGGCGTGCCGTTTGTAAAACATCGTGAAAAGGTTTATGACACCATTTGTACGGACAATGGTAAACCTACCCTTGCGATTTATTTGATGTTTCGTATTCGAATTTCGTAGTTCATCTTTTTTTAATGACTTTTTTGTGTTACCACGATGCGTCGATAATTGAAAAATATTCGTGAAAGTAATGAAAAATACTGGAATTGGCTGGTTATACGAGTGCCAACTTACGTAATCCCACGTGCTTCGGGGGTCTGTCAAGGTCTCAGCTAGCATAATATGAATTATTTTTCGACATTTCAACGATAGTGGCGTCAAATGTAGGAATTCTAGGGATTTAATGCGCTATTGGTATTTAAAAATATTTGATCACTGCTATTCTTTAAACACCCATTCTTTTTATTCTTTTCTTTCTATCGATATATTTAGATTATCACAATCATTTAAAATAACGTAAGGAAATTAATATCGTCACTCATCGGGGGAAAAAACTATACGTTGGAAACACGTGGCTCTTGTAATTCTTAGTAATTCACGATTGCGCTTAGATTTATCAACAATATCAAAGTGAAATTCCAAACGATTACGTTCAAAGCTACACATTTCATTCGTAAAAATTTTTGCCAGAAAATAGATTTGCGATGAAAAAATTTAATTAAATGATACCTTAGTTCAGTAGTAGGTGGCCATCTTAGATGGTCCACCTGTAACACGAACGCGTGTGCGTGACCTTGTAGTAAGCAATAGTATGCGTGAACAATGGAGTTGGGTGTAGCTCGCTTCGTTATCGGTTCCTTTTCCGTTTCCGGGTGTAAAGAAATTTCAAAATTCTTTCATACGCTCTGTTTATACATTTTTCGAGATAAATGTATATCTCGTGCGCATACCGGGAATTGAAACGCAGAGGTGTGATATGTTGCTGAAGAACGTTATTTATAATCTGGTATAATCCAGTAAGTAAGTGTGTTGTAATCTTTCGTAACTAACAGTCTGAGCAATGGTATTTCAGCAAGGCGAGCATTGATTTCATTAACTTTACGTGTATCGCGTTACGCCATGCTAAGCGTCTAGTTCAACGTGTTCGTTATCAATCACATATTTTCTTCGCCGATAAGTTGGCAGTGACTATTCTATGTAATATAGTTATCACCGCATTTTTATTAATCACAAGTAGGATGTTTTTACCGCAATCATAAGTGCGTTTTTTTTTCTTTTTCTTTTTTACGAAAACGGTGGGGATTTTAATCGGTAAATTATTGCATCATAGCGTAAAACGTTATATCGTAAATTGTACGCGTATGTTTTGCATGACACATCGGAATAGCACATGGATGTATACGAAATATACAGGAATCATTTGTCACATGCGGTCAGTTATACAATCCAACGTGGTTGATGTAACTGGTATCCCAACTCTGCCAATACATTTAGTTTTTAAACATAAATCGACCAGCTGAAGCCAACGAACTATTTCAATGCCTCTTCGTTCTTCCATGCTAAAACCATATTCACTCGTGATCACCGTGTCACACGTGCATGCTGCACCTGTTGATACATTGCCAAATATCATGAACAGTGATTCACTAAGTGGATCATCCGCGCGATTAATCGATTGGCAAAGATTACGTCCGATGGTTTACGGGCGATTCGAGCCACTTTGTCTAATCTCACGCGTGAAATTTTTATAATTTCACGGTTACTTATCGCGCGATCGATTATTCAATATCTTAACAACCCTTAATTGGTATCTTTTTCTGAAATTTTCTGTATATCGTTTAGATAATTATATTCTAAGCGGAAAATATTAGCTGCTCGTTTACCTTTTAATTAGGATGAAATTTTCTTAGCAATATAACTGGATGGAACGAAAATGGAAGAATCTTCCATGTACAAGTCGAGCGACCTTGGGCGGTCATCATTTTTCGCGGAAAATTTGCCAACGAGTCATACGATTATCTCATCACGTGTACACGTTTAACTTTATTCCAGATCTTTCCTGGAAGATTGTCGTCCAGGCCGTAAGTGACGTAAAATGGCAACGCTTAAGCTGCTGGTGGGAGGTGCGAGTGCCATAGGTGCCAGTGCTCTTACCTCTTATCTGTTACTTTCCGACAATACCGTAAGTACGTTACCGTTATTGGAACGACGAACCATTAATTCCTTCGAAGCAAATAAAAAAAAAGCATCCTTTTTTTCCTTCCATCTTTTTCGCAGGAATCGAAAATTTATTTTTCGAGAAGTAACAAGATTTCGAAAGACGGGTACATTTTGGACTTCCTTAATTTGGGAAAGAAAGAAGATTCGAGGATTTAAAATTTTAGTACTTTTTGGCGCGTAAGAAAAGACAATGAAATGACGTAAATGCAGAGATAGTTATAGTGTTATCTGAATAGAGAGAACTTTATTATTCGAATATTTTCTTGAATCCGGGTTTAGTCGGTTAGTCACGAAATGAAAAGCTATGTATTACTAAACGTAATCTATGCTAGCAGTCAAGGCTGCACAGTGTTTCACATTCAGCCAGCAGTCGCGTGGTTACCAAAATTTCACTGCTGGGAAGGTCTGTGCCAAGCCAGGCCAGACTATTTCGAACACGATACAATTATTCTAAAACCATAGTTTAGGCATATAGATAGGCATTTAGGCATAGATTCGATGCGCTACGAAAGACTACGCGCTTTCACTGCTTCGTTTTATTTAGAACATTTTCCAAAACTTTTTAGTTACGGAGAATATAATGAAAAACATTAAATCAAATCTTAATCGAATTTGATTTTTTTAAAAACAAAATCAAAATAAAAATATACATGTACAAATTTTAAAATTAATTCAGAATTAATGCTATATTCTACGCGAGAAAAGTTATATGTAGGAGAAATTAATTACTTTATGGTTACTTTTATAACTGATTACACAAAGCAATCATGATAAACATAATCTAACAGTAGCAGACATCACCGCGAGATTAATCGAAAGTCACAGACTACATTTATAATCTACAATCGTAAATCAGTTATTTGTAAGAATTCAATGAAAGATTACTTTAATTTCTATTAGAACCAGTAATATAGTTTAGACCTAGACACTTTTAAAACACTGTTATTTGAAATACTACATTAGATATCATATTACTAGTAAAATATTGCTTGTAATAGTATTTAAAAAATATATTATTTTTTTTATGGTTATTTAATTTTGGGAATGTTGTGTTTTTCTATAAAAAAAATTTCTCAAAATTTGTCTTGATTACGTATCTAATTTATAGATGGAAAAGTAAAAGGCATGTTGCCCTAAATTTAATTTTGTCATTTTTTATTTGTGTCTTGTTTTGCCATGTAGGATCATCCTTTAAAGTTTCTGGCATCCGTTACTGAATATTCGGTATAACAAATATAATACATATAATTTATATATTAATATTTTTATATTATTTATATTGAGTTTATTTTTGTCAGATAAAATATCTGAGAGTTGTACTAAAAGTAAATTATACTTCTGTATCCATTTCATATTTCATAATTCGTTACTTCTGATTTCATAATTAATTCATTCGCCCATTCACTTATTTAATAAATATATATTTTCTTAAAACAATGTTGAGTAGTATCATTATTAACTTATTAGATTAGAAATTTAAATATTTCGTGATTAATGATTAATGTAGTTAATCATATCTATTATATTTGTTTTAATTATTTATGTTATTCATTAATTATGATTACTGAATTAATAAATAATCATTAATCAGATCGCATTTTACTTAACGCCGACCAAAATAACATAAATTACAATTTTTAAAAGAATAAAATAAATTACATTACATTTGTAGCTCTTCGAAAATATAATTACGACGTACAAAGTTTATGTACAGGTCGTAACACGATTAACTATTAATTGATTAATAAAACATAATGTTAACAATTACGATTTAGTGTGAAACACTTGTTCGTGTTGCACAAAACTCAGTTTGCGGTATCGTTGATCTAGGTAATCTATCATTGAGACGTAAACATGTACTGTAACAAAAAACTGTTTGACTATTATGTAATTTTTAAATTACGCAATAACAGAAGTGATACAACTTGTTGGAGTCACGTGAATGCCAAGAAGAGATAATTGAGTTTCGGAAATTAGTTTTGTGGATGGCAGGCATCACGAGATCAATTTATTTAGTTATTAGATGATTGTAGTTGATTATTCAACACTGGCGCTAGGCATACGAAATCTTCTGCTGTGATAATCGGATGCATATTAACACGAGCGTGCACGATGGCAACTAACGAATCGTTTTCAATCGGTGGTAATAAAGTTGCAGGGACTCCTACGCTGCGACAATCAGTTCGCTCTTTTGTACTTTAATTTCTGCGAATCATGCGATTACATTGGTCTAACACCCTTGGTGTTCTGTTAAACACGAAAAGAAGAATTCTTTTTCGTAGATGTAAAAATAGATAAACCATCTATCCTCAACTATTCTCAGTGGCGTATAAATAGCTGGTCCAACTGAAATAATGTTCGTCTGTTCGCTGTAGGTTTATGCGGACAAATCGATACTAAAGCCATTGAAGAGGCCTTTGCCTACGAGAGAAGAACAAGTCAAGACGTTAAAAAGTCAAGAACAATATGACGTTCTTATTGTTGGTGGCGGTGCAACAGGGGCTGGATGTGCGTTGGATGCCTGTACACGAGGTATTGTCTTTTATATTTATTAATTGAAAAAAAGTACGTCGATATCCTATGAAAGAATAATTAAAAATTATATGTCACTGTTAATTTGAAGGTTTGAAAACTGCCTTGATCGAGGGGGATGACTTCGCATCCGGTACATCGTCTAGAAGTACAAAGCTTATTCATGGAGGTGTCCGTTATTTACAAAAAGCCATACTGCAGGTAGACGTGGAGCAATATAAAATGGTCAAAGAAGCGCTACACGAAAGGGCATCGATGCTACACAGCGCGCCTCATTTGGCTCATCCTCTGCCTATTATGTTACCTGTTTACACGTACGTTTGTCTTTCATTATTATTCGTCATCTAAAAGTAATTGTATACATTGATCTGTATTGGATGCGCCTTTAACAGATGGTGGCAAATTCCCTATTACTGGTTCGGTATAAAGATGTATGATCTGGTGGCTGGAAGCAAAACAGTGAAATCGTCGTATTTCCTTAGCAAAGCTGATGCATTAGAATTGTTCCCTATGCTGAAAGGAGACAAACTTACGGGAGCTATTGTCTACTACGATGGTGCGTCTCGTTGTGTATATTTATCATTTGTCAACAACATTCCTCTCAGTTACGTATATCATTTGTAATTCTACTCTTCTGATGTAACAGGTCAACAGGATGATGCCAGAATGAATTTGGCTGTCGCTCTGACTGCTTCGCGGCACGGTGCAACGGTTGTGAATCATGTGTCAGTCGTTAATCTCTTAAAAGGCCTTGATAAGGTACATAGATATTGTCTTTATACTTGTATAGGTAGAGGTAAGATTCTAGAGCGAATCTCTTATCAGAATAAAATTTGTAATGCATCAAGGATGGTAACCGAGTACTCACTGGCGCGCATTTGAGAGATGAACTCACTGGAGACGAATGGGACATAAAAGCAAAAGCTATAATCAACGCGACAGGTCCCTTCACGGATTACATAAGGAAAATGGACGATCAAAGTGTCAAAGAGATCTGTTGTCCTTCCTCTGGCGTTCACATTGTTCTTCCAGGTTATTATAGGTGAGCGATTTCGGGTCAAACAATTTCGAAACGACGGATGCCTCTATTAATTGAATAAATTTTTGTTTAGTCCTGATCAGATGGGACTCCTGGATCCAGCAACGAGCGACGGTCGAGTGATCTTCTTCCTACCTTGGCAAAAGCAAACGATCGCAGGAACGACAGATCTACCCTGTGATGTAACACATAATCCCAAACCCACCGAAGACGAAATCATGTTTATTTTACGCGAAGTCAAGAACTACCTCAACCCAGACGTTGAAGTTCGTCGAGGGGACGTGCTGTCCGCCTGGAGCGGTATCAGACCTCTTGTTTCCGATCCGAATAAACCAAACACTCAATCGCTTGCTAGAAATCATATTGTGCACGTTAGCCCTACAAAACTTATCACGATAGCTGGAGGAAAATGGACAACTTTCAGGGCGATGGCTGAAGAAACAATCGACACAGCTATCAAAGGTATTTTTGTATTTTAATCTATACTCGCAATTATCTCTCGATCTATATTATTAATTTTAATTTCTTGTTAAGCTTGTAATCTGAAACCTGAAAGACCCTGCCAAACGAATGGTTTCCTTCTGGAGGGAGCTCATGGTTGGAGTCCAACGATGTACATTAGATTAGTGCAAGATTTTGGATTGGAGTGCGAAGTCGCGCAACATCTGGCCAAAAGCTACGGAGATCGAGCATTTGCTGTAGCAAAGATGGCTTCCCTGACTGGTAAACGGTGGCCAATTATAGGTCAAAAGCTCCATCCTGAATTTCCATATATAGATGCTGAGGTGAGTATTGTCAGTACGTTTTGGTAATCACTTTTCTTTCAAGTATAATTCGCGATTAATTTCAGATTCGGTACGGAGTTCGTGAATACGCGAGAACGGCAATTGATATGATCGCGCGACGATTGAGATTAGCGTTCCTGAATGTTCAAGCAGCGCAAGAGGCTCTTCCAGGCATCATAGACATCATGGCAGAGGAACTACATTGGTCCGAGGATGAAAAGAAAAAGCAACACAAACAAGCCAGCGAATTCCTTTGCAATGAAATGGGCCAGATGGTTAATCGTGCTTCTCGCGATAAGATTCCCATCAACCTTACGAAGGAAGAAATACAGCTGTACATTAAACGCTTTGGTATTATCGACAAAGACAACAAAGGATACGTATCCATTAACGACATCAGGCGAGGACTTAAGGTTCGCAAAAAGAATTATACTAACTTCATATTTAAGTTTTTCACCTTTTTCTTTCTTGGTTTCGTATTTTTTAATTATCGATGTCCAGGCACTTGGGACAAAAGTTTCAGAAGACGAGCTGCACATATTGCTCAATGAAATTGATCTCAGTTACAATGGGCAAATGGAACTACAAGATTACCTGCAGGTAAATTATAGAACATGTACTTAATCAGATTTCTTTTTACTATTCGCAGCTATTTGGTGACAAGGAAGTACCTGGTGAAGAGCTTCATGAAATACTACGCGAAATCGACACTAATATGAATGGTCAAGTTGAGTTGGACGAATACCTTCAGGTCTGTGAAAGCTCGCACGCACGGATTTGCCGTATAGTCTTGCTGCTTTCAAATTTCCTGCGTTACATAACACTCTAAGTTTTGTTGTCTTTAATATAACTTAGAATCGGTTATTAGTTTAATACAAAAAGTAAAATCGAAAGACCTGTTGGATACGAATAGCTAACACTCTAATCTTCCTTTTTCCGTATTTGTTTTGGTTGTATTATAGTTCCGTTGTAACAATTTTCTTAATATTTGTTTTATTTGCACGAACAGTATTTTTCCTTACTTCCAAACTATAGATTTACTTTCGTGAATATAGTAATAGGCAACCTATCTAATACAAAGGTTACCATTTTCCATCACGATATTAGCCTTATAACAAACATTTTAAATCTATCTGCTTTGTTATCTTTTTTGCAAAGTATTCTAGTGTCATGCTGCTCTTGTGCCAGATCGAAATTGTAATTGTTTGAAAGTTTTTGGACACAGTTTCTTCTTGCATTTCTAATTTACATCGTTCAAATGTAAACGCTTTACTTCTACAGATGATGTCAGCGATCAAATCTGGACACGTGGCGTACTCGCGTTTTGCAAGGATGGCGGAAATGGAAGAAGCGCAACATGAAAAAGAAGTATTGAAGAAACAGATAAGCGTGGAGAGATCAGGTGGTGGACTGTAAAAAAATTCACGTTCGGCAGCATCGTACAAATTTTCGTACGTTTCTAATATGATCAACACATTCAAACAGCTACGGCAAACTGTGTATCATAGAATTTTCATTTACTCTGAACATGAAATGTAGCCCACTGTAGCACAGAATTATCACGAAAAGCTGTCTTTCGTACTTTCTACAGCGATTACTACTTCATTGCATCCGTTAGATTTTAACAATGAAAATGATGAAATCATACGAATTTGAATTTTAATGTAAATATCTTGTGTACAGCGTTTAAGTTACTCAAAAATAGATGCACTGTGTCTGTATATACGCCTTTCGCAAAATACAACATGATTCGGACGTATCAACGAATAAATATACCGTTATAATATATCAGTCAATATAACTCACGTCAAATTACACATTCGTTTTCTTGTTTGTATACGGATACATATATATACATGCATATGTATAGTGTATGTATATGGAATGATACTGGCAACTCATAGGGTGCGAATGTTTTAATTATCATTATCATTAGGCTTCATCATAACTACACAAGAACACAGTGCAGTTTAATGATGGTTTCGTCTCTGTTATCGCATGAAAATTGCAATGCACAGGACAACAAATACACGTCGATTACTGTGAAGGTAATTCGCGTCGCAAGTCTAATCCTGTCTTTAGGACTCGATAAGATGGTTTTATTTATAAATTATATTAATTACTACTGTGTATTAGTACTAGTCTCTACATAGGCTACCCATTATTTAAGTAATTATTATACTTATTTAATTTATTGCCACTAATGTCACACAGTCACGACATACATGATCTATGTTAGAGATTAATTTATTTTACTGTCATTAGTCATTACCATTGACTTAATAAAAGCCATATTGTACTATTACTATTGAATGTATTTTACTCAATATCATTTTGTTATTGTTTTTAATTTAATCATTTTTATGCTTGAGCAACATGAGAGTCAACATGACTTGTTTAAAGTTGTTTAAATTTTTTCTTGAAAGGAGGTTAATATATAGCTATATAGCTAAAATATTGAGATTAATTATTGTATGATAAAATTTAATTTTAATATACAGTACATATTGCACTATCTGACCAAACACTTTCTTTGCAGAGATTACTATACAATATTCACTATACTCCAATTTTTGATGTTATTTTTAGTATGTCCTCGAAAAGAGATTTCACTGTGGAAGGGGCAAATAAAGAAATGATATGTATACATTTTGACTTTTATTTAACAAATGTAGCCGAAAACGCCCTAGCCGTTTTTTTTAGAAATGTGTTTCTAATATTTCAACACATAAATAAAACAATAAACGGAAGATTAATTTTTTTGCCGTGCAAAGGGTTCCCCTCTCCAATGCATCAAAACATGATACGTATACTGACATAACCTCAAAGATAAAGTGAAATGTTTTTAACGTGGATTAACTTTCATGTATATTTCTATCAAATTCGAATGAGGAACACCCTTTTCTATAAAAGTAGAAGTACACATGTATAATTATTATTATTAGTATGGCTTCATTAATGCGTGATTCGGCATATTCATTTACCAACAAGTGCATATATTTGCCAGTATAGTAAATATAAAGTTTTTCAGTGTGTCTTTAGAAAAGTTTGAAATAAGAGCGTACATTTAACATAATGCACGCCATTATTATAAGATTTCAGTGTTGGAAATCTAATATTTGCAAAAACGCCGTTTAGTACATACCCAACAAAATCGCGTGAAGCTATTATGAAAAGAAGGGCGGCGGCATAGCGAGGGAGTCCAGCTCCTCCCTTCTTCAGATTCAGCCGTCATCTGGCAGTCATCAGTTAATGTTGCTCCTAGTAACTGGAGCAAGAAAGAACATATACCCAATAACGACGGCGTGTCGCAACCCCGCTCGAGCGTGGCCCTGACCGGGGGCTACCACTAGCTAAAAAGAGGGGAAGGAAGGCCAGAGAAAGTAGGAGGTGTGCATCGTTTATCCCTCTTCGTCGGGGTGGGCGTCCGACGGTTCCTGCGTACGCCCCTGTCTAACGAACCTTTGCTCGCTGCCAGCAATTGTGAGGCGAGTACGACCAATCAGGGCTCTCGTCCGATCGTCTCGCGGACGGCGACGTTGCCACCTCGTGTACCGCCCCACGGCGAAAGTAGTCCTCTCATAGCGGTATTCGTAGCCCTGTTTTCGCGAGGGACGGCCGACTAACACGTTGTCGTGTACGGATATACGTGCACGTGTTGAAATCACATTGGAAATTGGATCGCGTGCGCCAGGTGTTGCAGGGACCAACGTGGCCGCGGTTTATCAGCGAGAACTCTCAATCTAGGCGGAGACATATCGTCACAACAGAACGAGAATATCAGCTTGACCACGTACTCGGTGCTTTTGGCGGCAATTTTAAACGCAGCGTTGATTTTCTCGTTCACTTATAGAACCGTTCAGCTAAGGACTCCGTAACGACTGCATAAATTCGTTGCTAAGTTTTGCTTCGGACAACGACTGCTTCGGGAACAAAGAGTTTCGTGTATCGACCAACGGGAAAGTCGTAGATCGTCGACCGTGATCACTCTGGGCAACGTAGTGCGCTCGCGCGCGCGCGCGTGCCTGCCCGCCCTCATCGTCGAACGTTTGCATGTGTGAAACGTGCCTGGCAATAACCAGTGCGTCCAAACGAATCCTGTACGTTTTTATAAAATGACCAACGTGAGAGGTTCCTCGTAATTTTTAACACGCAAACACGTTGCGAAGGATAGAACTCTATTATTGGTCGCATCCTATAATGGCCGCCTTCACATTAACTGAGAGGTGAAACAGGAAGCATAACAGCAGGGGTGCGATATCTGGTTCTCTCGAGGGAAGGAAACGGTAGCGGGAGGCAGTGTGGACTGGTGTGGACGTTTCCGCGGAGAAGCACGTGCCGGTTCGCGAGTTAGGTGGAGTCCCATGCGCAAAGTGGGTGGAGGCTGCATCGTGAGGCTGCCTTCCCCGTTATCGCAGGTACGTGATAGTGTGAGTGTGCGGACAGCCGACCAGCGCGACCGAGTGGGCGGGTGTGACGACACACGCTATGCGCCTGTGTCGGTGGCTATGCGCGTCCTTGCCACAGCGTGCGATATTTCGAGAGGCGGGTGGGGCGGCAGGAACAGGGGCGTAGGGAGGCGGTCCTCGATCGGGTTCTCGAGGAGTGCTCTCTGGCCTTCTTTGTCTTCCGAGAGTGGTCTTTGCACGTGTCGATATCGTTCTAGTCGTTCAAGCTTCTTACGATTAGTCTTTGGCCGCCCCGTGGGTTCGATTGACGTCTAGTGTCTTCTCTTGATGTTGCTGGGTCAGGATACGGGTCGCGAGGTGTGTGTTTGTTTAATTCGAAAATGGGAAACGGATATGAATATGATCTTTCAATACATTGTAGAGGAGATTAATTTCTAAGAGGAAAATGGGTTTCCAGATCAAACGCTCGCGGAGTGAGTATTTTCACGTACCGAGGACTAAATAGTTAGTCCCAATCGTAAAAACGAAGGATGGATTCCTAGCATAAGGGTGTTCAACGTAAAATTAGCGTTGACGTCGACGTTATTTTCATTGGAAAATATACACGACGGATATTTTCATCATGAAACGAAGCGTGGATGGAAGGAATATCACCCAGGTAAAACAGTTTTAATAGATATTAAATGAATAGAAACGAAAGAATATTAAAATAATTGTTTGATAGGAGGAGATCGAAGATCATGATCCCTTACAAGTTCAACAGCAACAACAAGAGGAGGCTGAACAGCAACAACAACAACAATTGGAACAACAAAGTGCCCAACCACAGATTCGTTTTTTAAGTGCAAATGTTCTGCAGCAACTACAGCAACAGCAAGATGTTCAGCAACAAGCACAACAACAACAGCAGCAACAGCCTCAAGTTATTACATTGCAGCAGCTGCAAAACTTTGTGCCTTTACAAACTCAACAGCCGCAGCATGACCAACAGAGAGCGCAAACGATTTCTGTACAATCTTTGCCTCAACAGTTCTTGCAAGTAAGTATATCCGTTGATAAAAATACCATAAATAGCTTAACTTTTACTAATATACAATAATTGTTTTAGGGTGCTCAATTAATTAGTACTCAAACTCAAGCTGCTCTTCAGCAGCAGCAGCAGCAACAAACACAGCAGCAGCAAGCACAGCAACAGCCACAACAACATCAACCACAACAACAACTTAGCTATAGCGTAATTCCACAGATGCAAACTGTTAACATTGATGGCCAAGAAGCACTCTTCATTCCATCTTCTGCTATGTCAGCAGGCGGTCATCACCAAACTCAGCCCACGATGCAATTTACTACAGCTAGTGGGCAACAAGTTCAACTTGCTAGTCAGCAAGTCCAATTAGCTAATGGTCAGACCATTATTACACCACAACCTGTCAGTTTGATAAGGGCACCCAATGTCTTTCCTACTTCTATCATACAAAATATTACTGGACAAACTGTTCAATTACCATCAGGTGTGTACTCTTTGTATACTGAACAAACTACGTTTAATATGTATTTGATAGTTTAATATTATTATGTACATATTACAGGGCAAAGTGTACAAGTAAGACCGCTTCAATTTCCTATGCAGCATGTTCAGCAAACTGTACCTGTGCAGGTACCAGTCACTGCTAGCAATGGACAAACCGTGTATCAAACAGTACACTTTCCTGTTCAAGCATTGTCTAGTGTTTTTAATGTGCCTGCTACGCAAATGATACCACAGATCACCCAAGTATGTTGGAACAAAATGATAAAAGCTGCTTGAAACTTTACCTACTAAAAGCCTATTATTAGACCTTTTTAGACATTTATTATATATGTACATAGATTACGCGTAAATTAACTCCTGTCCAGATAAATATAGATTAAGATAAAAAGTTCTTCATTCAAGTTTTATTAGAAAATTATAGAATTTTATAAATACATAATCGTACGTACCTATGCGTGATAGATTCCAGCTGTTACGACGTATTCATTTCCGAATGGATTAGTTGATAAAGTGATAATTAATTACGGTAACACAAGAATTCATGTTGATTATTTTAAGTGTAATTTAATTACAGCAAATTCCTCAAATGGCTCAGATAATTACACCAAATGGACAGATTCAACAGGTTCAAATTGCTAACCTGCCACAGCTTCAAAGTTTACAGGTGAACATAAAATTAAACGATTTTTACGATAGTGTAATAAAATAGAGTAAAACCTTGACCTAACAAACTATGTAATTGTTCAAGAAATTATCCAATTTTAAAGTAATACGAGGAAAAACCGAACGGCAAATAACCAACATAAAACCGTAGAATTCTGGCTGTTAAACTGGAGTTTATATATATTTGTTTCTATTAAAGCATTTTGATATTCTAGAGTCAACAGGTGACGCAGGTAGCCCAGCAAGTTGCTCAACAACAAGCGCAACAGCAAGCTCAACCACAAGTAATACAATCTGTACAACAGCAACAACAGCAACAGGCTCAGGTGCAGCAACAACAGCAGCAACAAGTACAGCAGGTTGTTCAACAGGTTATACAACAGCAGCAGCAGCAACAACAACAACAACAACAACAGCAGCAACAAGTTCAACAAGCACAGCAACAATCTTCTGCGCCATCCTCGACCGTAGCAACTTGGAGCACAACTGTAACGACTCCGAGCAATGTCCAGGTAAATAGTAGAATAAATAAGCAAACAATCGTTAAATGGATCGTTGAATGCGGGCTTTGAATATTCCTATTTTTGGAGGTACTTGGAATTGGTGCACTTGGAAGGCCAATCACGGCAAGCGGTAATGTAATCACTACAAAAGATGGGCAGAAGATTGATGTGCAAACATTGTCGGCGTTAACCAGACCACCAGAGTCGGTTGAAGGTGATATAAAAGTAACCAGTATCGATGCCAGACAATTAGCTAGTGGTCAAGTTATACATATTCCAGCAGCTCAATCGGCACAGCCTGCTGTCCAACCTATCACGATTACAGGCATGACTGCAGTTTCGCAATATTGTTTCTCATCAAAATAGATAAAAACATATATCGATTCCATAGCTCTTTTAATTTTTTCTTGAAAGAAATATACTAATAAATTCATACATTTTATAGGAACGCAAGCGCAACAGTTAACTCTAATTCCTGCGTCCGCGTTAGCAAACCTAACCGCTCAACAAGGCAATATGATGAGAGGCGTTGGTAGCGGGAGTATAATGCAGATTCAGCCTGCCACTGGAATGAATGCGGCGAATGGCTTCCTTCAGTCGATACCTGTACAAAATATCCCAGGTCTAGGCAATGTGCAAGTCATACCCGCTAGCGCGCTTCAGCCCGCCACTGTTCAGACTTTGCCTACCGCAGCTACACCTATCGTAGCTGCTCCAACGGTGCAATTAGACTCGAACGATCCAACAAAATGGCAAATTCTGCAAACTCTTCAGTCAAATAACACGTTAACGACGCCTGCTCCTACTTCGCACCAGCATCAAGTAACCACCGCAGGATCACCAAACGTGGATACAGACTCTATTAAGCAGCATCGAAGAAGAGTTGCTTGCACGTGTCCCAACTGCGGCGATGGTGATAGGTGGGGAACGTTTTAGTAGGAAATTCTTCCCATAATCATTCGCATGAATACGCTTTATAATAAAATTTTTCGTACAGGAATAGAGACTTGACCAGAAAACGGCAACACGTTTGTCACATAGCTGGATGCAATAAAGTGTACGGAAAAACCAGTCATCTACGAGCTCATTTGAGGTGGCATACCGGGGAACGACCGTTTGTTTGTAGTTGGATATTTTGTGGTAAGAAATTTACTAGATCGGATGAGCTTCAAAGGCATCGTAGAACCCACACTGGAGAGAAAAGATTCCAATGTCCTGAGTGTACAAAAAAATTCATGCGATCAGATCATTTAACGAAACATATAAAGACACACACGAAGATTCGAAGTACGGTAAGAAGAATTGTAGTCCAAAGAGAAACTTATTTATGTGGAACGACTAACTACGAAATATATTGTAATCGTTTCCTTTATATTGTAGGAAGCAGCTACTTCGACGCAGGAAGGTTCTTCCGACAGTCAATCTTCTACAGAACAAAAAATTATCATTGCCCTCCACAAAGACACGGAACAATCCGATATTGTCATTACTGAGCAAATAGATGAAATGAAGTCACAATCAACGAATCATGTAACAAACGAATAAAACAGAATCGTTTGTCTTTAACGATTTAGGTAAAACTGTTGGTTGGTTAGTTGATTGGTTGATTGGTTGGTTGGTTGGTTGGTTGGTTGGTTGATTGTTACGTTCATGACATCGATAAAAGATGAAATTTGTCAATAGCCATAGCGTTATATTGTTTATTGGCGGTTTTCAAAGATTATTGCAAATATTTTCTGCGATAAAGCGAAGGCGAGAGAGAAGAAACTTTTTACAGGGATTATTATAATTCATAGTGCATATAATCTATTTTTGTATTGAAAAAAAAAAATTGTAAATATGTATATAATGTATATTAATGTAAAAATTTTTGCACAAAATGAATTTTACACTTATAAACAGTTTTTGATATTACGATTCGTAAAAATGGTCTTTCACCTTATTGTAGTGAAATTTTTATGGCACGTAGGGACAATAATGTGGTACGTTTAATTAATCTTTTCAGGCATAATATTTAAATAGAATAATATAAAAAAATAAACAAATGAAAGGTAAGATTGTTTTGTTTCTAATTTACATAAAAAAAAAACTTTGGAACAGCCTTATACTACCTACATGTATGTGTTATTATTGTATGTTAATTACGTAGTTTACCAAAATCGCACAGCTTCATGAACTAATACACGTTTCGTATTTATGATACCTTTTTTCCACACATTTCCAATATAATATGTAAGTGTTTTTCATAGTCGAAGCAATGGATCTCTTGTGTGCTATAAAAATAGTTTACGCGTTTTTCAGACACTCGATTTATCTAAAAATTCAACAGAATCTTTTGTCATTTCATCAATCTTTCAATAAACCAGAAAGAAGAAAAATTAACGCATTATTTACTGAGCGCCAAAGTTAAAATTAAATTTTTGAGTTACGTGAACAGCAAACCGCAAAATGTTATAACTGATAAAGTAAAATATGTGGACGGATTCCATCTGGTAATAATATAAGGAAAAAATTTGCATTATTCGTGCAGATGAATCGATACTTTACAAACGAAGTAATTGTAAAATAGAAAGTAACACATTATACGAATTAATTGTTTCAAACAATATTGCTAAGACGTTCAAGGTTTGGCATGCTGACCGTTTGAAAACGGATGTATGTCCGATTCTCCGACGGAATACGAGGATACAGAAACATTCTCGTGACCAATTGTAAAAGAGTTACAAGGGAAAAGCGCCGTTCTCGTTTCACTGCACGATTTTAAGGCCTCTCAGCCCAGGTGTGGTATGTATTCAGGTGCATTCGACGTATGCATGTTCGATCGGATGTGACTCGTCAATGCCATAAACAAACGATGAACTATTGTCGGGATGTGCAAGAACACGATCGTCCGTACGTGTGCCGGGTCTTCGTCGACTTGTACTCGTAAAACGTGTTAGTCTATTTGAATCGTTCGCCACCACTGGAAAATTTTGGAATGTCGTGTGTTACGTTTGTTCATAGTGAATCAAAAACTGACACAAAGTGCGGTAGTTTCAAAGGTCATCCCGCCGTGAAAAGAGGATCTAGCTGTCAATTTTAGGTAAACAGTTAACGGAACTTGTATTATTGTCTTCTTTATGAATCCAACGTAATAATAGGGTATTCTAATACAAACACTACACATTCGGCAAAACGTGGAAATTATTTTTATACTAACCTAATTGTAGCAATTTCTCTGTGGGAGGTCTAATCTTATCTTTCAAAATGTACTTCAGCCATTGTATCATTTACCTCCCACGATTCAAGCCGAAACCACCAAGATCGCGTTACGTTTTTCTTGAATTAATCGATCAATTGATCTTATTAGGAGCAACTGAATACTTTTGTAAAAATTTGAACGACTATGCCTACACCACCTCCTCCACCGCCTCCTAATTGCAATGCATTCAATTCTGGTGGCGGAGAACAAGACAGAAGTTTACTTCTTCAATCGATTAGAGCTGGAAAAACCTTGAAGAAAACTGTGACTGTAGATAAGAGTGCTCCTGCGGTTGGTGGTATGTTATAAAGTATGTTTGCAGATTTTGAAAATAAAATTTTCATTTCATCAATTATATTATTCTACCAGGTAAAATAAAAGGAGAATCAGGAAATTCCTCTTTTTCAAATAACAGAGAAAATAATAGTTCTAATGTAGTAGCCAGCAGCATTAATAATATAAATAATGGAGGGCCCATAGGATTAGGTGGATTATTCTCTAGTGGTATGCCAAAATTAAAGCCTACAGGACTCAGGCCGTCTTCTAGTGAAAAGGACACTAGCAATGTAAATAGTATGAATTTCAGTCAATCTACTACACCTAGCATAAAACGAGGTCCACCTCCGGTTCCACCAGCTTCACAAAAGCCACAAATGTTTGTTCAGGTATAGGACATTGGATGATGTTGGTAAAGCATGTTAGTAAATGTATTTTAAAATATTAATTAATATTCTAGAAGGCCAACTCGACGCCGGGATACAGCACTACAGACTCTGTGAGTTCCATTGCTGAAGCGCCCAAGAGATTTGGAAAGCCCACTCTCGCACCCAAGCCACCTACTTCGTCAACGACATTGCACAAGCCATCGCCACCTCCTAAGAAATTAAACTTGACTACCGGAGCAAGCGTATCGAGAGCACAAAGTATGCGATTGCTTAGATCACCTCCTGTGCTCGCACCAACTCCACCGTCTCTTCATCAGTCACAGGATTGCTTAAATGAAACTCAATCAAGGCCAACGAATCGAGTTCTTAGACCTCCGGTTGCAAAACCACCCTCTCCTCCTACTTCCAGAGCGAATAGCTCGACTACCACAGCAACGAGAGCAGCACCGCCACCACCTTCCAGAGTCACAGTTAGTGCTCCATGTATACCGCCTCCACCTCCGCCACTTCCGCATCGTCCTGCTCCTATTCATCAGAGACTGGCTCCACCACCACCGCCGCCACCACCGACACCTCCTACAAGGAGTTCGTCGATGCGCAATGGCCGAAGTATGAACACCCTAGACCTAGAGGTACGATTCGCGGACATGTTTCATTCTATTGCGAATTTTCCACCACCGGAGCAGTTCAAAGGATTTACGAAAGTCTACAGCAGCAGAAATGGTGAGAACGATGTGCTTGGGCCTCATTCGCATTCTTTCTTAAATTTTACCATTAGACGATACACTTCTGAATTGTTTCTGTAAATTTCAATTTGCACGAGAAAGTCCTGTACATTTGCAATTCTAAAAATATAAATCAAGGCTTATTCACTGCTTCTCGTGTGATTTAACAAAGGATGAGTCACCATGCTAGAATCTCACATGTCTTTTTTCATACCTTAAGGATTAATCATTCTCATTCGATTTAATGCATGAATGACACGACCTGTTTCATTGTCTGTAAATTACGTTATTAGAGTGTAAATTTGCATCGAACAAACTGAAAATCGAGAATAAAATTATACGACATTAGCATTTGTGGCTGTGTATTTAAATATTTATGTTTTGGTGATTGTACATATAACAATATTCCCTAATCGTTTGGTATCTTATCAGGAACATCACCTTGAAGATCGAAAAGAAAAACATGGGATTCATTCCCGCAGTATTTTATAGCGAGATGTCTAATTTTAGTATTTATTGCTAGTGTAATTAGTAGCATAGATCTTGCTCCATCATTAAGTATGTAAGTAGCAAGATACATTGCAATTTTTACAAGAGCATCGCTTTCGTTAGTATTTTCTCTGAAACAACGTTTTAATAACTCTCTTCACATATAGAAATTCAGGACCAAATAAATTAAAGATGCTAAGAAATAAATTGGAGCTCAACGAAAAATGTTATCTTCGCTATTATTTCGAATTTTACCTTAATATTTTTGAAAAGTATTCCTAAGTTGTTAGATTTTAAGAAAATGCAAAAAAGAAAATAATCGATTTTTTTAAACTGTCAAGGTGGTGTTCTCCTTTAATTAGTTCAATCGCTTACTTCGCTTTATCGTATATTGTACTATATCAAGAGACTAGGAGTGATTAATAAAATTCTGATTGGAAACTACTAATACTAGTTGCATGCTTAACAAAATGATTTTTGGTCATTGATATTAATCGTTTGAGTTGGCTAATACGCAGATCTTCGAGACATACCTGCATGTTATAGTGCTCATAGTGACTGCTCAATAAAGGTATATGTAATTAAAGTGTACATTCATCAAGAGGATAGTAATGGAAATGTTTGAAAATTCCAGCGGCAAAACAACAGGCTCCCGCACCACCTATGCAAACGTCTTCTTTATCCAATATAATGGTACCATTAAATACGACATCCGGGGGTTAATCGTGGCAATACAATGCAACTTCTTTGGCATATTAAACATTTTCAAGTAATTTGTTTTATTTATTATGATACACGTTAGTTTTAATACCTTTCGGAGCGTTATTACAACCAAATGGAAGGTCAAATAAGAAACTGTTGAAATAAGAATATTAAAATTATTAATTACTTTAAATTATGAACATTTTATTTTATTAAAAATAAAAATAAAATGTTGATTTTAATTTACGTATTCTTTCATGAATTATTGATGTAGTACAAGACTGCATTAAATTATGATATGGTGATTTCTAAAATCATATGCGTGTAAATTAAAAACCACAACGAAACTGTGGTTTTTCTGATAACAATGAAGAACTACAATAATAACTACGCGACTAATTAATCATGATATTTATCACTGTAATCTTCTACATGTTTCACGGTTTTATAAAAAGATATAGAATGTTGTATACTTTTATTTATAACAACGACTTTTTATTATTTACTAATGTACAATATTAAATATCAGAATTCTTTAGATATAGTTATTGTATCTGGCAGTCAAACGATGTGATACTTTCCTAATCCTATTTGTCGTGAATTCGTTAAGACTCAGTCTATCTCGCAGATTTTGTGTTGACAATGAAATATATATTATAAACAATAATTTTTAATGCACTCAGTTTTATTTAAAATAGGCAGTATAATGTTTTCGCGGTGGTCGATAAATATCTACATCGACGAACAAATCAGAAGATACATTGTCCCAAAATGACGGAGCAAACGTGTCTCAGCGAACGTTTGTATTTTTTGCATTTATTTATATCAATGGAAATATTCATATCGGTAACTTAACACAGGACAATGCGAAGTGATAGTGCGATTGAATTAAATCGATCTTTATAGTTCAAGTTCCCTTTCAACGATCTTACGATATTCATCGAAACCTCCCTCGATACATCGAACGGAACCTTCTCCGCACACCCAGAGTTCAGTGCACACCATGCGAATCAACCTTTCATCGTGCGAAACTAATATTACACCAGCCTGAAAAATTTGTAAAATTAATATACCTGTCATAAGTTTTATAAGACTATGAACTCGAAATTAAATTTTACCTGACAAGTATTTAGTGCTTTCCCTAAAGCTTCGATTGACTCGATATCAAGATGATTTGTGGGTTCATCGAGCACTAAAAAGTTTGGCATAGCAGCGCACATTAGTGCGAAGGCAACCCTCGACTTTTGTCCACCAGATAGAGAATTTATATTCTGTAAGGCTAAATTACCGCTTATTCCAAAGCTTCCAAGCATTCTTCTGTATTCTTCAACAGGTTTACCTGCGGAACATCGAACCAAATCTATATTATGATCGTTTAAGTGGGTGCATTCAGTTAAAAATCAAGTATAGAAAAATATATTTTTGTAAAATATTTTGAATGCCCCCCCCCCCTTCCCCTTCCCGTTAAATGCTACCGAAGGGATGTTCTTTAGTTTTGTTCATACCTGGAAAATGGTTTTGCAATAACTCGACCGGGCACACACGCATATCCAGTTGATCGACATGATGTTGACTAAAGTATCCAAACTTCAAATTTCGATGTACATGTACCGTACCCCTCGTTGGACTCAAAGTGCCTGTTATTATTTTCAGAAGCGTAGTTTTTCCGGCACCATTCTCTCCCACGATACAAATGCGAGATTGCAAACTAGCGGTAAGATTTACACTGGTGAATATGGCGTTGTCGCTTCCTCCAGTGTAACTGAAGGACACTTCATTAAGTTGTAATATTGGAGGACTTAGTTGTTCGACGTCCGGAAAGCGAAGCGTTACTTCTCCCTCCTTTTCCATCGGTTTCAATTCTGGCCTAATAACGCGACAGCAATATTCCTAATGGTTTGTTCAAAATTTAATCTGTTCATTGTTATACTGACATTATACTTACAGCTTCTCCAACATCTTTATTTTACTCTGTACACTCGAAGCACGATTGGCATTGTATCGGAACCGATCGATGAACTCCTGTACGTGAGCTCTTTTAGCTTGTTGAGCTTCGTACTCTCTTTGTTGGTTCCTCTCGCGTTCCCCTTTGGTCTTCGCAAACTGTTCGTAATTGCCACGATATGCCTCTATTTTCTGCCCGCGTAAATATAATATATCTGTGGGAACCTATTACAAATTTATTACTGCATTATCCAGTTGTTCACAAATAATATTAAAAAAAAATAAAAATAAGAGTAAGGCCAGGTTTAATACCGTACCGTATCCAAAAAGTTTCGATCGTGCGAAACTACGAGTAACGTGGTTGGCCACGACTGTAAATATCTTTCCAACCAAAGAATCGCTTTTATATCAAGCATGTTTGTAGGTTCATCGAGTAATAGAAGATCCGGCCTAGAGAATAGCGCCCGCGCTAGTGCAAGTCTCATCCTCCAACCACCGGAAAAGGATCTGGTTGGCCACGATTGTCTTTCAACAGAGAACCCGAGTCCCGATAATATGGCACTTGCTCTAGCAGGTGCTTTATCTACTTCAGCTAATTGCATCGCTTCGTACACTCTGTGCAATTCTTCGCCTAACACGTCTCCTGCTTTGCCACCATCTTTTTCTATTGCTGTTTGTAATTCTGCTTCCTTGCTAAGTAACATACTTCGCTCTTGATCGCACTCTAATACGGACTCAAGGGCGGAAGTATCATTACCGGCAACTTCCTGTTCTACGTGTAGCACTCTTACGTGAGAAGGTATTCTTAACTGTTTGCTGCAACAAAGTAGAATAGTAAAATAAGAGACAAATCAAATCTCATCATTACTTAAGAAACTGTTCAGAGATTATGCTTTTCTAGTACCTAGATATCATTCTCAACAAAGTGGTTTTACCAAGTCCATTTCTACCAATAAGGCCATAGCGTCTACCAAATGCAAGAGTCAGATCAGCTCCTTGCAATAAAATTCTATCTCCATATGCTACATCAAAATTCTCTATCCTAATGTCTTGAGTTTTATTTACACTGCCTTTAGTTTCCATTCTACTGTCCTTTTTGCTTGTCATTTGACTTGCGCTTGCTGCTTCTACACCAGGATTTGTAATATTAACACGTCCACTTGACTCATTAACTCGTTTCTCCTGTTTCTGTTGCAACTTTGCCTCTGCTTTTTCCAACTTCTTAGCATCTACTTTCTGTTAGATAAATATTAGATAAAATATAATGATATAGAAATAAGATATTCCTTAATATTGACATATAGTTAAAGTAAATACTTAACATGCCATCATCCCTTGTAGTGACCCATATACTTTTTATTTGTTCTACTTGAGCCTCCAAAGTAGCAGCCATAGTACCTAAATGAACAGGAGCGTTTAATACTTTATTCACCCCATTTTTTCTCCTTTCGACATTTTCGTCGTTCGAACCGCCTTTCAGCATTTCCAGTAACTTCACGCATATTTGCCTACATGTAAAAAAAAAATAGTTCTAAATTGGACATTTTGTTACAAATACATTAATCAAACAACGACGACAATGAATTGAATGACATCGATACGATATAATCGGGAGTAGAGTAAAAGTGACAAGTGCGAACACGTTTACAGACCTAACCTCATTCTCTGGTTTCTCTGCAACCTCGTGCAATACTTCCCCTATCGCTTCATACACTTCGTCACCGTCCTCGAAGTCATCTTTCGAACTATCTAAGATTCCTTTGGACAACCAAATATCGTACATTCAATTTCAGTAATGAGAAACAGTTTCATGATTTACAGGTTAGGTGTCTTTGAAATATACCTTCCACATATTGATACAAATCATCATCTATCGTAGGAAATTGACTGCGAATATATTCTCCGCAGACTGCCATACCAGTTAACACGTTCAACAAGAATGTCAAAGAGAATTTGCTTCGAACGATACACAAAATGACACGCTTGACAGAACGGACGTCAAAGTTCTCTCTGGCACTGTGAACACATGTTTACGCCATTTTGGAACTTACTACCGCTATTGCTATGGATTGATTCGAATTTAAACGAATTCTTAAAGTGTACGATTTGTGTACGTTTTCGTGTCTGATGTTGTCAAGGTCATTAGTTCGCGCAAATATCTCGTAAAAACTTCCTCACGACGTACACGTTTTCGTTTTCAATTAGGAATCCAACAACTAAGTAGCCATTTTGAAGCTGTCAAAAGCGTTTCTTGCTGTTTGATTGTATGCGCGATACGTTCTTTCGTGTTCTGACATTCGGCGTTGATTACTGTTAGATTTTTATATTGCGGGTCACTCGCCTCGTGTAAAGTAAACATAATCATAAATGTAAAAAAGGTTTAAATCTGAATTTTAAATGTGTAATGTGAAATAAACGCTGTTTCAAGAAAGATGTTGAGGGGAGAGTTAGAAGCACTGCGAATTTCTACGACGAAGCTTCGAGTTATCTTTTAACGATTCTTCTGGAATACTAACGGGTCTGTTTAACTTCCTTTACAACGCTTTAAAAACAGAGCGTAGTTTTCAGCACGGTGGTGTTCGAAATAGAGGAAATGGCGACCGACATTGAAAAATCGGACATTGAAGAATCGAACGCTCCACCGAAAAGACAATGCACGCAATTCGTTAAGGTCAACGAGACGTTTCGGGATACGGTAATTGTATGGCACATACTCATACAACGATTACTTTTTACCAGGCAGTGTGTGCCAATAAATTATGTTTATTTCAATTTTTTAATTTATCTACTTGTACGTTTTAAAATGTTTCTGTAAAATATCTTTTAACAGGATTTTTTATTAATAGGAGAGGAGTTCAAGCATAAAGGAAGATACTGTACAATATACAGACAACATTGAATATGATGATGTAGAAATACATGTGGGAGATAGGTTGAAAAATTGGCAAGAATGTCAATTGGCTAAGGGACATGCGGACAATTACATTAACAAACTGTTAGAAATCTACACGTTGGGGGAACCCTCTTATTCTCTTGAGGAATCCAGTTTTCAATTTTTTAGAACAAATGATATGGAAGACACTGCAATTATGATGGCAATTGAAAATCATGGTCTAATTGGATCTGCAGAACTGGTTTGTCATTCCAGTGCACTTTCCAGTGATAATGCTCCAGAATCTTGGACAGGTATACATTGTTCCTGTCCACCTACTCATGTTGAAGATTTTATAAATACATCTACAAATTCATTGAGACTGAGCAATTTAAATGATGTGGATGGATACAATGGACTTGATTTGGATTTGGATAAAATAGATGAGAGTGATCAGCAGGAAAACTTCTTAGAAAGAGCTGTAGCAGAGGCTATCAAAAAAAAAGGGCTCACTGCTCCTAATGTTAACTATAGTTGAGCATGCCAAATAAAATCTTATCCTAAAATATGTTTATATAATAGCATAGATGATATTCATCGGAAGTTGTCAAAATAATTCTAAGGAAAAAGACTCTGATGACTATCTATTTCTTTACCTATCAAATGCAGATAAATCCAGTTATGCATAGAAGTGTAACATATGTGTATGTTAGATTAAAATATCATTGATCAGATTTCATTAATATATAAAAGAAGATTAAGTTTAGTACAAAATTTTGTTCATATTGCATATCATTTAAAAAAATTGAAAAGTATGATTTTAATACATTGAAAAGAGTACTACAAATTGCAATAAATTACAGTCTTTAGCTGGCATTTACAACTTTAGACATTTTGACAAATAACTCAATAATATATACATATGCAAAATATGTATGTACAGTAACTGTGACATCAGTTACAAGTTTTGTATGTTCAAAGGTACTAATTCATTCCATGCAGCATTGTATTACTTTTATCCATTCCTGGAGATGAATTTCATCTTTCTATATAATGTAACTTTTGCGCGATACATAAAGTATATTTACGTTTTAAAATTAGTATTATATATATATATATATATACTTTTAGAAACAAAAGAGGGCCATTGTATGTAAGAATACTACGATTATTTTTTTCCTTTTGTATACAATGGCCTTCACAATATATGTATTTCATATCTGTAAATAGATTGTTACGTACGAAACGTATAAATAAATTTCCATTCACGTTACACGACGACATGTAGCTCTATAATAAGACATGTAACGCATTCTCGGTAATTCATATGTCTGATAAACTATAAATAAATAAATATAAACGAATACTAGACCGTGTTATTACGCACAGATTTCCTCCAGTTTTCCAGCATCTAACGGTATTGGTGCGAATTATAATACGACAGAACAAAGTTATGACTTGACCAAACTAAGGCGATTTTCTTACAGAGAACAATGTAAAGGTTTACGGTATTTTCTTAGGTATACAGTACCTGCAGATAGCGATGCATCTGCAATAATTCCGTGCATAATTTTAAACGGTTTTAGAACTATTTCATTAATCGGTCAATTTTATTTAATTAGCATAGTTTTTCTAGGGCAGTGAAAGGTATAGAACAAGTCACTACATTTCAATGCAACATTTTATCAGAACGATACATTACACCGTTTTCGACCTTATCGTTCGTATTTCATATCATTATGAACTTGCGAGTATTGTAAAAACGACGAGTACTATATATTTACAAATGTATTAAAAAATAATAACGAATTTTTTAATTTAAATTTTTTCATGGTCTCCAATTTGTTCTCACCATCAATACCGCGGCGAATCGAGGCAGTGAACGCGCAAAATCAATAACATGCATATTATGATACATTTCCTAAATTAAAAATAAGCATCACGCATGGTAAGAAAAAAAACGATGTACATCGACTGTGTTCGGTTATCTTGTCTCTATCAAAAAAGACGATACATGACATATAACGCGCTCGAAATATATAGTATAGTACATATTAAGTGTTCAGCCATTAATCGTGCCGCGAATTCGTACACGCACACTATTACAGGCTACAGCTTTGACAATTTCCATCAAACTAAAATGGAGGAATTCTTCGCATAATAACTGTTCGTCGAATTCGTGATAAATTGTTGCTTTCGGAATAAAAATTGGTAGCAATTTATTTCTCCCAGTTTAATCGAGAGAAAGGAATATTTTTATCTCACTTGCAATACAATTATAGTAATTGTGTGATTATTATAAACAAATACAAATTTATATGGTAGGGGTTCTCAATTGTTTCGTGTAATGGACCTTTTTCACACGATATAGTTTCCTGAATTCTTTAATTCTAGGTACTCTATAACGTAAAAAACTATGAATTATAAATAGAATTAAGGAAAATATCAATCAGGATGTCAACGATATTTTAATTTTTCTTGTACAGACAACAACGAGGAGTCGCAATGTACCTTCTAATTCGTAGTTATGGAAGTCATCAAATGTATATACGATTTGTTATACGAAAGCGCGTACTATAATTAACGATGGTAATTCTAATTCTAAACATACTGAAAATAAATTTCATTGGTAATTTATCGACCCTCTGAAAAATTGATCGACTAGGTTGAGAACCTCTGCTGCATACTTTAGTTATAAAACAATATATCACTCGGCAATAATAATCTAAAAAAAATCCGCGATATAAAAGTAATTTTTAGAAAATCGTACACTTCACGATTGTGGACCCAGTTAATCTTAGATCAGATCGTGTATATACAGATATGTTAATAAGGAAAATAAAAAGAAAAGAAAAATATATACATACATACATGTATATAAAAAAGATACAGACCGGCGTAATGAGCAATTATGTACACCGCACGGAAATCCATCACCATTTTGGAGAAAGGGACCTTTTTCAAAGATTAAAAAGCATTTCCTGAAATCTACGGGTTGCATAAAGGGGTGAGGGGGCGAGGGTGAAGAAAAAGAAATAAATGCAACACGGTAGATCCATTCGCGTACATCAGCCACAGAGCACGCTGTAACGGTCTGTGCAAGGGGACGCGGCGGTGAATAGAGGGGAAGCGGGGAAGAAACACTCTCACGGGCAGAGAAGGGACTTAAAATCGGCGAGTGGTGGAGGGAAGAACGAGGAGAATCGACGAATCGCGTGAGAGAAGAAGCGTACGGCAGTAGGTGCACATCGGTGCACGTACGCGAGACGAAGTGACGGCACGCCGAAATTGAAAGAAACGCAAGAGAGCGTCGAGCTACAAACGCGAGCCTAGTTTAATGTCGCTTTAATTTCTACGCTGTGTTTTCTCTCCGGTGAAAGCGATATCCCGGTGGTATTCGAAAGCGTTGATCATCCATCCCGTGGTTTTGGAGCATGGCGTCTGACGAGGAGGTGGACGAGAGCTACGCGGGTAAGTGCATGGCCTCTTGGTCATGAATACTACCGGAAAGTTGTGTGTCCTCGAGCACGCAGGACGCGCGCTTTTCGTACGATGGCTGCCATGTCAATTGGTCCTTGTGTAGTTTTCCATGCTTTTTTTACCGCGATTTCTAACTAGCTTTGGTTAGACTCGGTGTCACGCTACAGGGAATTTGTTGGAGTTTGATCGCGGTTCATGGAGGTTCGGTACTTTATCGATGAAAAAGAAGATAACCTTTGAATTGTCAAATATTTCGAGTCTTCGATAACGATGCTTTTGATAGTCGGTAATCGCGACACGTTTAATCTCCGTGTAAACGCAACGAAATAACCGTTCAGGTATAGGTTATTGTTTACATCCAATAGTTGGACGGAAATCACATGGTTCTCGGCCTTTCGTCAATGCTAAATCACTGTCAACGTTCTATCACAAATCCCCGTATGAATTAGATTTAAAATCGTGACATTGTGATTTTATTGCTGGCCAAGATTGTTTGCAAGCACCCCTCAAATACTTCGCGCTATTTTCAAAGCGTTCCTTACATAATTAGTAGTTAATGAACACTCCATGAAAGATACATTGTGTAATTAGTTTCATTTATCCGATATGGATGAATTCTTTCGTTCCGTCGCGATTCACGCGAAAAATTAGAAGACACGCGTTGTTTCGTCACACGAACCGCGTTGCAATGCGTTTTCAATTTATTTCGACGACTTCGTACACATACAATACATTTCGATATTTGCAAGAATCGTCTTTGAAAGTGAAAAATTGCTAATTTCTGTCCGAGTGAAATCTCGAAGTAATTTTACAACGTTTGCTTCGGTTTTCCGAACATCTGGCATGGCTATGTATGTGTGCATTACTGTCCGCATGCCCACACGAAGTCTCTCTTTTCTCATTCAGGTGCATTCGTATAGACGTACACACACATAGCCACGCGTGGAAAGAACGCGTGTTCCAGGGCTTAATACAGATTTTTGGTATATCCTGCAGTCTAAAAAGGATGACTTCGACTATGGCTCTTTTAGGCGCCTTTAAAAAATACACACGTGCTACAAATTCCGCGGCAATGTCACAAATATAAAATATAGACAACTAATGTGGTGTGAGCCCTTTTGAAGAAAATGGCGGACGCACACTCGTACAAAGCATTTACCGAACTGGCGGATTAGTCCGAAATAATTTATACGATCGGACTAATTTGATTTTGATGTCGGTGTTGTTTTTTGAGACGATGCTTACGCATGTACAAATGTTCGTTTTTGCCGAAAATGTCCAAAATTATGTTAGTTTTATCGGTATAATCGTTTTTCCTAAATTAAAAAAAAAATATCGGTTTCTTATAAACGTTGTTATTGATTCGGCAATTATCAATACTGCGTCGTTATGCGAACAAAGGCTTGGATGAACAAAATTCCGTTCACAGTTTGCTTCTTATTGTTATTATTCTTTTTTAACGCAGGTTTCAAATTATTTTCTAATGGGTATCGTGTTCGAAGGGGAAAAGTCAAGGTCACGTTATATAGTTTCCAAGTAAAATTTACCAAATTTTATGGAAAAATGTTTGATTGATAGAAGTCGTCTTCATACCGCGCGTAATAGCGCGCTGAGAGATAATTTGAATAATATTCTCTAATGATTAGACATGTAATGTTTTTTTTATATATGTATGTAAAATAGATTCGATAGTTTTACATTAATTGCTTCGAATATGCGATGTAATTAATAATTCGGCAAACATTAATATTTGATATATAGATCATTCTTTAGTAAGTCTGAGTTATAATGAATACAGATATTGATTTTATGTAAGTCAGAAACTGACAATGAAGTCATTTTGTATCAGTTGTATGCTATACATGGTTGAATCACAAAAATATTAAAAATACGGTAAAATAATGAAGCATTTCATGTTTAATATATATCATATTTTTTATTACAACAATAAAATAAATATAAACTACATTAAATATTATTTTTGCGTATTTCACTTTCAGGAGAAGATGATATAGAAGAAACTGGAGGTCAAGTTTCAAATGTTAATCAGCAAGTTGATGGTTCGTCTGACGCAGAAGAATCTCAGAGACTAGTGAGCATCTTCTATCAAAATTAGATTTACACGTCTTAGTAGTTTTGTAAGATAACATTACAATTGTTCTAAACATTTTTCAATGTAGGAAGAAGATGATGATTATGAGCCAGAGGAGCGAAAAAAGAAGAAGGGGAAGAAACGTAAAGCCCGTAGTGAAGACAAGAAGGGAAAGAAGAAGAAAAAGAAGAAAAAATCTGATTCTGGAGACGTAACTATCTTCTTTAATTGAATGGATAATTTAGTTAATGTTATGTAGTATACTAATTTGTTAATTTTTCTTCCTTTTTTATGATCGAAAATGTAGGAAAGTGATTTTGGAGGTGGCGGTGAAGCAGGTGATGTAGCTGGAGAGGATAGTGACTATGCTGGTAACAGAAAAAGTAGAAAATCATCGTCTAGGAAGTCATCTAGCCACACTGCATCAGCTCCTTCGAGTCAGGAACCCACAACAGGCATGCCTACTATAGAAGAAGTTTGTAATACCTTTGGATTGACTGATGTACAGATTGAATATACAGATGCAGACTTCCAGAATTTAACAACATATAAATTATTTCAACAACATGTCAGACCACTTCTAGCAAAGGAGAATCCTAAAGTAAATTTATTTTTATCATAGTTATTGGGCGCAAGGGAGATAATTCTTGTAGACATTTGTTGATTCTCGTACTTTGTATGTTTAGGTTCCAATGTCAAAACTTATGATGTTGGTAGCTGCTAAGTGGCGAGACTTTTCCGAATTGAATCCACATACGCAGCCAGACGCGGATGTGGCATCCGCGAATGTGGATGAGGATAGTAGAAATTCAAGAGCGAATCGCAGTGGAACGGTACAGGAAGGTGAAGACGAGGAGGACGATGACGAAGATAGCGATAGGAAACGAAAATCGAGAGGGTCCAGGGCGAAAAAAGGAAAAAAAGCTTCTAAAGTGCCAACGCTCAAAATAAAACTTGGAAAACGTAAACGAGGAAGTTCGGTAATCAAAATTTGATATATCTTAAGGTGATACACATGTTTATAAAGCTATAAAATGTAGTAGTTCTCGAGAGCGTCAGAACACACCTGGTCCGTGAAAGCCTTAAATATCAAACGACAAAAAGTTTTTGACACTTTAGTTTGTGTCATCCTTAGTGACCACTGTTCAACATAACAATTATACAAAAATTAATTCTTTCTTCGCACATTTCATTCTTGTATAATTATTCTGTTTAACGTGGTCACTGAGGATGCTGCAACCCAAAGTATCGAAACCGTTTTGATTTTTTCATTTCTGTATAATTTACACTCGTAGTTTATATATTAATCGTTAGTAATTTATTCGTTTCCGATGATCGTTGATGTTATTGTTTAGGATGAGGAAGCAGAAGGTAGTGGCGCTGGTAGTGACAGAGATTCCGATATGGAGTTTGAGCAAATGTTGGCTGACGCAGAAGAGCCGCCCGGTGCAGATGGAACAACTAAAGGGAATGCTGAAGAAAATGGAGTCGAGCCACCTGCAGAACCACCTATTCGTAGGAAGGCAAAAACTAAAATTGGAAACAAAACTAAAAAGAAGAAAAAGACGAAGACTACATCGAAGTTTCCGGATGGAGAGGAAGGTCTTCAGGTAATTCAAGCTATCTTCGTTGGACGATCGATATTGTTTTTATCATCATGATTTATGTCCTTTCACTGTAAAAATTCGCGTATTCTAACAATTACATTGAGAATTTCTTGTTAGTATCAAGCAACTAACTTGTTCAGAAAATATGTATCTCCCTCTTTTTTTTAATAATGCCTATCTTCATACGTGCACAGACTGACCATCAGGATTATTGTGAAGTGTGTCAACAAGGTGGAGAAATTATATTATGTGACACCTGCCCTAGAGCGTACCACTTGGTATGTCTAGAGCCGGAGTTGGAAGAAACGCCTGAAGGAAAATGGAGTTGTCCTCACTGCGAAGGAGAAGGTATTGCAGGTACCTTCCTCATGATCCTACACCTATTATCCCGCCCACCATGTTGAAGTAAAGAGAAGAGAAATAATAGATGCAAACTGAGTTTTATCTAATTGTTAAATTTTTAGGCGCGGCTGAAGATGACGACGAACATATGGAATTCTGTAGAATATGTAAAGACGGTGGTGAATTGCTATGCTGCGATAGCTGTACTAGCGCGTACCATACGCATTGTTTAAATCCACCGCTCTCAGAGATTCCTGATGGCGACTGGAAGTGCCCTAGATGTTCTTGTCCGCCTTTACGTGGAAAAGGTTTGTATATGTTCTATAAAATAATATTGGAAAGATACATACAGCGGCGAACATATACTTACGAACACTTCTTAACTTTACCACTTGACAGTTGCTAAGATTTTAACATGGAGGTGGAAGGATTGCCCAGAAATGCCATCGGAAGAACCTTCTACAAGTAAGGCAGCTCCTAAGCAACGTAAGATGCGCGAGTTCTTTGTAAAATGGGCGGATATGTCGTATTGGCATTGTGACTGGATTACAGAATTACAGCTAGACGTTTTTCATCCTCTTATGTTCAGGTATAGTGTTGATCGAATAAACGATAATATACACAATATATTTCGTTATTATGGATTTTTGATGTATATTGTAGAAATTATTCACGAAAGTATGATATGGATGAACCTCCAAAATTGGAGGAACCATTAGACGAAAGCGATTCCCGCGTCAAACGGTTAAAAGAGCAAGACGGTGCTACAAACAGAGATGAATATAATTTGGAAGAACGATTCTATCGTTATGGAGTTCGGCCAGAATGGCTAGTAGTACACCGAGTAATTAATCATCGGTTATCAAGAGACGGCAGAGCAACGTATCTCGTTAAATGGAGAGAATTAGGATACGATCAAGCTACTTTGGAAGATGAACACGAAGATATTCCGGGTCTGAAGCAGGCCATCGAGTACTACTTGGATCTCAGAGCAGCGAACTGTTGCGATGGTAGTTCCTCTCGCAAGGGCAAGAAGGGTGAGAAGAGTCGGTTAATTTATTTTTCTCTTTTGTTTTTGCAACCTTTGTTAAATTAGGTTATAACGGTAATCGTTCGTGTTATCTAGGTAAAGGCAAAAAATCAAAAGCTCGTGAGCTCATCGATGATGAAGAGAGGACACCTAAACGGTACACACCACCACCTGACAAGCCTACCACCGATCTTAAGAAAAAGTATGAGCGACAACCAGATTACTTGGATCAAACTGGAATGCAATTACATCCTTACCAATTAGAAGTAAGTATAAAATCATGAAACTATCTAAATATTTATGAAAAGTGCCCTATACTTTCGTCGCTTCACAGGGTTTGAATTGGTTGAGATATTCCTGGGGCCAAGGTATAGACACGATCTTAGCAGACGAGATGGGTCTGGGAAAGACTATTCAAACTATCACTTTCCTGTACTCGTTGTACAAAGAAGGTCATTGCAAAGGACCTTTTCTCGTTTCAGTCCCTTTATCGACCATTATTAATTGGGAGCGTGAATTTGAAACATGGGCACCTGACTTCTATTGCGTCACTTATGTCGGTTAGTGAATACAATTACAAAGTCATTACGAACGATTTCCGCAATTTTATGATTATTTATCGTGTTTCACGTTAATTCCAGGCGACAAGGATAGTCGTATCGTGATACGAGAGAATGAATTGTCCTTTGAAGAGGGTGCTGTACGTGGTGGTCGAGCGTCGAAAATCCGATCGTCACAAATCAAATTCAACGTGCTGCTCACCAGTTACGAACTTATTTCTATTGACTCTGCATGCTTGGGATCAATAGATTGGGCCGTATTAGTGGTAGACGAGGCGCACAGGCTGAAATCTAATCAGTCAAAATTCTTTAGATTATTGGCTTCTTATAACATCGCATATAAGTTATTGTTGACCGGTACTCCACTGCAGAATAACTTGGAAGAACTCTTCCATCTGTTAAACTTTTTGTGTCGTGACAAATTCAATGACTTGGCTGCGTTTCAAAATGAGTTCGCCGACATTTCAAAGGAGGAACAGGTAAAGAAATTGCACGAGTTGCTCGGGCCTCACATGTTGAGAAGATTGAAGGCCGACGTATTAAAAAATATGCCAAGTAAGTCGGAGTTCATCGTTCGCGTCGAATTGTCTCCCATGCAAAAGAAATATTACAAGTACATCTTGACAAGGAACTTCGAGGCGTTGAATCCCAAGGGAGGTGGTCAACAAGTATCGTTGTTAAATATCATGATGGATCTTAAGAAGTGTTGCAATCACCCTTACTTATTCCCAGCTGCTTCCCAAGAGGCACCAACCGCGCCTAACGGAAGTTACGAAACATCCGCGTTGATTAAAGCAGCTGGAAAATTGGTGCTTTTGAGCAAAATGTTGAAGAGATTGAGGGACGGTGGACACAGGGTGCTGATTTTCTCTCAAATGACGAAAATGTTGGACATTCTCGAGGATTATCTGGAAGGAGAGGGTTACAAGTATGAAAGAATCGACGGTAACATAACAGGTGCGCAGCGACAAGAGGCTATAGACAGATTCAACGCGCCTGGTGCGCAGCAGTTTGTTTTCTTACTCTCTACTCGTGCCGGTGGTTTGGGTATAAACTTGGCAACTGCCGACACTGTCATCATTTACGATTCTGATTGGAACCCGCACAACGACATTCAAGCGTTTAGCAGAGCTCATAGAATCGGTCAGGCGAACAAGGTCATGATCTATAGATTCGTTACTCGTAACTCCGTCGAGGAACGAGTGACGCAAGTAGCGAAACGAAAAATGATGCTTACACATTTGGTCGTTAGACCCGGAATGGGTGGGAAAGGTGCTAATTTCAGCAAACAGGAACTGGATGACATCTTACGATTCGGTACCGAAGAATTGTTCAAGGAGGAGGAAGGCAAAGAGGACGAAGCCATTCATTACGATGACAAAGCTGTCGCTGAATTGCTAGACAGAAGCAAGGAAGGTATCGAACAGAAAGAGAATTGGGCCAATGAATACTTAAGTTCCTTCAAAGTTGCGTCGTACGTGACAAAGGAAGGCGAAACTGAAGAAGAGGCAGATACGGAAATCATAAAGCAAGAAGCTGAAAATACGGATCCTGCTTACTGGATCAAATTATTGAGACACCATTATGAACAGCAGCAAGAAGATATTGCTAGAACTCTTGGAAAAGGTATGTGTATATTTTATGCAATCTATTGTTCTTTTTTTTCTGTACATGGATAATTAAGAAATGCTAATTAATTACAGGTAAACGAGTACGTAAGCAAGTGAATTACAATGATGGTGTAGTGACCGGGGATCAGGGAACAAGAGACGATCAGCCCTGGCAGGAGAACTTGTCGGATTATAATAGTGATTTCAGCGCACCGAGCGATGACGACAAAGAGGATGATGATTTTGATGAGAAGGGCGACGGAGATTTATTATCTCGTAGAAGTAGACGAAGATTGGAGAGGAGAGACGAAAAGGATCGACCTCTGCCACCGTTGCTTGCTCGAGTGAACGGAAACATTGAAGTACAGCAATTTGATTTTTAATTTTAAGTTCTTAATAATCAATGGTAAGCAACAATGTTAATAGAATGAATTTTTTCGTTTAGGTATTGGGCTTTAACGCCAGACAAAGAAAAGCATTCCTCAATGCCATTATGCGTTACGGCATGCCACCGCAGGATGCGTTCAACTCTCAGTGGTTAGTCGCTCGCTCAGAACACGATTGTAGATTGTCAGTTAATTTAAAGTTCTGTTAAAGTATATTGTCGCATTTTAGGCTGGTTCGGGATCTCCGGGGTAAATCAGAGAAGAACTTCAAGGCATACGTTTCATTATTCATGCGACATCTCTGCGAGCCAGGCGCCGACAACGCTGAGACGTTCGCGGATGGTGTACCAAGAGAGGGTCTCAGTAGGCAACACGTCTTAACGAGAATTGGTGTGATGTCCTTAATCAGGAAGAAGGCACGTGCGCGAATACATTATCGGCATTTTTATTCACAAATAACGCTAGTAATATGCAGGTTGTCCCACGCAACTGAGAAAAGCTATATTTTTAAAACAGTTAGAGACGCAACAAAATGTTGTTTGTGGTGTTCTTATAGAAATTTCGAAGAACAGTGTAATTGATTCTTTTTTTGCGATTGATTTCTGAACGAATTCTCTCTAAACAGGTTCAAGAATTCGAGCATATAAACGGATATTATTCCATGCCCGAGATGATCCGAAAACCGGTAGAACCTGTGAAACTTGAAAGCGGGGTCGACGGAGCAACTGGAACTAGCAGTACTAGTGCGACACCGGCTACCTCGAACGCGCCTAGTCCAAGTCCTGCTGCGACTCCAACACCAACTTCTGCCCTTGGTACCGCTACTAGCGAGATCAGTAAATCGAATTCTGACGCGTCCGAATTGAAGGAATACAAAGAGGAACAGAAGGATAAAGAGGTTCGTGCTAACGACGATGTAAAATGTATAGAATTCTCAAAGTAGAGTTAAGTTAGAAATTTAAAAAAACATATGTTTTAGACTACTGACAGAAAGGATGTTGTTAAAGAGGAACCGAAAGATTCCAAAGATGAAGAAGAGAGCAGTGTTGAAAAGGATAAGGACAAGGAGAATACTAAGAAAGAGGAGGACTCTGAGGCTGAAGGGATAGAAAAAGAGAAAGATAAGTTAGATACAAAAGACGAAAAGTCGGCAATGAAACATGACGATAAAATTGAGAATAATGAAAATAAACCTAAACCAGAATCTGAGGAAGATGTTGTTATCGTTAAAGACGATGAGGAAGACACTGAGAAACGAGAGGTATTCATCTATTTCACATATCGGAATATCGAGATCACTTCAATTGTGGTCAACGTATTTAATTTTATAATTGTAGGATAAGGACAACAAGGACAAAGATGTAAAGGACTGTGATTCAGAAGTGATAAAACCCAAACGTAAGTTCATGTTCAACATTGCCGATGGTGGATTCACGGAATTACACACGTTATGGTTAAACGAGGAGAAAGCCGCGGTACCTGGTCGTGAGTATGAAATATGGCATCGAAGACATGATTATTGGCTGTTGGCTGGTATTGTTACACACGGCTATGGTCGCTGGCAGGACATCCAGAATGATATCAGGTGACATAAACATCAACGCTAAAAGTAAAGTGGTCTACTTCGAATATTTTTTTTTTAAACATTTTTATTGTTCTCTGCAGGTTTGCGATAATAAACGAACCCTTCAAAATGGATGTGGGCAAGGGTAACTTCTTAGAAATAAAAAATAAATTCTTGGCTCGACGCTTCAAACTGTTGGAACAGGCATTAGTGATAGAGGAGCAGTTGAGGAGAGCCGCGTACCTGAATTTAACGCAGGACCCAAACCATCCTGCGATGAGCCTAAATGCGAGATTTGCTGAAGTTGAGTGCCTTGCCGAATCGCATCAACATCTTAGTAAAGAGAGCCTTGCCGGCAATAAGCCAGCGAATGCTGTGTTGCATAAGGTAAATGACTTTTTCGTTTACATAAAGTAACGCGAAATGAAAGAGTTCATTCAGAATACAATTATGTTGAACGTTTCCTTTTAAATTGTTCATCGTAGGTACTAAATCAGTTAGAGGAGCTGCTGTCTGATATGAAGTCGGATGTGAGCCGCTTACCAGCAACTCTAGCTCGCATTCCACCTGTTGCTCAAAGACTTCAGATGTCCGAGAGGTCGATATTAAGTCGATTAGCAGCTACAGCACCGGGAGGTAGTAGTTCTCAGTCGGGTCAAGCGGCTTTGCTGGCACAACAGTTCCCCGCTGGCTTTTCCGGTGGACAGTTGCCAGCTACTTTCGCGGGTGCGGCCAATTTTGGTAATTTCAGACCGCAATACTCAGTACCGGGTCAACCGCCGCAAGGATTCACAGGTTCGTAATGACGATTTATCGTTAATAGACTACGGATCTTTATGTAAAGGCATATTTTTATATACAGTCTAGTTATTAGTTTCTCTATAACGGAGATAAACTATTTATCAACATAATTTACTTTTCAGCTTGAAGAGCAAAACATTGACGAATAGTGGCTCAAACAAGATAACTCAGAATGGCGCGGATTGCACTACCTTGACACGCAATCGTGTAGCGCTGTATTATTTTTCGTAAATTACGATTTTTAGCTGAATTTTCATTAGAAAGAAGACGCTAAGGGTTAAAAAAGAGTAACAAAAAAAAAACACAGACACATACATGCGTACGTGCGTAATATTTTACATCCAAATTACATTACTCCCTGTATTTATTACATATACAATCGGCGACTAGCATCGAAGTTTTCATGTCTTTTTTTTTTTTGTATTTATACATACGGTCTCTGCAGAAAGCAATGTAAATTATTTTCTTGGGCTGAATTAAGATAGCATGATTTCTATTTCTTCATTGGCCGATGTATCGTAAACGTAACGATAAGTACATTTTACTTAAAAAAAAAATCTTATTTAAGAAATGAATAGTTTTACGTCGTGGATCTACGTGTGCAGTTTATCGTAAGGTAGGCTGCGTCGAGTGGTCGTTCGCATAATTTATTCTCAACGTTTCGTTTTTATTTTTATTTCCCTTCGATACAGGAAAGACTCGATTTAGTCGAATTTGCGAAATCAACGGTTTTCATTTGGATCGCATGCTCACACGAATTATCGAGAATTAACAATAGATTATGACGATGAACAATGGCAATCATTTTAGTTAAGACTGATGTTGCATATTGTATCCAAGAGAATTCATTTTCTTACACAACACGCTACTGTAATGCATGGGTTTATATGAATAAGAACTCGGTGGTGAGGTTCTTAAATTTTGTGTTTGACTTTCTAAACAAATCACGGGATACTGCATGTATGAACTACGGGAAGCAGTGGCACAAAAAGTCTGTTTGATACTTAAATAATACAACAATGCACACGGTACGTGAACTATAATATATTACATATATGTAATTCGATTTCGCAGGGATCGGTTGTTTTACTCCGAATTCATGAGAGCAAGCACCGTTAAAGTAAATAGGACTTAGGTTCAAATTTGATATAATCTTTGTACATACTGTCGTTACATTCTACTCGCACCATATGTCAGAACACACACACATACACATATACACATGAGTATCATAGTAATTCATAAGGCCGGAAGCGCGCGACACCCCATGCATTATGCTAGTAAACAGCGACTAAATGTAATTATGAGACAGAAAACCATTAACCGGTCTTTGAGTAAGCATATTAACTGTTCAATCTTTTCTACCCCAGATTCGAAAACACTAGAACATTTTTCATTTTCGTCTTAATCGATTTTGCCAAATTACTGTGTTGGCACATAAGTTTTTAAGGGTAATTTTAGGACCTAGCTAAGGAATTTAAGCGAGAGTGTGGACAGAGTGAAAGAAAGGGAGAGTGAATGATAAAAGTAAAAAAGTAAGTCAAACCACGGAAACCCGTTTGTTGTATGTATTAATTCTGCTGGAATAAATTAATAATAATTAGAAACTAAATCAATACTTTAAGTTTTTTTTTTTCATCTTAGATATTTTAGTTAATTGCAGGCAAAGTAGAAAAAGAACTGTAAACGTTTCACAGATCACAAATTCATCAGCCCAGATTTAGAGCACTCGCTTTTTTAGTATATGCTTTAAAAATTACACAAAAATTTTATTATGGTTTAATAGATGGATTGTGGTAAAAAGAGAACGTACATTTTATAATTCACATAGATACATGCAAAATATATTCAACAAAATACAAAAGATTCAGAAACAAACATACGATTGTAATCGAGTATTGAATTGTGCAGTTTTTTTATTATTTAAATTACAGAGACATGATTTCTTATAGATGCAACAAAAACAAATAAATCAATAAAGTAATGAAAGAAAATATGAAATTTCCATCATATTTCCATGGTGATTGAAGATAAGAAAAAGTTTCAAAGATTGAAACGTTAACCAGAGGTGTCTTTGTTCTGCTTTTGCTGAACCATTTCCCTAATATTGTTTTCACACTCTTTCAAGTTCTGTTGCAAGTACGTCTTGTTGTTCTCTAAAGTTTTCACTTTCTCGTCAGCATACTTCATTCGTTTGTCAAGATCAATTTTAACGTTATTGATGTCGTCCAAAAAGAACCCTCTACCGGCAGATACATACGTCATCGTGTTCTCCGGGTAAGAGGTTAGCTCTTTGAGGGTAAGTTCGGCCCGTTGTTTGGACCGTTTTAACTTTTCAATCTGCATATCCGCCAATTTCAATTTTTGCGTAGTGTCGATCATTTTCTCATGGAGTTGAGAGAACGCCTTCTTCAATTCTTCGTCCGGTTCCCTTGCCATTTTCGTTTCTACGATTTTGAGTAATGCAGGTTAGGAAATTAGGATCGTTACTTTTGAACGATCGAGGAAATTACGTCTACTGTTACTTTATTATTTAAATATAATGCAAAGCTTGGATGTTTATTAGCTACACTTTATTTATCATTACTTAGCATTATACTAATCGCACTTTGAAATAAATCACGATAGATGAAACGAAGTAATTGTAAATTGTAATTACTTACGTATACCTTCTTGACCCTATCTAGTGGGTTAACAAAAAAGAAACTGAAAATTCTGATGTATTCAACACATCCTTATAAAGAGTTATTCTCAACTTTAACGTGATCAGTATAATTTAGCTATATTTTGTACAAAAATGTATGTGATTGAAATATCTTAAAGAACGAAAATTATGCGCTTCATTTTCATGTACGTAAATAGCGTGAAAAGGTGCTACGCCTTTAATGATTATGCTTTTTTAATAACAATTAGTTTTTAACATTTCCAATAATTTTTTGTTAAATTCGTTGTTGTCAAACAAAGGTATTATAATTTCCTTAATGTTTTAATTCCCATAGTGTAATTACAGTGTGTGCCAGTAGGATTTTTACTGCCACATGAAAACGAATCTTAACGAAGCAGGAAGCTCCATATACAGGGTGTTCCCGAATAACATGTATGAGCGAGCGGTAGGTGATTCCTTATGGAAAAATAAGAGAAATAAAAAGAATAACATTGTTTTCATTTCGGCTTAGTTTTCGAAATAATCAAGTTTTAAAATTTGCTCTGTGTTATACGCACTGACGGCCGAGATACGATTCGCCCTGTACATATAGTGTCTACCGTGTTTTGTAAACAATCTTTACAGAATATTTACGAATTACTAGATTCAAAAAAAAATTAAAAATGGATTAACTTCATCATTTAATATTAATTACAGAATTGCTGAAATTAATTATCTTGCTTTCTCTGACGAATACTTGTACAGTCTCGTAGTGGTCGTTGGAAACAACCATTTTCAAAAGATTTCTTTCTATTCTTTGTATTGTTTTCCGATCGGGAATGACGGGAATCCTCCAATTCAGATATCGCTTGTTACGTCCGGAATCCGTCGGTGTTGGTGAGAAAGGATTTCCCTAGACTTATTTAACGTAAACTTAACGTAAACTTCTGTTGAAGCTACGACGAACCGACGATTTGAGTAGCATATCAAAAGTCATAAAACATTATTTATAAACACGGTAGACACTATACGCCGTAACTATGTAGCAGTGTGGCCTGTGTAAGTCAACACTGCCTGTGTGGCCGCCACTGTAGCTGGATTTGATTAGTTTGTTTGGTCTTAAGCAGTGACAGGGAATACAAGTACTGTGATCTGTTACAAATACTCGATAGTGAACGCAATGGTATAATTTCTGTCTTATCGAAATATAAATAAATATACAATGCGACCGCAAAAATTTCGACTGCCGTGTAATGCAGACAGGTAATTGTATATTTAAACGAAGAAAATAATTCTTTTCTTCTGACATACAAAGTCAAGGACAGTCGTATTAATTTTGAAATTTTGCTAATGTCGTACGGTGTTTCGTTTTAGTTTCGCGCACTTAGATAAGAAGGTAGTGATTGTCTCTGTGTTTGGAAAGTCGCAATATCGTGTAAAAGGATGCAAGACGAATATGCTTGGTTCGATCCTCCAAGTGGATCTCTTGGATGAACCAAAAGTGGATAAAGATTCATTTGTAAGAAATATTAAACATATCAAAGTAAGAACCAGCAATTGCAATTAATCAATTAATCTATTGAATTTGGTTTTAGTGTGAGATTGAAGGATACTATGATACAAAAGATAAAACTATATATTTGCATTTACGGGGTCTATTAGACACACATACTCTTTTAACAGAGTATGATAGGTTTATAGAGAGACAAGATTGCAAGGATTTCCTCAGTATATGGGCTCATATGAGAGACAAATATGCTAGAGCTTTGTTAGTTCTGTTTCATATATCTCATGTTATTGTCCTTACTCATCCAACTCACACATTTGACTATAGTTATGTACATTTATTCAGAGCAATGGATATTGTGAGGTAACAGTAATTCTGTTTCAAGCATGCATATTTACAGCTGTACTTGAAGCTATTTAAAAGTTGCTGGATTTTATCAATCTGTTGGTTCTTAGACAAAAAGTTTCACCCCAGCTTTCTGATGTTTTGAGCTGCATTTATAGTTTGCCTAAAGATTGGATATCCGATGTTAGACCTTGCTCTCCTAGAGTATTATTCTATTTTGAAACTTGTCCTGCTGTGTTTCAAGATCCTGCTAGTGGAGCAAATATCAAGAAGCTAGAACATTCCTTGGAAGATCAAATTTACCACGTATTGAGAAAAAATCGTATAGTAACTAATATTAGGTAAAAAATTACTTGAAAGAAAAGAATTTAAAATCATTATATTTTGCCTAATGAAACTCATCGGTCCATTTTTAGCTCAAATTCTCTGTTTGCAATTCCGGCGAATCAAGAATTTGTATATGTAAACACAGGCACTACAGAATCTAGAGATATTTTGGGTTATATGGCAAGAAAATTAATACAAAGTTGCAAAATCAGTTCTGGTGGTAGTACTTCAAGAAGTTTGGCCAGTCAAGACTCTAATCTTCAGATAGATGATACAGAAACTGGTGAGTGGAAAACAACTGAAGTTAATTCATTGAAGCAACATTATCTTATCATGTGTTCGTAGAAACTCGTTCCTTCAAATTGTTTCTACAGCAACACATCAATCTGGCCTTTGCAAGAGGTTTTGATGACAATGTTGGAAGACATTCTGTACCTGCATATTTTGAGGTAAGAATTTCAAATTCAATGTTAATAATTATATAGTTTTGGATTTAGAGAAGAATTATGCGATACTTATATTTCATTCTTTCTATTAGATACCTACTACTGGAATATTCTGTGAAGTGGCAAACAAGGTTTACGATTTTTTCATACATGGTACAGATAAAGAGTTTCAAACTTTACACAGTTTGTTGGATACAGATGTGAAATTCAGCAAAAGTAGATGCAGTAAAGTGCTACCAAGAGCACTGCAAACGTATCAGGAAAATCTACCTCAACATTACACAAGGTACAGCCTTGTCTTGGTGAAAAATTACAAAAGAATTACAATGTCGATAACGTGGATCTTTTGATATTTATATTAGAGCATATCACGAGACGAAATTGGCTCACGCAATGGCAGTTTTCGAGATGCATGCGCGTGGTCCTTTATTCGAGGAATTTAGCGAGAAGCTACAAGCCGAGTGTGAGAAACACTGGCGTTCCGGAAGACAAATGTGCGAAGTCTTGTCCTTAACAGGCAACCCTTGCACGAATCCGACTCATAGAGGTGGAAGCGATGGCGCTGGAGGTGGAGAACCAGCGGAGCCTAGGGACAGCGATAAGTACGACGATTTAAAATAAATTTCTCACGTTTAATCGCATACGCGTTGCGTAATGTATTACATCAATAAAAACTTATTTCACTTTATAGTGATTTGCCAATCAGAGAACATTGTAGCGGAGTTCGATATATTTGCGCTTGTATCTGCGGTCGCTATCAAGGCTCGCGGGAGGACCCTTTTAGTCTGCGTCAGGCTAACTATGACTACTTCCAAATGCTAGCAAAACAGTGTGGCTGTGCGCAACTTGAAAGCATACAGTTTCCAGTTTTTCAACCGAGTACGCATAATTATAGGTAAGATACTCTTAGACACTGATGAAATACTAGTAAGATCGATCATTATTCGATTCGATTAATCGATTATTTAATAAAAGTAATACAAAAATTTAAAAAAAATAGCAGATTAAACGCGTTAAATTTGAGTCCTTTATTGTTAAAGGGTCAAGGATATTTTATAAAATGTTATCTGTTTTCGTTGCAGACCAGCACAACTACTTTCGGTGACAAAACGAAAAGATTCTTTCTGTCACGCAGAATCACCAACACCACGAGGGAACACTCAACCTTGCAGCCTTGGAGTCAACACTTTAAATGGTATTCGCTTTAACGTAAAATTTATTGTACTTTAAAATTCCGATATTCTCGCTTTAAAATTTCCAGACGACATTCGTACTCCATATGGAAGTGGAGGTCAATCCGAGCAAACAAGTGAAACAAACGAAGATGTTCCTAAACTTAGTAGTAAAACCAGTTTGACACCAAGCGACGCGCACAAAGTTGTGATAGAGGTTTCTGATAGCGATGCGGACAATAAAGGTAATTAATTCCTCAATGAAATCCTGAAAACGTTGTATGTTAAAGACTAGAGACGCTTAACAATCTCAAATATACAGAGAAGTCTCTGGTCAGACAACCATCGACAACGGAGTATCTACCAGGAATGTTACACACGGAGTCGCCAGCTGGTTTGCTACCACAATTTTCCAGCTGGTCCTTAGTTTGTCTTGGACCGAGTAGTTTATACTCACACAATTTGGGGTTGCAACATCAGGCTGGTGTTCTGCCCACTTCTGCTTTCCTTCTACCCTGGGATGTGACTGTAAGGTTGTTTGAAGTAGACAAAGTGTACTCATAGATTTTAAGTTTTACACAAAAGAAAAGATGTACATTTTATAAAGTTTTGTCTATTAGGTGGATGTATCAGGCTTACGTCATATATGCTTTGTTTCTGATAGATTGGAGCATCAAAAGGAAAGAGGTTCTTTGTGGCCTACAATAGGTGATCAAGGAATTCTTGGTTACTGTCCAAGAGGGAAAAATTTCCAAAACATGAATACAATTCGCGGTCGTAAATCTAAAGGTGGAAAAGAATTTGTTGTGAAGATATTCGTTGGAGTAGAGTACGAGTGTCCACGAGGACACAGATTTATGGCATCTGCGCCTGACAAGGTCCTAAAAGCAACTGGAAATGGAATCGTAAAGGATAGTGGTAATAAAGTCACATCCAGTACCGCGGATATGCCTCTTTATTTTCCGTGCCCTTGCAGGTATATACTATTTAGAAGATTAAACTATCAAAGGGATTTTTCATTTAATTGTCGTTCGATTCGTATTTTTACCAAAAATGTAATAACGTCTAAAGTTGAATAATTGTTTAGGCAAACGAAACCATTAATAGCTCAGTTAATGAGGATTCACGTGGTAACTCCAAAAGCACCTGTTCACGTAACCTTGAATCCTCGAGTTCAACCGGGGCCTCCACCCTGTCCAATATTTGTAACCGGTTGCGACGAACCGATAAAACTTTCTCAAAGTGCATATTGGGTCTTAAGATTACCGTATCCTTTTGAAACATATATTTACGTAGTCTATTAAATAATGGTATCTCCGGTGAATTAAACAATTTCAAAAATTAAAAAAATTTCTTTGACCGAGATTTAGATACGTATACATGGACGAGAAGGGACCATATTTAGCACCAAAAGAACCGGTTCCAATTTCACACGGAAGATTATTGGCGGGAATGTATGGAATTAGTGAAGTGGTCCCAGAAAAGAAATAACATAGTATTTAATTTTTGTATAAGTAATTTGTACGAAACGTGTGATTTACGTCTTGTAAATATGAAAGTACTAGGTGAATTATCTGCTGTAGTTTGAAATAAACGAAGTACAATTTGTATTCATACCTTATTTAAATGAAAACCCGTTTTACACGTTTTAAAAAAGGAAGTTGAAAGACAATGGAAATTAGAATATTGAACTGTTCACACAAATTAAAAAAACAAAAAAGATCTAAAAATAGTTTCATATTTACCTTTGCCGAAAGATTTACATGTGTTTCCAATATCGAACACTAAAATATTCTTAATTTTCATTTTTTCCCTTAAATCTTATCGTTTGTTTAACAAAGTTACATTTGCAGTACTTACTAAAATTTGAGAAAGTTATGAGTTATTTCGTGAGATGAATTTGCTTATGCCGATCGGTTATGTAAGGACCATTGCGATTGGTCCATTCGAAAGCTGTCAAAAGTAGCGTCGGTTACTACATGAATTTCAAATACGTTAAGCATAACAATACAAATTTTAAATTGTTCAAAATTCTAATTTATTGCATAACGTTGCAATTAAAAGTTGTAATGAAATATACATTGCACTCAATATGTATATATTGTAACAAATTCATGTTGATGTAGAAGTACATTTCTTATAAAATTGAAAACAAACTTTGTATTCCTTTCCACCATTGCACAGGTATAGCATCGTAATGTTGCCAGTATTTCAAATGTGAAAAAATATATGCACGTGTAGTGTCTCCCGTCTCCCCTGTACAAGAATTATTTTTATCCGTAACACACTAATCCACAAGATTTTCAATACACGAATGAAATACCTAGTTACTTTGCAAATAGCAAAAATAGTTCGTTTCTTCTAGCCAAAGCAGTGGTCGTTGAACACGTACTAGTTGAATCGAGTTGTGTATTTATTCAATCAATTTTTGTAAAAGATACGGATGTGGCATCGGACAACATATTGCGAGAACTGATTTTGCAATTTTATTAAATATATGTATGTCAACCTGATTCATTACATACACTATTTTTGTTAGGAGGTTATTTTCTTACCCTTAAGTTTAGATAATTTATAGCAGGTGATGAATGATCAATACAAATTAAATTTTATAAGCAAACGCAATAAATAATCAATAGTATGTATTTTCAGAAAATTCGTTAAAAATGGAGCATACATGGTTATTAACATTCCTTATTATGACAATAACTTCTGGAGGTGAAGCATATTCAATGTTCGAATGGGTCTGGGGCAGCAGTAAAGACGAGACAACTGTTTTGGTGGCAGATGGAGTACCTCTTATTTCGATCCCGTACGAATCCATGACAGAGGATGAAAAGTTCCTCCAGGAAGCAGCAAAATTTACAGAGATTCAGGTGTCATCGCCGTTGGAAACTTGCCAACACAAAGTTATTATGAAAATTAGAACTGCCTGCTCTCAGATGACAGAGGAAGAACTTGCTAAATTAAGCGTTAATCTTTTAAACTGTCAGTCTGCTGTAGAAGGCAGAAAGATGTTCCCATGTACAGAAGAAATGGTACAATCAAATTTTGAAATTATAAATTATCCTTTATTTAATTTGGCATTATTTCCTCTAAAAATGTTTCGTATATTATTATGATAACATTATGAATTTTTTTTAAATGGTATAATTTTTTTTGCAATTGTATTTTTAAATATTTTCAAGCGTTGCTCATTTTACCATTTACTTTTATCACTCTACCCTAAGTAAAACTAGTACCTCCATATATTGATTTAGTGTATGTGTTTGCCATAATAGAAGGGTGGTTTAGGACATGTTCAGACCTGTCAACCCCCCACCCAGATTCAATCCAGACCTCCTCTGAGCTTCCTTCAGTTTTAGTCTCATAACATCTAGTACTTCATACATGTGCACATCAAATCAAATATTTCCAAACTTTTTTTGAATTGTATATTAAGTCTGCATTTCTAAGTGAACAATAATAGTTTAGTATAATATATTAATAAATTGTATACTTATAAAATATGGAAGAAATGTTATTTGTGATATCAATATATATTTGTTGTACATTTTTGCAGTCCCTGAAACAGTGTACAACAGATATGGATGCAGATATGTGGAATGCATACCATTTAATGAGTAACAGAGCAAGAGCAGTTTGTTATTCGGCTCGTAGTACACAGTTTCGTGCTCTTTCAGAATTGACTGTTAATAAATTGATGGAAACTGCACACGTACAAATCAAAACATTGGATTCCCTTAAGGTAATTGCATAAAAACTATATTATCGTAACTCGTATTATCTATTTACTTTTAATTAAATATTAATTCAGGTAAGTCAAGATCAACTGGAAGAACAACAGCAACACTTGATGGATGCTCAAACATCTGCTCACAATCTTGTGACAACAAATCTGAGAGAATTGATCAATGAAAGGGCATTGATAAGAATAGGACATAGTCAGTTAACATCGATGACTGAAGACATTAGAAAGAGATTAGGTAATTAAACAGAAGAAAAATACGTACATAATCATGATCGTTTTAATTGCATGAATGGTTTTGTAGAGGAGGCAAGTCAAAAGTTAGAACAACAAGCAATCGAGCGCAGCGGAAACCATAGAGAAATACTTAATGATTTGACAAACATTCAAGAACAAGCTCAATTGATTTGGGACAAAATAGAGACTAGCACTAATCGCATATTTGCACAACACAAAGTGGCTCTTGACCAGTATGAACAGACTTTAGAAAGATTAGCACGGATCAATGAAACAATTCAATTTATTTGGAACCTAACGAACACTATGCGCACAGAAGTGGATCAGAAACTAAACTGGCTAACCAATTATATCGGCGACACTGGTATCTATGTAAAATATTGTTGCAACTCGTAATGGAACGATAATTAGGATATTAAAGTGTTTTGAATTTTCAGGAGAACAAATGCACAGAATGTATCGCGTAGGATTACACATTATTTACTTGTTATGCGCGATGATAATTGCCTCTTTTCTTTATGCGCCGTTCTTAACTAGAATCACTATAATGGGAATTGTGCCATTAAACTTGGTATCATATTTGAGACATGGCATGGAAGCTTGCCTGGACTTTCCATCGATGACTATATTAATACTTTTAATTACAACCAGTATGTATTTTGTAAAGATATCTATAAGTCTATTTGATAACTCTAATTGTTTTGATTTTATAGTGCACTTTCTGATGGTTGGAATACAACGGATATTTGGCCCGAAAACAACCGCACGATCAGAACCGATACAAGTTATTAATCAAAACGGGCATGCGAATGGCAATACACAGGCTTACGTCTTATCTTCTAATACTAATCTTAAATCGCCTCGCATTCCAGCAGTGTCCTTATACACGAAATTGAAGAAAATGACGAGGAAACTTTATGACATAGTTTTCTGCCAAATAAATCATTTCATACGTAAGTTCACAGACTTGCAAGTCTATCTTCCGTTCAGTGGTTTTTAAAGTAGAGAGGGCAATTCCAATGGAAACGCTCTATAATTCAAGGGGGCTGTTGGAAGAAAAGTTTTTATGACGTAAAAGCAATTTTCTTATAGAGAAATGCAGTTCCTTGGTACAATCGATAATTCCCCGCAGTCGGCAGGATAAAGTACAACGCGAGGAGTTGTCCTGTACGTATGTATCTTCTAAGAAGCCTCGGGAGGATCTTGTGTATAATTATCCGCACGAGTTTCCCAGTATGTCTGATGACGTTACTGACTTCGAGAATTCCAATGTATCGAATAAAAATGACGTAAATATCGATGACTATGACATTATGCTTGATGCGCACGAGTTAAGGCGACGGTTAAACGCAATAGATCATTCTATCGGTAGATCCTCTCGCAGTCATCAAGCATCTCCTGCCAGAAGGTACATAAAGTAGAGTTGAAATTTGCATCGAGTAATGCAATAAAAATATATTAGAGAAACTTCTATTCGCTACTGTATATTGTTAATAAGGTAAAAAAAATGAAATAACATTGTTTTCTAGCGTCAGTTCAAAAGCATCAGGAACACCTAAATTTCAATGCAACGCTATAACAAAAAGCGGATGGAAGTGTCGGTTGAATGCGGTAAGTGGTCACCAGTATTGTAGCAGACATTCCAGCGGAATCTCGAGCATGGGCGACTGATATATTTGTTGTAGACGTTAATAGTTCATAGGTTAAAGAAAGATAATGTCTTAAATTCCGTGTTAGAGTGATGGAGCGTAATTGTTCCTTGAGATGTCAGTTAATTATAATAATTATGTTTGTTCGCATAACTGACTGGCAAAGTCACGTACGCGACACTCAACGTGTTAATTAACATCTTTAAGAACGATTCTGTTTTAGTATAAAATTTAGCACGCGCACAAAGGAGGGGCATCTCACGTTGATACGTGATTAAAGCTTGTTTTGTTAGCGAAACGTTTGTAACTTAATCTTTAAGCAATATTGTGATGACAATATACGTGTAACAGTTTATAATGATCTATTTGATCGCATTCTATAAGTTACAAAGGTTTCACTAATAATTTATTAATACGGCCCAATTCTGTGCTAATGTAAAACAAATTCTTAAAGCGTTAAGTTAGAGACTTAAGATGTTTCTATAATTACTATTTTAAACAGCTATATCTAAGAAAAGAACTGAAAGAAAAAATTGAATCGAACACCTGTAGCTACATAGTAGAAAATAATATTTTATTCACTTTGAATAGGAATAACAAAAATACCCTCTTTGCAAACACGGGGTAACAATTTGTACATAATTGGATAGTATTTTAATAATAATTTATGCCAGAAATGTCCATTACAATTATTCATTAAATCGGAGCAACGATGATGACATTGTGATTAAGTCGATTAAACGATAATGTACGATTTTAGGAGAGGATACGTTTTAACTATCTGACCATGTTGAACTTAATTATAATTTATTTTTGTAATACCTCGCAACGTAATATCGAATAAAAATTCAGAATGATTTACTGTTTTATTCGACGTAGTTTAAAAAAAAAAAAATCTCCGCAGACATTATTAAATGAAAACACGATACAAAATGTAAGAGGCTAGCCACAAACCGCCATATTATATTGAGTGCAAACTGCGTTGGTTGTCAGCTCCAAAAATCTGGGGCTTTTGTCATAACCGAGCCCGGTCACCAAGTTATGTAAATTACAGTAATTGATGCCGTAATCGAATATCCTGAACCATTCGTTTGACACAGATTCACCCTTCGATAATAAGAAGTGAAACGATTAAGAATTATTCTTATCGGCTTCGCTATATGGTCAAAGGTGAAGAGAAAATCAATAATAACGATTAGATTGTTATACCGTTGCGACGCAGGTTTTGTTGACTTCCTCAAAAATTATTTTTATTGTTTCCACGGTTCTCGTATTCGATGCAACGTGCACGGCTCTGATCACATTGCTTTCATCCGGTTTTGACTCCTCGAGCTGTAAAATTGAACTGGAATCTTACAATCGAAGGACACGAGTATTTCATTAGCAGAATTGAGTAAATTTAATTCATGACTAACGAATATAAATTTTATATTCACTCAGCAGTTAATTTTTGCTTACAGATTCGCTCGTCTGAATGCAATTAAAAGATTCTAATTTGCAAATTAATATAACTGATTACTAGTTTTAGTGACTTTTCCCTTACCGTGTAGAGGCATCTGCTACCACGTGAGCCACAATTAATGCAGGACGACCAGTCAAGTATTTGCCATCTTAATTTTTGCATAGTATCGACGCAGGAATCTCCAAATTTCCTAGTACAGTACAATAAGAAACACGTTTTTTCTCAATCGAATAGTTTCTTGGAAAAAAGTGCTGCTGCAGCAAATGAGGAAGCAGCTAGTATAATATACGCCCTTGTTTTATTTTAAAAAGTAAATCGTACTGACCACAATCCCACGATAAAATGAAGTTTGAACATTTGTAACATACGTCCTTTTTCCAGGGAACTATTCGATTAAAGGTTCAGAAACAATTATGGGGAACAAAAAGTGGAGAAAAGTGTAGTACATATTATTCGGATTAATCTCTTTCTGACTTCCGTAGTCAAGAAAGTTTATTGTCATCGTTTGGCTACACTGAAGATCAAAGGGGTGCACCAAAATAACACAGTATCAGTCTCATGAACGTTCTCATGGGCTTGAAAAGTGCGGTTTGTATATTTTTCAAGCGGTGTCGTCCAGCCAAAGAAAAATATACGAACCCTGCGCTGGGCAATATTGAGTTTCTTTATGCACAAGAATTGTTTGCAGAAGCGGCTGGGCAAGTAGACGTTATCTTAGAACACATTTTTCTCGAGCTTTCGCGGGAACAGCCAAATAATCACGCTAACCCATTAAAACGCCCAAGAACTTTGTCGTCGGAGTAACGTACAAAAATAAAGAGATATTATATCGAATAAAAATGTAAAGCTCTATCGAAGGATCGAAATGGCCGAGAGAAAGGATTCTGGGTAAAGGATAAATTTTAACCCCTTGGTGCACGATTTAATTACAAGCAATTTTTCAAATGTATGTTATTTAATTTTGTTTTGTTCGTTGTGCAGTGTTTCTTTTGCAAATACCTCGAAAAACTTGGCGTAAAGAGCTTACGACGAGTCAGACTCGTCATTGTACTGCAAAGGATTAAGCAGTAAGTAATAAATACAGTTTGCCGCTAATATTACCGTATTCTGACAAATACTGTAGCAATAAAAGGTGTTCAGGCGATACCATTTAACAACGCACGAAGCATGTAGCGGATAGGGGAACAAGAAGTTTAACAGGACAACAGTGATGATAATCATTGAGAATCCACCGATGCGATAGCAGATGTATCTTGGAAATTTGCCACAGCAGTTGCTGGTTATTATCGTCGCCGAATCTACGCTTTCTTCCAACCTTGTTTTATCGGAATCTGGATTTTCGAACAGAAACTTTATTTTAATTATACAGCAGTCAGTTTAACAAAAACATTTAGTCATAAAATTGTATTAAGGGACCTTTCTACTTTGTGGGATTAAAAAAATCGAATTTTTTTTTTTTGCGATATCTTTTGGTATGCAGTCTCGAAAATATATCTACCAAATATTAAATTGAAATTCGGAAAATTAACGAAGTTATATCCTGCTGAAATGTACCACGCGCAGGTGTAACAACTGGACGTAAATGTTTAAAGCTGTTTTTCTGGAAAATACACTTTTTGGCACTGCGTAGACAATAAGATGAAAATTATTCAAGATATCAACGTCAAATTTATACAGTATCTTCAGAACTGGTCTCATCTATCGTATGAACTTGGATAAATGCGATATATGCAATACTTTTTTTAAAAAAAATTAAAAAAATCTACATTAAGAATATTTTTGGTTTTTGGATTTCGGTTAGCTTCTTCGCAAAATATCACCTACGCAGTCGGGCGCCGTTCGTAAAAACTGTTGTTCGTTGGTCAACAAAAACTGCGTAATCAATAGATATTATGCGTTGCAAAAATTCGTAAATATAGTAAAATATATAATAAATATATCCACAAAACACAGAATTAATCGCACTTTAATAGCCCGCAAAAAAAAATCACAAAGACGCATGTATTTTTCTTGCCTACAAAGTAGAATGGCCCCTTAAATGCAAATAACTTTTATCTTAGATATTAACAACATGTTAAATAGGTGATGGAAGAAAGATTTGCTGCTACAGGAACTTGAATGTCGAATGTCTGAGATATAACAGGATATTCCCTATAACTTAAATACAATTTTTTAAAATCAATTTTCGACGATATCGAAAATATAATAATTTAATTCCACTCTAGAGGTTTTGACAATCATTTTCCTTTGTTAAGGGGGTCCGTGGGAAGGCGATATTTCAAAGATACTTATAAATGTTCAAGTTTGACGAATTAGAAACTGATGAAATAGAACGAAAAGGCACCGTTTTGCTCTTTCAATGTGGAATCATCCTGCGAGTTTAGGTTCTTCGGGCTGTCGATTTCAGGGTAAGGTGGCGGAGAGCGTCTCGACATTGACCTGAGCTCCATGCGCTCTCTGTATGGCGGTGGTTCGATCTTCGTAACGTTTCCCTTCGGTTTCGCCATCACAAATCGATCAGCTTTCGCGCAAGAAAAGAAGTCGTCTGACGTTCCGTGAAATCTGTCAAAAAGAAATGAAAACATACGACTGTCGTTTCTTCTTCTTCTAATAGTTATGTTATATGATTAGTTCTTGTTTATTCGATTATTCGAATACTATTTGATCAGACATTCGAAATGTTTAAATAGTACGATGTGGACACGAAATAAATCGAGAACTCCGAGTTCATTGTTTTTTCTTGAATATCATTTTCATTTCGTATATCATACAATATTAATTGCATTTTTCTATAGAAGAATTAACGTTGTTTTATTTTTTTCTAAACATTTAATTGCATGCAAAGAACACTTTTTGTTAAATTATCTCGATTTCGTGGACGTCTTCAGGGGACGTCGACTTCCCACGAGCGTAGATCGAATCATTTTTTTCGTCCCGTTTTTTACAGAGCACGCTGACGCATACGCGGTGTCCCTAATGAATACTATCTACGAAGACACAACCCATAAATGTACTCGTATCGGCTACTTCCTTTTCTTCTCCTCGACTTCGTTTCGCTTCTCGTGTTCAAACAACCTTGTTACAAATTCGTCGACCATTTGACCGTTGCCTTGCTTTTTCCGTTTCTGCTCGAGTCCTTCTTGTAACGTTTTCACCTTCTGCATAAATCAAAATACAGATTACAACTTGAAAAAATGAAGTTGAACAGCTTGTTTGTACTTAATTAGCGCGGTGTATTCTTTTAACAGTTGTTACTTCGTTATAAAGGATCCCGCAGAGATCTTATGGAAAATGGCCCCCGGTTAAATTAGTCAATAATAGTGCGCCTTATTCTAGACCACCACGTTTGAGCATATTTGAGTGTAAGAAGCACTGTTGTACACTGTCCATTTATTTGACCCCTTAAAACTCAGTAGTTGTACTGTGGGCCCTTAAATATTACCCCTTGACCCCCTGACCCTCAGACTCCCATTCAGGAGTCAAAAAAAAAAACTGCCAAAAAGGTAAAAAATGGTTCTTTTTCTCATTGTACAAACATGAAGCACCGTCGACATTAGCATTACCCAGTGTGCACCACGAGGAAGTTGCTCGATCGGATTTTACACACCATGAGGCCCTGAAAAGGGCCGTTTTTATAGTTCTCTCTATTCTAAGAATCTCAACATTCATATTGTCTTGATGGTCTCTGGTCGTATTTAGAAGATTGCCATCCGAATATTTGACATGTCTTTGATGACGAGCAAATCCTAATAATCTTAAAATACTCGCAATAACACAGAGGGCATCAAGACAATATGAATGTTGAGATTGTTATGGACAAATAGAGAGAACTATAAAAACGGCCCTTTTCAGGGGCCACATGGTGTGCAAAATGGGTAATGCTAATTTCGACGGTGCTTCATGTTTGTACAATGAAAAAAAGAACCATTTTTTACCTTTTTGGCGTTTTTTTATTTTGACTCCTGAAGGGGAGTCAGAGAGTCAGGGGGTCACGGGGTAACATTTAAGGGCCCACGGGGTCACAACAGTGCTTCTTACACTCAAATATGCTCAAACGTGGTAGTCTAGAATAAGGCGCGCTATTATTGACTTTTGATCCCCCGTATCTCGGAAACAGTTCAATTTACGAGCTTGGGCCCATTGGAACTTTTCATCAAGACGTCATGAACTACATCGTATCAAAAGTTCAGCTAATTTAACCGGGGGCCATTTTCCATAATATCCGTGCGGGGTCCTTTGTTGTAAAATCATAAATTGGTTTGCAATACACGTATGAAACAACTGTTAAATTTTGTAAATATATTTTATTGGCATGCACGGGAGTCGTGATCGTTTCTTTTCCGTATCGTCGGAGGTCACAAAGGTGCGACAGCGTCGCGACGCCGAGGGATCATCTACCGGACACCATCGTGTTTCTTCTATTCCGTTTTCGTTGACGTTCGCGCAGACATCGGCCGACTATTTCAGACTAATTTACTGATTCGAGCCGAAACTGCCGCCGGTATCTCCTGACGGCGTTCGATTCGAAGAAGTACGGTTTGTACTCGTGTCAGTTAACATCAAAGGCGAAGGGGACGGAACACCGCAACGACAGACGTAACTTGGTTACTATTGGACAGGTTTCTCCTTCGTGCGTTGGGAAACGTTTCCAAAAAAACTGTGGAACAAACACTTTAACTTGAAGTACCGAAGAGACGAAGTTATAGATATGTATAGTCGAGTGGTTCTCGAAGTAGCGTTATAAAGTAAATCAGTCAATTGATATTTACTTGTTTATTCAACGTCTGATTTTTCAGAAGAAACGAAGCGATAATTCCATGCAGTAATTCTTTAATGGAACGATAGCTTATAGTAACCATTACAATTTTACTAGAAAACACGGCGAAGATTTCAGGCTTTGATATTGCTGAGAAAACGAATGAAGAATTTAATAATTTTATTATTTCGTTGGACAAATTTTTTTAATCGTTCATATTCAACTTTTCCACGAAGGATATTGTGTTCTTATGATCCCGAGGAGCGAAACGACAGATTTAAAGCGATCTTTAACGAGCCGTGGTTTGAATTATGGGCGATTGTTCGAGGGCGAGACGAGCAGAAGAAAAGATAGCGACTTCTGCGAATGTGGGTCAGGGAAGAGGAATGAATGCATACAGTGTTTTCCTGTTTATCGATACGTACTTCCACCAGCACCATCTTCGCGCGAGTGTGTTGCAAATTGAACGTCCTTGATAAGTGCGATTTAGCAAAAAGTCGCTCGCAAGGTTCTTTTTTCAATTTTTTAAAAAGTGACTCAGCCGTCTTTCGTTCGTTGCCAGAATCTATCAAGCATATTCCACGTTCGAATCAACTATAGAACAAATTTGTTTAACCTGTACAATGCTTCTTTTTTTTCTTTTTTTTTTTTACAGAAAAACACGTTTTAAAACTCCACATAAATATTAGTGATTGAGAGGCGATTTTGAAAAAAATTTCTCCGGTGTTCTGCTCGTTCGAATTTTAATTACGCGATGGATATGCTCGGAGATCGAGGTCAGAGGCCTTTGTTAGAAAAATCGTTCGAACTCGACGACCCGCCCACCAAACAGGAAATTAGTTGCCGACAGGCGGTTCGAATTATAAATTTCCTGGGAGACCCTGTAAGAACCTCTCTTTCCTATCTTCCGTCTCGCGGCCATTGCGCGATTTCATTTTATCGGCGACTTCAAAGAGGAAACGCGAATCTATGCGAGACATTCTTTTCAGTTCTGTATTTTTAATTTGATCTTGAATCGATTGCCGTGACATGCGAATCACAACGGAAGATTATTTATAAACTACAAACGAGTAACACAAAATAATTAAATAACGGCTGGCTAGATTCTTTAAAAGCTTTAAGTTTATGATTTTCTTTGTAAAGCAAAGAAAGCGTTTAAATTCGTTTTCTTCGTTTCGTTTTCGAAAAGAAATTTTCCCCGTTGCAGTATACTTATTCTATTTGTACTTAAGAATCGTCGTCTAGTAATTTTGTTGATTTCCAGGTTGTCTCTCCGTGGTTTCCTTGCGTTCTAGCTCCTCGGCGAACATTTATTCCTTTTTATGCAAGATTCTTTCTGTGAGAGGAGAGAAGCCGACGACGTGTCCCCTCGACAGCTGCCGCAACGTAAGATCCGGTTCGCACGGCTCTCCCCTTTTTCGTTTCTTTTTAGTAGACTTTTATAAGAGCTTTCCGAAAACCAACTAACAACTACATGTTCGTTTCTGTTCCTTTCAGTGTCGGTCTTCCAATTTTTCCAAGCCAACATAAAATTCTAAATTGTTTACAAGCGCCTCCCTTTCAAGAAGAAAGAAGAAAGAAGAGAATAGAATATTCCTGCGCGGTAGATTTCAAATGATAAAAGAAATACATACTTTAAGGATTCAGGTATGTATGAAACGGTTAAAATAAAATTTGTCCATTCCTCTGTCACCTGCAAGTTGTATTCGGATAATAATAATAAAACTGACGTAAGGTTTCGAGTTTCTTGTATCGGATTATGTAAAGAAAGTAAAAATTAATATTGTCTTTACTGTCGATATCGAATTCCTTGATTCGTCTCAGGTTCTTCGGGTTCAGCGTGTTCGTGGCCGTTTAAACGTTTCTTCGCCCACTCTCGAGGATCTCTTCGCAGTCACTTCTTCCCAAAACGCCGGGCGAGGAAACAGCTGTCCGACGAAAGTAACGCTCGCTTCGACGGGACGATAATGTAATGGGTCCACTTCTCTATTAAAACCGGAGGCCCGATTTTGTCACCTCTCCGGCTCCTCGACACTCACAACTGCCAACATCTGCGGGAGTCAAAGGATTTTCAGCCTATATGGACGCATGAAAGATTTCTGAGCCGTTGCTTTGATCTTACTATTCGTCACAGAAACTGTGAACTTCTTTTCTTCGGTTATACAATTGCCTGAGTATTTGTTACGTTTTATATGTTATAACCTGGCGTTCAATTTAATTCTGAAAGCAGTTTGTAATAATTACACGGTATGTCGGAAAAATAACGAAACTTTTTAAATTAAAAGAAGAAAATTAGTGATTTTGCCAAAATTATTTTTTTTTATTCAATATATAGATATAGCCAGCATAGATTTTTTTATATCATTTTGCGGAATCGCCTCAATGACTCTTGTCACCGCGCCTTGGACTTGTGTAACACTGTCATAAAACGTTCCTTTCATGGCCAGTTTGAGTTTTGGGAATAGAAAATAATCACATGGAGATAAGTACAGCGAATACGGAGGATGTTAGAGCATACGGACCTGTTATTTTCACCAAAAATTCACGAACAGCGACAGTCCTGTGCGATGGTGCATTATCGTGCAGCAAAAACCAATTTTCTGGCGCTCGATATTCGGGCCTCGTTCGAACGATTTTTTTCCACAAACGCTCCATAACACCCACATAATATTCACCATTGACATTTTGACCCTATAGAACGAATTCCCGAAGTATGATACTTTTAGAATCATAAAAACAGATCAACATTGTCTTATCTCGTGACTTCTGGAATCGCAATTTTTTCGATTTCGGAGAGTCTGGGGACTTCCACGTTGCACTTTGGCACTTTGTTTGTGGATCGTACTTGAAGCATCAAGTCTCGTCTCCAGTCACAATCGATTCCAGGAATGTGCAGTACCGTCTGGCTGTTTTAATAAGATCCTT